TTAATAATTTCTATTTTTTATTTAATTTTATTATTTTTTAAATAGTTTTAAAAAGTTAATTTAAATTAAGTAAGTATATTACTTATAAGATATTAAACTATAATAGTAATTTTATTAGTTTTAATATAAAGCTATTCTTTATAATATTATAAGTAAGTTTTTATTTAAGTTAAAAATCTTTATAGCTTCTATTAATTCCTTTTATACTTATCTAATATTATAATTTTAAGCTTTAGTCTATTAAATACTTATAGCTAGATAATAAATATTTAAAGGATTTTTTATATTCTTAAGTTATTATAGAGCTATTAGATTATCTATTTTATATAAGTAATATATTAATTAAATTCCTTATTCTTTTTATTTTAGTAAATAATAAATTTATTAACTTTTATTAATTTTTTATTAATATCTTTTATTTTAGTAATCTAATCTTTAATTTTATTATATACTTTTTTAATAGTAATAGTATAGTTATAGTTATTATTAAAGTCTTCTTTATTATTTATAAATAGAATAGTTATTTTTTATATTTTAATTTTATTATCTAATTTAGAATTTAGAGTAGTAAGTAGCTTTCTTTTCTTAAATATTATAATTTCTAGATATTAATACTACTTAATAAAGTTATTTACTAAATAAAAGTAGTTAATATATTATAATCCTAATATTAGCCTATTAATAGTATTAAGTAAATATAATTAGTAATAGGATTAGGATATTATCTATTAGTAGTAAAGTAAGGTAGTTAAGTAGTATTTATAAGATATAGGTAAGAAGTATATATTTAAGTATAGGGGTATAATTATATTTAAATTAACTATTAGAAAATCTTAAAAGATAAACTAGATATATAGAGTAAACTGTAGTTTATATAGATATTTCCTTTCTAAGCTCTCTTTAGGTTACCTTAGCTTACTATAATCTTATATAATCTAGATTACTTCTAGATTACTATAAGTATAGGTGATCTAGTGTTTTTATAACCTGGTATACTTTTGTAGTTTACCCTTTTTTACTAGTTTTAACTACCTGGCCTTCTATCCTGGCTATATGTGGCTATGATAACTATATTCTTTTATTAGTCCTATTCTAGACTACTAGGACTACTTTATTAGTTTTATTAGTTTTAATTTTATTAGTTTATAATCTCCTATAGTTTATCTTTTTCTATTACGCCTGACCGCCTTAGGCCTTTAAAATAGTTAGCTTATAATATCTAGACTTTAGTTTATAAATATAGCTAAATTTCTTCTTAGTTTTCTTATTTTTTAAAAACTAATTCTATTATAAAAATAGCTTTTTAAAAATAAAACTTCTATTTTTAAAGCTTCCTAAATATTTATTTTAATTCCCTAGCTACTTTCTATAGTTCCTAATAATTCTATTATAATATAATCAACTTTAAAAAAGACTAAGGACCTTTAAGAATATATATACTAATCTAACTTTATCAATTAATATACTACTATATAATATTAGCTATTCTAAAAGGTTTTTAAAGCCTTTAATAAAAAGAATATTTAACTAGCTATAGCTTAAGCTAGGGTTAAGGCTCTAGAAAGCTAAATTGTAGTAATGAAGCCTAAGAAAAGGAAGAGGGTTAAAATAAGTCTTAATTTAAAGTTTACTACTATTAGGGATATATAGAGGTCGAGGGGAAATAATTTAGAAGAAGAAACTATTTCCATTAGAAGTAGTAATAGTAAAAGTGATAGTTTAGCAGCTTCATATATTAAAGTAAGGTGAAATATAGAAGAAATAGAAGATGGAAGATGACAGTGGCTATTTGGGCTGTTAAAATTTAGGGTGACGAAAAGGGGGGGGTGACGATAAGTAGGGGGTCCAACTTACCCGGCTTGGCGAAGGTATTGCACCGCGAGACTTCCGAAGCTGGACGTGCTACTATATACTAGGATCTTCTTTCCTTTGGCTGATGCTGGGCCGTTGGTTTCTGGTCTTTCCAGCCCCGCACCCACGTTAAACAGACCAACAACAGTGCTGAGGTTTCCGATCAAACCGACGGGGCCTCCGAGGTTAACATTCTGCGGGAGTTTGCTCGTCGTAACCTCACGGGCAATGACGCGTGTTTGGAAGGCACCGTACTTATCCCCGGTGGCCCCAGCAGTTTTCGCCGCTGCTACTTTGTCTCCAACTTGGAAATTGGTGACCGCGGAGCCCACGGAGATTACTGTGCCGCCGAATGAAGTGCCCAGGATGGCGGGGTATGGAATGGGGAAAACTCCGAACTTTGCGAGCTTGGCGTCGATTGGTATAAGGGCGATTATTTCATTTTTCACAAGAAGCTCATCAGGTCCGGGCTGGGGCGTCTTAACCTCCTGGATCTCGAGCAGAGCCTTGCCAGCCGGAATAATCGCCGCAAAGTGAGACATGGTAATTCTGTAGAACTGTCGGCGGGAGGTTTGTTTGGGAAATAGACGAGAATTAGTAGTGATGTGACTTTCCCTGGTTTCTCCTGCTCTTATAACGGCCCCCAGGTGCCAAAATGATTGCGCGGTCTTGCGGGGTGATTGATAAGCAGCAGGCGGACCGAGACCTCGGAGATGGCGCCATTGTGAGGGGATCAAGAAATCATGAGATTGAGATTGGTAGCGATAGCGACATCATTCTAGCTTTGGACGCCATTAATGAGGTTAGGAGCTGAGGTGATAGGTAATACAGATAAAAGGTAGGTCATTATTTATTTGGTAAGAGTAGCTTGTCAGCTATCTCAACATCAGTTGCCTTCCTCTTAGTAATGGTGCTTGGAAGTTGTCTAATTACCTCATTACCTTGCAGCCACTTCATAACTATAGCACTAATATACTTTATCTATATCCTTAACAAGTTACGTAGTATATCATCTCCATTCCCTAAGACGAACCTTAGGAGACCGGTAGTTTTTGCCCGTTTCGAGGTCTCCAGTGAATAGGTTAGCCAAGACTTGTCAGCAGAAGGCCTCGCTGTCTTAGTAATAACTGCAGTACTCTATATTTTATTCCCTGTCTGCTCGCGCTGAATTTCGAACTTATCATATCACCTACACCGTGGGGAAAATGAGAGCTTGTGTAATCTTGGGCCTCCTAACTATGATATACATATATACTCGACAGGCCCAACCCAGCTCGCATTATAGTGGAATATCTACATCGTTGTCGCGTCAGAAACTCCTTCCGTCATCGGGCCAGGACTGGGAATGTATTAAAGTTCACCCGGAAGTAAACTGTCTATGACCAAACTCGGACACTCCGCCTACCCCCACGTTACGATGACCGATCTCTCTCGCTCGGACATTCCTGGCTGGTATCATGAAGGACTGCATGCAAAAGGTATTTGACTGGGTATTCTCTGCCTGGATAAGGTCGGCCTTCGGCGCAGCTAAAGTACGACCCGAATGCAGCCGTGAGATGTTGAGAAATGGTTATATGCGGTGTGCCGAGTTCAAACTTCAAAGGATAGACCATAAGATCTTTTGTTTCCAAGAGCATACAACCCATCGGCCAGTTACTCTCCTTGTGATATCCCTGGGCGAGCAAAATGTCTCGCAAAACTGTCCTTTAACTAGCACAACAGGAAAGTTGAGTAACGGGACATCTAATGTAGTGTAGCGGCCCCGAGGCAGTCTTGCATGCACAAGGTAACTGGATGCATCACGATCTATCGACTTAAACACCTTTTGCACGCTGCCCTAAGACTTAGGGACTGTTCAAAACTCCAAATTGCTGGCCAGGCGCGGGTAGACCAGCCATTCTCTTACCGAGTTGGTAAACTGCGGCTTAAAACACTGTCCTGCGCTGCAGCACGAATATTCAATTCAATCCTAGTGAAACTCTTTTACCGAATTGCCCGACCCATGAACGTCCAACATACTCCTCGCAGAGATTCTATTAACTAAGGATACCCATATTCCTTGACCAAACAGTCCTTCCCCACTTTATGTCTCGGTAGCGGGTGGAGATCATCATAATCCTCGAAACGAAAGGGCGAACAAGCCCAAGACATGTCTCCAAGCAATATTATGATCTGCGGTTAAATAAGAGTTAGCGCTAGCCTGCCCTCTTAGACTTTGGTTGAACTTAAAGAATCGAGCACTGTAGAAGAGCACATACATAGCTATCCGCTTGGTGAGAAACGAGGTTCGTGATGGAGCTTGGCGATTACCTTGGTACCTCATGAAATCGCCAGGGCCGTCCAAGTCACCAATAGTCGGATCCCGGGATCCAATAAGGGTTGGGGAGGGAGATACCTGGCAGCGTGGACGTTGGTCAATGCCTGGAATACCAGGGGAGGCATCCTGGCTAAAGGAACAATTGGGCTATTGCGTGGCACCGATCATGAGGGATTGACTTTGCAGTTGCCCCTCTTGGGATCGCGGTTACCATTGTTCTCGCTCAACACTATACTTTTCCCCCAAGTTTTGAGACAGGTCTTATCGGGTAGATTTTCGCTTTTCAGAAGGTGGAGGTACCTCCGCGTCCGACCTCAGAGCCGATCAGCCTAGTTGCCCCCGACAAATTTCCCGGCTTCTAGGACGCCTCACTACTATTAGGTACTCATTCCAAATCGGCGAGCTGATGGCCTTAGTGATTCGCGAAAAGTAGCCAGCATCAAGGCCAGATTCCGCGGCAAGTTGTATTATGATATTTCCACTTCTTCCTAACAAAAGCTCCTACTAAAATTGTAATAGCGCATTCTCATGTAGGTTATGACGTCGTAAGAAGTTGATATAAATTGATGTCTTACCTACCCCTGATTCCGGAAAAGGGGATCCAATTCGATCGGGATCGCCAGCCTTTGGCCTGGGCTCTGGCCATGACGTCGTCATTGTGCGTTCTTTTACATGATAGTTTCCCATCTTTTGCAACTAAAACCATTAGTTGCGCTAGGATCTAGGCAAATCCATCACTGTCATTTAATCATGTCTGTCATACGTCGCCCTTTCAACCCTGGCGGCGTCGTACTTAGCAGGAGCTATTTCTAGCATATCTCACCACTGCTTTTTGCACGACGGAGGGACGCCGGCTGATTCCTTAAAGGAGCCTTCCCGAGTCAGTCGTGTCCGATGCCTCCGATCTGCACCGATCTATCAGGGGGGCACATCTAACAGCCACTCCCTAAATGCTAAGGAGGCCCATGAAAGCTACCAATAACTGCAAATAGCGATGCATATAAGTCTGTGTTGTGCGTACTCCCGTGCCCATCTTTCTATAACCTTCAGTGCCTCTTGCGTAGGTGTTAGTTCTAGAGTGCGAATCACGAGTCGACATCTGCATTGCTCCTCAGGCATCCCGCCATTCTTTGTTTCCCACTATTATTTATTTAGAAAACAAAAGCCTGATCCTATTTACCCATCATGCAACTCCCTGCATCTCTAGCACTATTTATTATGGTGGCGGCTCCGGCCCTAGCGGCCAGGCCTTTCTTCGACGAGCCAGATACCGGCCTGGAGACCTTCCTCACCGGCGAGGGTAGTACCTGGGAGCCGGGTACTCTGCCCAACCTGCGCGACATCCGGTCCCTCGCCGACTTCCAGTTCGCTGCTCGCCAGGTCCTAAAAGGTGACCACTACGCGTACTACAGGTCAGGCGCCGGCCAGGAGGGCAGTATGTACAATTGTGGCGGGCCTCACTCGACTTATTGAGACACCTATACCGTTGTCGATTCGTCCCCTTGCTGATTATTGATAACCTCTCCCCTTAGGCTATCGCAACAACCTCGAAGTCTGGGACAAGATTCCCTTCCGCCCTCGAGTGATTCGTCCAGTGACGCAGTTAGCCCAGTCGATCGAGTTAGCCCTGCCCTTCCCAAGCTCAACCGGGCACATTTAGACTTTGACAATTATTCCCTGTGACGTCTTCTCTAATACAGCAGCTTTTCGCATAGTATCGAAATCTTCGGCTACAACTTTAGCGCGCCGTTTTTTATCGCCCCCGCTGCGGACGCTTCACACGCCGACCCAGTCCGCGCTGAGCTTAACTTCATGGAAGCCTCCGGCGACAACGAGATCCTTTATATTGTACGCCCTTCTTCGTCATTCTTCACCCCCGCCCCCCAAACAAAATATGAAGGCCGTTTCTGAGCAGTCGTTATAGGCAGCTCTTTTGGCAAAAAAGACAATCGAAGAGCTTGATGCCGTTAAGCGGAACAACACCCGCAACGGTCGCCAGGTTATTTTCCAGCAGGTTCGTTGTTATCTCTTGTCCAATCTACTAGAATCTCTCGGCTTAGCCGGTCGCGAAGGACGGAAATGGAAACCCAAGAGCTAACGAATTTTAACCTAGATCTACACCAACAACAACCTCTCAGCCACCTGGGACGCTATCCGCCGTGCCGAAGCCACCGGCGCCAGGGCAATTGTCTGGACGGTAGATAACCCCGGCACGGCTTCCCGCGTTCGTGCCGCGCGATACAAGGATGCCGACTTGTATGATTGTCCCCAGGAGAAGTAATCATAAGTAGGCCTAGAAAATAAGTCGCAAACACTAATCGATACTATGAAACGTAGTCTCACATCCAGCACTCGTCCTAACACTGTAAGTCCTTGTCGTTGAAAAGCCGCCCAGCACAAGCTGCTTTAGGGTGAGAGATAATACTAATATGGGGTACCCAGTGGGAAACCTACCAGGAGATGAAGACCATCACTAAACTCCCCATTATTCTCAAGGGTATCCAGTCGGTCGAGGATGCTCGTGAAGCCATACGTGCCGGCGCCGATGGCATTTACCTCTCCAACCACGGCGGCCGCCAACTAGAAGGTGCCCCATCCGCCGTTGAGATTGCTTATGAGATATACCGCAACGATCCCGATATTTTCCAGAAGATTGTTGTCCTTGCCGACGGCGGTGTTCGATCTGGTTCTGACGCTCTGAAGCTCCTTGCATTTGGTGTCAAGGCGGTTGGTCTTGGCCGACCGTATGATTCCCCGCAACGCATGTTTCGAAATCGGAAGCGAAAAAGCAGTCTCTAACCAACCTGTATTCTGTAGGTTCATGTTTGCTAACTGCTACGGTTACGATGGAGTGGACAAGGCTATCAAACTGTTAAAGAATGAGATTGTTCAGGATGGCTGGAATGTTGGGATTAACTCCATTGCCGACCTTGGCGTTCACTTCGTAAGTAGTCTGGTCTCCGGAGCCCGGACATCTTGTTCTTTACATGTGTATTAACTATCGCGTAGGTTAACACGCGGCGTTTAGAACAGGAAGTAACCGTCGTCAACCAAGACCACTAGCCGACAAACAGACTTGCCGTGTTGTCGGGTTGTAGTTCTGCACTATGGGGTCACTTGGCCAGACTTGAACCCCATCGTTCAGAACCCCCACGCAGCGGCCAAGCAAATGAATTCTTGGGGACGTAGTAGTAAACACTAGGGATTCTCAGCTGTTGTATTGTGCGCCCTGCAAGTGAAGTATTCCCAATGACGTTGGTTGCAACAAGTTTCCGGGGGAATATTCGAGCGCCTAAAATATTACTCTCAAATACTATCGCTATCTAATCTTTTCTGCCAGAATTTCCTCGGGATCGGCGTAACTGGATTTTATACAGCCATCCCACAGCCCGACGTGACTGACCGCGGCTTCCTTCTGGAGTTCTCCATGGCAGTGGCCAAGGAAAATTCTCTAATTACCCCGCACCTCATCAGATTGATTGGTACAACATTAGGGAGAAAGGGAGTTTTTGCGAACCATCTGAAAATTACTCTCATCGTCTCAATACTCGGAAAGCGGGGCGCTTTGGACAATAGGGGCTCGTCTTGAGTGATCCTCTATTAGATTCCACTGGGTGACATCTTCTATGCCGACCACGAGCTAATCGCGTCCAAGATGGTACAGTTCCTCTAAGCTACTGCTAAGGAACGCCATGAAGCATGTACTAAAAGCACGAACTGATGATAGTATCGCGCCTTAGCAACGGCGCTGAAGCCTAAACGGGACGACGATGATGGTCCACCAGGAGCCGCGGCATCCTCACTTAGCCAGCCTTCAGCTTTGGACAGAGCCCCTTCCGCGGAGTACGTAAATCATTTCCAACGTTCCATTCCTCCGAGGGGATTAAGAATTGACGTCTCGCCCTGCTAGACATCGCACGATATCGGATTTTTCATTATTGCCACCCGCCTCGTTCGTCAACCGCACGAAATCGCCTAATCGCCATGCTGAGCCGCTCGGCCTCCGCGTCCTATACAAACCCCATCATGATAGGACAGCGGACCTAATCTTTGTTCATGGTCTTGGGGGTTCTTCTCTAACGACGTGGGCCTGGAAGGGCGACCCAACGAGACTCTGGCCTCAAGAATGGCTCCCACAAGAGCCAGAGGTCAAAGCTGCGCGAGTTTTGACCTTCGGCTACAACGCAAATTATCTCTCGCAGGATAGGAACACTTTCAACATATCCGACTTTGCGAAGGATCTACTTTTGCAGATGAAATTTGGTACTGATTCCGATACACAATCGCTGGGCATTGGTGAGGTACGTTGCCTGCGTATTACCCTTTATATATATAACACTACTGGCGACGTGCTGAAGTCTTGATACTATTGCAATTATAGAAACCCGTCATATTCATAGTGCATTCTATGGGTGGTTTGGTTGTGAAAAAGGTTCGTACGACACAACGAAATGATTTGCTGAGTTACCTTGGCCTTGACTTGCCGCTAAGGTCATCCTGGTCCAGGCGTATATTCTAGGAGCCGTCGATGCCGAGTTCAAAGACCTTGTCCAATCCGTTCGCAGCATCGTGTTTCTTGCAACTCCGCATCGGGGCAGCGGCCTGGCTGAAGTTCTCTCAAAACTTTTGTCGATCTCCTTACACTCTCCTAAGGATTACATTGGAGATCTGATTAGGAATTCCCCGCCAATATCTGATATCAATGAACAGTTTCGTACCTATGCTGGGAAGCTTCAGATTGTCTCCTTCTTTGAGACACACCCTATGCTTATCGGACTTAAGAAAGTTGTAGGTATCCAACCCCTAACTCTGAAATTCAGCAACTGCAGATACTAATCACCTCCTGTCTTTCTTTAGATGGTGGTTGAAAGAGATTCTGCAACCCTCGGCTACCCAGGCGAGATTACCTCACCTCTAAACACTGACCATAGAAATATTTGCAAGTACAAGTCACGGGATGATGAGAGTTACAAGACGGTTCGTAACGTGATCTTGGCCGTGGTGAAGACATTCAAATCAGAAGGTTAGTCCAAAAGCCCGTCAAAAATCTCCGATTATTAGTAGTTGTGCTCTAATAGAATAGTTTGCTTCTGAGTAGATCGAAAATCGCACGAGGATTCTGCGCTAGTTGCCAAAGCCTCGAGTAGTGCCCTTGACGAGATTTTCATGCGATTGTCGGTCCCGAGATGGTCGAATTCAGATGTTGAGGAGTTACTTGAGGACTACGTCCAGGGATCCTGTGATTGGATCCTCGAGGATGTTGTATTCGCCGCCTTTGCTTCTGACAAACGGATGTTACCAACAATTATACAGGTGACAGGCTCTCCGGGGAGCGGCAAGTCTGTTCTATCATCATTCCTAGGACGCCACCTACGAGAGTCTGGCCACCCTACTCAACTATGGTTTTTCAAATATGATGACCACTTACTGAGGTCTACGAGGTAGTGTATTCTTTCTCTCATCTATCAAATGATGGAGGACGATGCAGAATATGCCGAGCGACTCCGATTTCTATCTTGTGACTTCGAATCAGAGCTCAGATCCGATGTTCACACAATTTGGCAACGATTTTTCGTCAATATTTTTAGTCATCTTGAGAGGAAAAATCCAATATACTGGGTTATTGACGGAATTGATGAAGCGGAATCAGTTCCTACATTTGTTGGATTATTGACGTCCTTAAAGACCGCGAAATTCCCCCTCTGCATCATCCTCCTATCACGGCCGCATCTTATTTCGCGTGTCCATGATAAGCTTAGAGCCCCATTATCGGGCTGGCTCTCTCATCTCCCTCTCGAAACCCCGAAGCCAAGCCTGGAGTTATATGTCGTTGAACAGTTGCAATGGAGTGTATGGCCTGATGCGTTCAAGTCTTTGATAACTACTTCACTTCTCGAAAAGACCCAGGGGAACTTTTTATGGCTCTCTATAGTTCTGAAGGACCTAATTAACTGCGATACAGCGGAAGAGGTACAGTCTGCTATTAACGAAACGCCATTAGAACTCATGAATATGTATGCCCAAATGGAACAACACCACCTATAAGGATTGGGAACTGGGGATTCACGACGGGGCGAGTCGGAACGCCGACGGATTAAGGCAATCCTCGCTTGGGTGGCCTGTGTGGAAAGTCTACTTTCATTGGATGCGTTAGCCGAAGCGCTGAGCCCTGAATTCCAAGATATTCTCAACTTGAAATACACCATTAAAAGACTTTGTGGCGATTTCGTCGTGATTGATAAGCGAAACACCGTCACGATCGTCCATCATACCGCCAAGGAATTCCTGACGAAGGAATCAACAAGCATTCTTAGGGTGCAATCAGATATCTCCAACCAAACGGTGTTCGAGAAATGTCTTGAGATACTCTCTGGGTCTCAGTTCCGAGTGCTTCTTAAGAGCCAAGGCGGTGTTGGCGGCCTCCTGCGCTACTCGTGCCTCTTCTGGTCATACCACCTCGTATGCAGCGATGAGTTAACGCTTCGGGCCAATGTACTCAAAAGGGTTGCAGACTTCTTCAGAAGTAAGGCCTGTTTGAGCTGGATTCATGCTGTCGCATCCACTGGGCGCATCGGTGCGCTGGTTGTCACCGCCAAGGACCTGAATAGTTATCTTAATCGGTACAGGGTTGCCAATGCCAGCGACAATCCCCTCTCTCAACCACTGAAGGAAATCGAGTTCATTGGCAATATGGCTACGGAGTTGGTACGGATCGTGGGGAAATTCGGCGTACACCTATTTCGCTATCCTACATCCATCTACAGCGTAGTGCCTCTCTTCTGTCCTCCATTGTCCATTTTCGGCCAATACTTCTCTGCTCCTAGCACCAATCCCGCGTGGCCCAAAATTTCTGGTCTTTCTGCTACAACATGGGATGACTCTCTAGCAAAATTACCTCTTGGTCATGGGCAAAGGCCTAAGAGAGTGTACTGTCGTGGTGGCCATTTCGCGATTTTGTCGTCTGATAAAGCCGTGAGATTATACCAGTCGTCGACTTTTCAAGAACAGCACCGGTTTACCCATAATGAATTCCTTCTCGTGGCACAGTTTAACCGCGAGGGAGATAAACTTGTTATGTGCGGTATCAGGACGATAAAGGTCTGGGAAATCCGGTCTGGCGCGAACTCGGCCGAGTTTCCCAACCTAGCGGGGTCCGCGCGACGGATGTCTGCTCCTCAAATGACTCTTCTGAGATTATCGTCTACTGTGCGGATGCTACAATGTGGCGCCAATTTATTTCGGAGGCAGAAGAATGGCGTTTAGTCGACGGTGAATCATTGGGTGAACCAGGCAGACCGGGAGAAGGTCACCGAGGGAACCCGATTTGTACTTGCTTCAGCCCGGACGGAAGCCAGATCGCAGTTTCTTATAAAGGTACGTCTATTGAAAGCAGATCTACAGGAACGGGACTTCTCATCGGCAGAAGCAAAATCGTGGGTGGCCGAGACGGCCGTTGGCAGGAATCCTTCGGCCATGCCACACGACTTGCTTGGAATCCGGCGACTGAGCATGTGGTCGGCATAAACCAAAACGGCATAATATTCAAGTGGTATCCCCTAGATCTGGAACGGCTGGAGATGGATAAGTCTCCAATCGCGGCAGAAATTGCCTGTAGCCCGAATGGGAAGTTCATCGTCTCCGATCAACGTGACGGCTCCTTAAAGGTCTTTGCCTTTGACAACTTCAGCATTCTATACAGCCTCACGTGCGCGTCACCACCCGCAGCTCTCACTGTTAGCAGCGATGGACGCCGCATCTATGACCTCCGGCGATCTTTTTGTAACGTTTGGGAGCCCAATGCACTCACGCGCATGGCCGAAGAGGACGAGAAAACGAGTGATACGCCCAGCGCTTTAAACAAGACGTCTGTGAATATGCCACTCGACGCCTCCGAGGATACCACAAGCTCAAAAGATCCTGTATCTGCATTAGTTGGCGCCGGGGTGGGCGAAGCATATGCCTTTGGCAGTAACAGCGGAAACCTCACTTACGTACCTGGATCCGGTGTCGAACCAGTCATTGCTTCTTGCGGCTCGCTTGATATCATCTCTATGTCTATGGATATAAGCGGGTCAATCGTGGCTGTCGCTACTCTCGACAAGGCAATTTCCGTCTACCAATTCGAAGTAAGCGATGGTGGCAATGTTGGATTGTTGCGATCGTTTTTCCGTCGCTCGACCCACCCTATACGCCAAATTGTCGTTTCTGGCAATGGCTCTTTTCTGGTTGCTCAATATGAGACCCTCTCCGAGGTGTTCTCGATAGTCGAAGGAACCACTGTCGCGAGCTACCCCATTTCTTCAGAATCGTCACGTTGGGCGCGAGATCCATACAACCCGACGGCATTTCTATGCCCCAACGAGTCACAGATACTATTGTGTGATGCGTTGGGGGAGCATTCCGGACTTGCCGAATTGATAAGTTATCGATATATCCATTCCTCTGAAGGGCCAACTATCACCGACGCTTTTTCGAAACGTCTCTACAGAGAATTGCGAAGCTAGGGGTCAGTAAAACTCTGATAACTCCAAATGGAACTCACGCCTTGCTTCAACTGTCCCCGACTGCTTCAGCGCGGTCTAATTCGACATGCCTGCTATTTTCCTTGCCCAAGGCAGGATCCCAAGGCCGCCATTCAAGGGGTACGCTGGCAGCATCAACGCCTTCAACCCAGCTCCTCCCTGGAGCAGTCGCGGCGCAGATTAAAGTCGCTCTTGGGTTTATACAAGGATCACGAAACAAGAGCCAATATTTTCCGCCTGCGCACACAGACAATGATAAACACACCTACTCGCTTGTGTTTATCGACCACGAATTCTGGGTATGCTCTTATAATCTTCAAGGTGGGGACCTAAGTAATATCGTCCGGCATTTCTTTTTACCTCGAGATTGGATTCTCCTGGATGCTCTCGAGCTGGCGCATGTGACTCCTGATGGCCGGTTACTATGTCCTCGGGATGGGGAAGTCGCGGTTATCTCTAATGGGTTGAGGATGCAGTGGGACGAGTAGCAATAGAAACATCTTTTAGGACCGTATATGATCGAATAACAAGGCCAGGTTTATGGATGACTTTGTAGTTATTAGTCTAGTAGTATCTTGAGACGGAATTGGACAGGCTTCTTAGCACGGCTAGACATGTAACTTCAATTGAGTTCTCAACAAGTGGGTTTTAGCTTTTCAGAGTGCCCCCGCGTCCGACCTCACAGCCGACCTGCCCGACTGCCCCCAGGAAATTTCTAGGCTTCTAGGGCGTTTTGCTCCTATTAATCTCCTCCCGGGGAGTTAAATATTAGTCTAAAAGATCAGATCCACCAACCATAACCCTATAACAAGCATCAGAGAAGTACTTTTCAAATAAAAAATAGTAGAAGATATACCTGTTTTGAAAAAGGTGCTGTTGTACACGTCGAGGTTCTCAAGTCGATACTCCTCCGCCGCCTTGGCTGAAGCCTCAAAGCTCGCTGCGTCTGCTTCTTCAAACTTATTAAGACATTTGACAACCCAATCTACCTGAAGTTCTAGGAATGGGGGGCCATTCACCAATCCCGACGGGGCCTGCAGACCGTATAGAATAAAAGCATTGGGAAAGCCGGGAGCGAACATTCCGAGATATGTGTAGATGCCATCCTTCCACCTCTCCTGCAACTTGATGCCGTCTTGGTCAATCACGTCCATGTCATAGAGACTACCGGTCACAGAGTCATACCCTATCGCACAATAATCATGTCGAGATCAAAAATTTGATCACCGTCGCTGCCAGCAGTCGCGATACCTCCTTCTACAAATTTTTTTTGATTTCATTTTTCTTAAGATCGACCAACTTGACGTTAGGTTTATCGATCATCTCGTAGTAGTCGATGAATTAATTCGGTCGCTTGGCACTAATCCATTGAAACTGTTCAAGTGGAGCATGACATCCCGTTTTACAGCATCAGTCATGGGCGGCCGAACTTTTTTGGCCCAGAACTGACAGAGCTCGGCATTCGCCATCTTGTCAAAGCTCACTTCCGGGTAGCAGCACGAAAGGATGCTATAACTACCTCTTGCACAGAGGTCCTCATATAGTTCTTGTCGCTCCTAGGGTGTGGCGTCGTAGAACGAGTTGCGACAAGCATTATACGAATACCCCGAGGAATCTGTATACTTGGCATGATCGAAGAGAGCATCGTATGAGTTCTTTTGTATTTCAGCGTCCTTCTTTGAGATGCTCCGTTGTTCCAGAGATAGCTGTGGGCGGGTTCCTAACAAAAACGGTAATGTCGGCTTCCTCTTCGGCAAGTTCTTGAAGAATTTGCAGCCCGGAAGTCCCCTGGCCAATAATGCCGATGCTCTTGCTCTCGATATCCAGGTTTTCAGGCCATGCAGCTGGATGAATGACCATTCCTTTGAACGTCTCCAGTCTAGGCAAAGGAGGAATGTAGGATTTGTTCGTCGTACCAGTAGCGAGGATGACATATCAGCAGTTAGCTGTAAGCCCATTCTCGGTACGTAGAATCCATCTTCTGGAGGCAGCGTCGTATTTTGATTCGATGACCCTGCAGCCAAAAACGGCGTCTTTGCGTAAATCAAGAGCATCGGCAATATGACTAAAATACTGGCGAATTTCGATGTGGCCGGGAAATCTCTCGCTGAAGTTGAATGAGTGCCAGGCCTGCGGCAGACTCAGTTGATAGAGTGGCATCTCCGAGTCGACACGGGCTCCTGGGTACTTGTTGAAATGCGAAACACCACCGAAATCACTTGCAGCTTCAATAAGCTTCACAGAATAGCCGCCCTTTCGCAGCTGATGCAGGGCATAACATCCCCCAAATCCGCCGTCTACAATAACAATGTCGTCAATGGTAGAGAAAGTTGATGAGTCAGAGTTTATGATGAAAGACAATCGAATATTGATTGGTTAGGACTGAGGAACGGCAAAATATGAGGAGTACGCAAGTCATGGCCCCAACAAGATAGACTTTATATGCATCCAGAAAATGTTTCCCGAGCAAACCAATGATCTTTGAATACCAACAATCTACAGGCGCCTAGTCCAAAAAATCACTAGCTTCACTGGGGTAATGAGACAGACATACCCCGTGCTGCTATCTTCCCTGTCATTTTCACATTGAAAATCCTTTCTGGACGTCGTTTCCCTTCGAATTCCCGGTACAGAACGCGCGGACACCGCGGGTACAGCGTACATACCGCTGTGCGCTGTAGAGCCAATATCAAACAGTAAAAAAAGGACTCATGGCTACCACCGTGGGTAGTAAAATACGACAAGTTCTCTTTGTCAAGGTTGCCGAACAGGACACAAAAGTGTTTAAAACTTTCCAATTTATACGTCATGGCTACTCTCACTGCTGACCAGGAATTCATGGCTGCTTTTGCACCTCTGCTGCAAGGTGGACAGGACGTGGACAAGCCAAAGCTGCATGATGTTCAAGGCAGAAGAGCTCGGTATACTTCGTTCACAGCAGAAAGTCCAGCGATTCACCCGGAGGTGGTCTTTGGAATACTTCAGATTCGGCGAGAAGACGGAACACCACTCAAAGTCCACCACCTTGGAAGGCGGGACCCAGACAAGCCAGGCCCGCCTTCAGCAGTCGTCATCCACATGCACGGTGTGGGTTTCATTGCTCTCAGCCCCGACATCAGCGTCGAACGACTCTCGATTATCGTCCTAGACACGGGCGTCCAGGCATTTTCTGTCTACTACCGGCTTGCTCCCGAGCATCCGTACCCCGCCGCCTTGGATGATTGCTGGACAACACTCACTTGCATTCGTTCGAACGCCAAGGTTCTTCATGTTTACTCAAGCCGGATTGCGGTCATGGGCGAAAGCGCGGGGGGGACTCGCGGCGACTCTCGCAATCCGAGCACGGGACACTGGGCTGTCACCGCCTATCGCACAACAGATCCTCTCATCACCTATGTTGGATGATAGAACTACCGGAGGTGTCCCTGGAGAGTTTAAGTTACGGGATGCCGAAGACAACTTTACCGGTTGGACGGCGTATCTTGGCAGGGCCTCCGGAGGTAAAGACATATCCATTCTTGCTGCCCCTGGCCGCATGACAGATGCTGCGGGCCTCCCGAGTCTTTACCTCGACACGAGCCAGTTCGACCTCTTCGCTGAGGAAAATATCAGCTACGTGCAAAAGTTTCTTAAGCGCAAGTGTGGAGGCGGAGTGCCATGTGTATCCCGGGCTCCCACATGGGTTTGATGGGCTTCTGCCGACCCATTCCGTAGCCCAACAGTTGGAAGCAAATAGGAAGCGCATCTGGCGGAAGCTGTAAGGAACCTGGACTCGTAAGTCCGTACTAATTTGGTCGTCAATTCAATTTACAGTGGCTTTATATATATATATATATATTCTTCGTTCCAAGCTTGGACCGTGTACGCTCTTTTGACAAGTATATTGGCTTGTTTTCGTTCTGGTCCACTAGCCTACTGAGCGTGATTTTGTGACGGCTTACGGTCATCCGTAATTACCGAGAGAAAAGACGCGCCCACCCCACACAGAATCGGCGTTTCGGGCGTGACGGATCCACCGGGTGCCAACAAGGAAAACCAGAGCCTGCCCATGTTCGCGATAATGGTGTTCTTCTTGGGATGGATGAACAGGACAGTCAAGAACATGTACAAAAGGGAAGGCGTGTTACAAAACCCACGGCGGCGATCTACCAGTGCCCTCCGCGGGTGCCATAGTTGCCTCTAGCTCCCTCACAACTCGGGCATACGGGCATTACAACTTCCCTTAGCCCGGGATGCCGGACAAAATGAGACCGGGAATATAAAAGCCTATATTTTCTTAATACAGTTCCATATAGTGACCGAACTTGCGGCAGCGGCGGACGGGGGCCGCGGGGAATAGGAGCCGGCTCCCGCACTTCCCAGCCGATGTCTAACTACTGGGAGGGAAGTAGAAGCGCTCTACTATCATTAGTATCGACTAAAGTCTTAACAACAATAACATAAATCTCTTTTATCCACGAGGTCTCTTGGATGGCCCTAAACTGAGAAATAAATAAGAAGACTAACAGTATATATAAAAGTTTAGGTTATATTATTGAAGGTCAAGTGCAACATTTCGGCCTGCTTGCCCACCATGCTATAGCCGCAACAGAATTCCTATCCCTGCGAGTCCCGGTTGTTACCCCAACGGTAGGAAGACTCCGATTTGTTGCGGTCGGGCCTAAGTTCCGCGGACGCCACGGAGGCCGCGGAACTGGTCGGAACATCCCCCAATACCTGACGCTTGGGACAGGTGCGGTAGGTAGTCTGCCCCTGACATGGTTGGGAAGTGACAGCTCTTTCGATAATTCAAATGAAGAGTATCGAATCTGGCTAGAGCTCGAGGCATCTCGATTGAACTAGGTGGGGTTGACCGTTTTACCCTGCACATCTTTTTCTTTCTTCTCTTAGATTCCCTTCCCTCTCATCACTGCCACCACATTAAGTTCCTAACGTGGGCTGCAGTCTCGCACAAGACTGCAGGCCTATAATTGACACGTCGACTGACTTAACGTCGTCATTATGTAGCATCGCAGGGATCTGTTTCGAGAATAGGTTTTCATACAAGTCACCAGAGTCGCCCGAATGAAGGAGACACTGGGGACTTACTTTAGATAACTGGAAGTACATTGATAAGACGCGATCGATAACCCATACTTTTGGCATTGGCTGCTTGTGTAGAACGAACACGATGTTCCACCTTGGGTGTTCAATATATATATAACTCGGATTAATGTTGCCTACTGTTAACAAGTTTAGTATTTCATTATAAGTCGATTTAGAAGCCTTATTCATACAAAGCGGAAGGGTGGACGTAGAGAATTTGCACTACAAGGAGCGGTTTAATATATCACCAGAGAAAATAGGAATATCCACCATTGGGCAACCTTCCAATCCCCACCCGCTGGCTCTTCCCCTCAGCCAGCTCGGAAAACATGTTGTCCACCTCCTTTACCGGCGCCGTAGCCGTCGCAGGCTCAAACATGGCCGCCACCAAGCTTTGAACCGTCGTCCGTTCCACGACCTCTTTGGTCTCAGGTTCCCGGACGGCCAAGATGGCGAATATCGTGAGAATCGCGCCGATCAAGCAGTACAGAAAGTTGGAGAGTAGAAGGGCCGCGAGCGGTGCTATGGGTATGCGAGAAACGATGGCCGGAGTGCGGTACTGGGCGGAGAATGCCGGAACGGGTCGTAGGGCGGTGACCGAAACGCTCACAGCGACGCGGCTGTATTCGGCTGCCCAGTTATCAGCATACCTCTGTGCCGTTTCTGTGTCCCCCGTGTAACTGAAGGCTTGGTAGGCATCGGTCACACCGACACGCGCCTGCGTGATGGGGCTGCTCAAGGCGTTGGTGACGGAAGAGTTGCTCTCGCGGGCGTTCCACTCCACGACGCTGCCATTTTGATACTGATAGCTAACATCGTAAACTGTTGTCGTGCAACCGAGGATCATGGCGAGATCACCGTGCACCTGATGAGCGACCTCGGGATCGTCTTGCGGATGGGGCCACACCACTTCGAGGAAGGCAGCTACCAGAAGAGAATATGTGCTACCCTCAACGCCGGTGGTGCTCAGTGTCTGCGTGAACTCGGGGTCATCGTAAAACTGTATTCGTATACCGCCGATCTTTTGGATATCTCCGGAAAAGCCACTCTTCGTGCAGTTGAACGGCGTTGCGGCGCCGATGAATTTTTCGTATTCGAGGCCACACTCGACACTCTTGGGTATGCACGTTGTACTCATTGCGAACGTCTCCGCCGAATAATCCTGCATCAAATTCTGCTCTGTCGGCGCCGGGGCGAGGTAGAAATAAACGCGTCCACCTTCAGCGTGATACTTCGCCGTGAGGGTGGAAGAGCGATTGCCTAGTACCGACATGCCTGTAATCGTGTCGTCCTCCACAACGAGGAAAGTATTTGCTGCCGCAGGGTTCAACGTGCAGGCGGGTTCGACAGGGGCTCCGGGTTCTCTGTCAAAGTACCAGTTTGACTGTGCTCGGTAGGAGTTGTTGTTTATTAGGCAACGTTCGTGAAGGTTGACACTGAGATTTGTTCCGGGACTCGGGGAGTAGCGATAGAGGTTTACGGCTTCCGTTGAAAGGTGTAGCCATGTATCGGTAATGGCGACGAGGAGACTGCTCGCACACGAGTGCAGTGAGACACAAGTCAGCTCCCGCCCAGTTGCGCCTCGGCGGGTATCAACATAAATTTGATATTGGAAGGACGTAATAGGATACCTTAGAAACACACCCAGCAGCAGAATTCCTGACAGAAATTGAACTGGAGAAGCCAGCTTCGACCTTTTGGACCTGTACGCCGTGAAGTAGGTGAACAGTCTCAGAATGGTGCGCCAGACCGACCCCGCTCTCATCTCGAGCAATATCGCCAGCTGGTACGGAGTCGGAACGTTCGTGACATCCCCGTTTTTCAGTGCTGTTACGAATCTTCGGCTTGACCCATAGGAACCTAGCATTAAAACAAATCCACCGAGTATCGCCGCCAGTGTACTCGCCCATGACGTAATTGTTGTGAACGTAGTCGCGTTGATGTCGACATAGACGGCGGCCTCAGACCTGAGCGACTCGACGAAGTGGTTGGGCTCTCGGAACTTAACCACCAGTACGATGAGAATGACGTTAAATATGAACATTGGAAGAGTTACAACGGCAAAACCAAGGCAGATGTCTGTCCACGTCCCTTTCATCCGTTGATTCTTGGGGCCTTCGACGCCGGGGGCAGGTACGGTAGGTAATATGCCCGTGACATGGCTGGGAAGTGACGGCCCTTTCGCCGGTTCGAATGATAAGTATTGAATCTGAGGCTCTGGAGCATGAGGCATCTCGGTTGAACTGGCTTGGGTCGAACGTTCTGGCAACTTGGTGACCAGACTGGGAAATGGTGAGTCTTGAGTGAAAGCCCGGCGCTATCAGTGAATCGGGGATTTTGAGATGGGAAAGTGAGGATGTGAAGTGAGGGACCACCAGGCTGGGGCTGAAGACATCTGATCGGATGGGGCCAATCGAGAGGGTCGATAGCGCACTGTCTCGTTCAGATTGTGGTTGCGCTAATTCAGCATGGCGTTCAATAGTGCGATGCAAAAGCAACAAGCCAACACAATAAGGCTTGTCGACTGAGCCTTGTTCTCCGAGCACTGCTTTCGCTATTCCGAATTTGGACACTTTCGTCGGACCCCTGCAATGAGGCCCAATGAGATGTTCAATTCCACACCTTTCAAAGTCAATAGCAGGAGCGGCTGGGCTGGACCCGCAGCGCAGTGTCCCTAATTAGAGTTTCAGAATTTAGTATTATTACTTACGGAACACAACGTCTCTCGTTGCGGTGTCCGCTAGCGAAGAAGAAGAACAAAGTCGCGAAGTAGACTGTATCTAAACACCTAGAGGTCAATTCTTTTTCTCCATACCAGTTCTCGCCAGGTTCGGTCTGCTTGCCTCTACAAAGGTAAAAAGAACGCGTTTAGTTTGTGCTTGATGGCTGCGCTTTGATGCCAGACTATGGAGACTGTATTCAAAGCGCTACTAGTGCTAATGAGAACACAAGTTCAGTACCCGGAATGCGTATTAAATTACTGATATAATACGAAGTAAGTTTCCCCGCTGGGCCACTACTAATGACTACAACACAGGAACCGAGTGCGTTCGCTTAGTTCCACTGCCGACACGTTCCACATTATCACAATACAACGCCGAATCTCTTGTTTACTATGTTTTCTTTTTTCCTAGTCTCGAGATTTAAAGTGACTTTTATACCTCACACGAGTCGACAGCCTCAATAGAGAGGGTACACTTACAGTACCTACCAAGTCCGCCAAAGCCCCGCAGGTCTTGCATTGATACCGTAGATTACTATACCACTGGGCGGCGTCAGCGGCGGACCAGACACACTCCGCCCCCACCTCTGAATCAAGTACCGAGAATTTAATATAGAAACGGACACTTTTCCCTTCGAGATTTGGAGTCTCTTTACATATACTATAAGTTTGACCATCATAGGCATCGCGCCATATTAGCAGGGCACAAGAAGAGGCATGGCGGGGGTAGAGGCACGTGGAGAAACACGCAAAAGGAAGGAAGCGAAAGAGAAGAGACGACACTAACCCTGTCCCAAATTCTTTATCCAAATTCAGCATCGCTGAGGCCGCTACTTGATCGCAAGTGCCCATCGTGGGATCATCCAACCCGCATTCAAATAGGCATTGTACATTAAAGCCCGAGTCAATGGTTGGCTGAAGAAATTCCGCAGGAACCGTGGCGGTAGGAGGACTCGGCGGATCAGAGGGCGAGGAAGTAGTCGGTGGGTAAAAGTCTGAAGGGGTACTGGGAGGAGTCGGACGGCAGAACGAGGCTGAGCACAACTTTCCGCAACTCGCGGTGCATGTAGGACCTGGTGAACCTGACTGGAATGTGACAGGGGGTCCAGTTTCCGGGTTCCCTGGACCGCCCGGTAAGGGCCAGCTGTGGTTGTCCTCCTGGCGTCTCAAAAGGTACGTAAACAGACGCCTGAGAAGGCCTCGCCTCTTCGCCACGCTAGGTTTGCCGGTCATCACCTTGTCCTAGCCATTCCAAACCACCTTCACCGCGGTGCCGCCGACATCCGGGTCAACTTTCATATTCCGCGCAATACCGAGGATCTTTTGTTTGACAGCGGCCGGTGGCGAAACTCCCATTGTCGGATTAGCTCGGATGTAAACGACGAGACTGGCAACTATCGGTGCGGCTAATTCGGGATGGAAAGGAAGATAGGTCAGGCCGGATTCTCTAGACATGTCTGGGTGCATCAACAGGGTGGGGCGGACGTACACAATGATGTTCCAACCTCCCCATCGGGCTTTTTCTGCCATCGCCACCCAGGGGGGTATGGCAAGTTGATTCCAGGGTCGTAAACATCCACCGCGCTTCCGCGTTGGCTTGATGCAGTAAGTTTCCCGTTCTTGTCCGAACCACCGACTACGATCATGTTTGGCAATGCCAGCATTAGCCAAGCGTGAATTTTGCATCACTCTTTAATCGGGACTAGGACCTCCTAAATACAACGGTGCTATAAATACTCGCAAAATGCCGCAGGCTTTGCAGATAGGACCTCATCGATCCGACAATAATGACTGGATGTGCACTGTCACATAGTTGGGCCCAACCGTGATGCGGCGTACCTTCTCACCGTAGGCCCTCTGCCTCTACATCATACTCATTCGCCTTTTTGAGCAGGCCCTTCATCTTCTCCACATCCCATATCGAGACATCCGAGATAACAGTCGCGGCATCCGACGGTCGCATCAGATCGGCTCCCTTTAGGACTTGGTCACGCAGAGAATCCCGAAGCGCGCTCATGCGGTACAATTACGCAATTCTCGATTCCTCCAGCTCGCGTGGGCGTTTCTAGTACATGCCCTCAGGCTTATAAGCTACAGTCCACGAACCTCCCCACTTCGCCGTATGCCGAACGGCTATACTATCTCCCATCATGCCTTCTAAAAGCTTCACGTCGGTAAATCCTTGTACAAGCAGCCAATCGCAGATGTCGGGAAATCCCGCTGCCAGTTCCAGACCGTTCTTTACCATAGCCATCCCGTCATCCGTCTTCACTGCATAGGCAACCCATGCGCCACGTTCCACCAGCAACTTAACAGATTGCAGCCTTCCCCTTACACATGCAGCCAATAGGAGATTAGAGTTAGAGTCGAGTTAGGTGGGAACTAATGTCAGAATTGGACTTGGGCTGACTACCAGGAGAGGTAAGGAATGAGTTTTATCTAGGCGGTGAAGACCGTGGTTTATTATATCGACGCCTCTGCGCCAGATCGCCCCCGATTACCGTTCTCTGCCGTGTTCCCGGATCCTAACCACTGCCATGTAACAGCACCTTAATTCTCCGTCGCCGAAAGGTATGACACCCACCGGGCCGAGGTACACCAACCACTTCCTGTGGTCAATATTCGAGTCATATGCTCGGGAGTCTGTGTTCGGACGTGACGGCGGAAAGGCGAGATGAGAGCCGCCTCGTTGCGCACTGAGTTAAAGGTTACACAGGCAGAACAGCGCCACGATCCCGGCGCCCTCGCGTTTGTGAGTTTGTACGAGCTGGACATCGGCATGATGGGAATAAAGATCTCAATACAGCGGGCGACACAGCTGATGACCTGTCCAAATTCATCTCAGCAATATTGAAACCCTGGGCTTGATATGATTGTCGACATAGATCTAATAGGATACCTAGAATCGAAATTGTGACGTCACTCGTCCTCTTCACATTGGTACCAAAGATTCACTATCGCCCTCTAAGCTCTTCTGATCACGAAGAATCCTCTCAAGATTTTCGGTGAACCTGGCCATGTAAGGATCTTCCTCGCCAAAGACCCGCTTTCCTTTCTTGAGCACCTCTCTTTGTATCATCGCTGCAGTCTCGAACTCGCCCTGATCACGAAGCGCCATTGCAAGGTTATTCATAGCTCTAATTGTCACGGGATGTTCGTTACCAAAGGTCCGCTTCATTTTCTCAAGTGCCTCTCTCAGCATTGCTACTGCTTCGTCGAACTCGTCCTGATGGCAAAGTGAGCTCGCAAGGTTGGCCATGGCCTCGATTGTATGATAATGTTCGTGGCCAAAGATTCGCTGTACTTTCTCAAGTACTTCTCTACGCCTCGCCACTGCCTCGCCGAGCTCATCTTGATTGCCAAGCCTAACGATCCGATTAAAGATTCTTATCTGACCGTCATTCTTGGCCTCGAGGATCAAGGCAAGACCACTCATGGCGGTGATAGTATCGAAGTGTTCCTCGCCAAGGATGCGTTCTCGCTTCTCAAGCACCTGGTTGAGCATCGTTTCTATCGCTACTACTTCCCCAGGCTCACCCTGAGCTGCAAGAGACAGGGCAACATTACTCATGGCTGTGATGGTATCAGGATGCTCGTCGCCAAGGATGTGATTTCGCTTCGCAAGAACATCTCTCGCCATCTCCAGTGACGTCTCGAACTCGCCTTGATTGCCAAGAGTCGTAGCAAAATTACTCATGGCCGTAATTGTGTCAGGATGGTTGTCGCCGAGGATACGATTTCGCATCTCAAATACCTCTCTCTGCATTGTTGTTGCCGTCTCGAACTTGGTCTGATGATGCGGATCGCCAAGCACCAAAGAAAGATCGCTTTTAGCCGTGATTGTATCAGGGTGCTCGTCACCGAGGATGCGCTTTCGCTTCTCAAGCACCTCGTTTAGCATCGTTGCTACTTCGTTGGGCTCGCCCTGGTAGGTAAGTGTCTTTGCAAGCTCACTCATAGCCGCGATTGTATCGATATGTTCGTCGCCAAGGATGCCCTTTCGCTTCTCAAGTACCTTTTTCTGCATCGTTGCTGCCTCGGAATAACTTCCCTGAAGACGCAATACTCGACCAAGAAGACCCAAAGCGAGGAGCATATCCATGTCTTTTTCGTCGCTATCATCAGAGTAGGCATTCACTGCTTCACGAATCACCTTTTCGGCAGACTTGTATCTCCCTTGATCAAGAAACACGCCACCTAGCTTCAATAATGTACGTAACGTGGTTGGGTTGCCAGGTTCATACAACATTCTCCTCGACGTCAAGTCTTCCCTCAGACGCTCTTCCTCCACTGGCCTATACCGATATTGGACAAAGCTAATAATGGAATCCCTAGTGTCTGGTGTCTGGGGAGTATCCTCAGCATAAGTAGGTCGCAATAATGCGGGACCTTCTCGAGAGGCATTGTCGATTGATATAGCACCTTGGGCCAAACTCGAAAGAGGTTGGCGAAACGGAGCCGGGCTCTGACCCGTAAATTTGCTAGAGGAATGAATGATTGTCCAGTCTGGTATGGCTGAAGAAAAAGCATGCGGACTGTAAGGCATTGGTGTGGCACCTTCTTCAGGGATATTCGAGGTTCTCCCTACAGATGCCGGACTGACATGCGTAGAACCGTGTGCGGAAACTGTTCGATAGAGAACTGCGGATGGCGTGGCTATTTTGACGTCAGGATCAGTTTGCGATTGAGTGTACCAGTATTGAAACTTACATGTAGCGGGACTGGGATCATATCTAAGACTTTCGGATTGTCGTTTCTCTTCATCCGTCTGTCGATTTTCTGTGGATCGGCTTCTTGACCTCTGACGGTGGAAGCAAGCTCCCGTTTGTTGCGCTCGAAAAGTCTTCGATACGGCCGTTTCCGCGCCGTTGCCTTCATCTCCCGAGGCTTAACATTCCTGTCGAGGGCCCACTGACTAATGCGATATCTGTATTGCTGTAATCTTTGAAGTATTAGTTGCCGAATGAAACAGGTATAGCCAGCGCATTTACCAGCATCTTGGAATAGACATACTCAGCCTTGAATCCAAACTCGCTCTCCATTCTGTTCTTGACCTCTTTGAGCGGCAGACCTTGATCGATGTGAAGCCGTTTTATGAAGGGCCTGCGAGGCTCCCAGTCCTCGGCCTTCAATGTCCCGGCTTTTCTCTTTCGGGGTCGGGTTGGTGGGCCCATGGAAACATTCGCTACTTCAACGGCATCATCGGGAAGTGACGTATTTTGCGAGGTAGCGCTGAGTGCCGCGAATGCATCGAGAGAAGGCAGCGTGTAGCCTTCTCCAGATGCGAGTCCAGGAGCAAGCAGGACCTCTGGAGCTTGGCCTCTGGGTGCCAAGTCCATGCCTGTTAGCTCGTAAAGCTCGAGAAACGTGGTTGGGTGCAGCGTAGGGAATGGCTCATGGAAGGCAGGTAGATCATCCATAGGGAAGTCCATATTTGCGAGTTATTTAATGCTCGGGGTGAGAAGAGCTGAGGATGCTCGATAGCTTCAAGTAGAGGGAATGTAGACGCCTATAAATGCTTCGGATGACAAGAATAGGGAGGACAGCAACACCCTGCTTTGCCCCGCACGCACTAACGGGGAGACAATGGTATGCAGGTTTGCGGGTCTGCAAAACTACAATCTTGCCGGGCGGCCAATTACCTGTGACATTGCTCGCGTGGCGCCCTCCTCACGACAGGGCTGTAGAGGCTGGTGGGTTACAAAACTAACTACAATCTTGCCAAGGCGGCCAATGTGGCGGGCGACAGAAAGGGCAGAAGCCGGCGACTTCCGCGGCGATGGAGCAGGACCTGCCCGAGCCCATCAATTGCGGCGGCGTCGTCCTCGACCAAGAAGACCTTTTCCTCCAGCATCAAGCTGCTCGACAGGCCGCAAACCAGCCGACGCCACCGTTACATTCGGACACGATGGCGGAGTGTTTGGTGATGTGGATGGGAGAGGGGAAGTTTCACTAGAGCACTCTTCCGATGTTGGGAGAATCCTAGGGACTATGTCCAATGTGTTTCTTGACTGAACTACCGGTAGCGAGAAAGGTGTAAACTGCTCTTGGGACAAAATTTTAGACATAACAACTCGGCGTAAAATTATCAAAGAAAGTTTTTATTTTCTAGGGGTGAACACTCGCCTTCATGTTGAACATCGCATCACTGAAGAGGTCGTTGGTGTCGACCTTGTCGCCCTGCGGCTCTTCCTCGCTGCCGGTGGCCGCCTGAGTGGCGTTCCCGAACTTTCCAAGCTAACTCAGACTGGCCACGCAATCAAGTGCTGGTTGTGTGCTGATGACCCGCAAAACGACCTCTCTCCCGATTGTAATATTGTTCAGCTATCGCAACCAGTGAGGCAACATCAGAGCCCGAGCTCTATCGTTCGTTCTGAGACGGCAATTTGCAGCAGTATCTCTATCTCTATCTATTTCGACTCGATGATTTGCAAGATCGTCATTCGGGCCCCAACCAGGGCCCAGGCAATCCAAATCCTTACTAAAGAACTCAGGAATATGGTTTATATGGGCCTCAAAACAAATCAACTCTTCCTCCAGAGTTGTTTGCTGCACCCTGCCTTCCAGGATCCAGAATATAACACATCTTTTATCCCTCGACACCTTTAGCAACTGCTTCAAAACCCTTACAAGTTACCACGCCAAGTTGCCAGATCACATAACCGTCATCCCAACACTGTACATCCAAATGATGAAGCAGCCTATGACGCGACAGGGTGGTGGACGATCGACGTTCCAGGGAGTCCGTAGGGGGTTCCATGATCGGAAATTCGACGCTTTCAACAACCTTTGTGAGATTGTGTCCCTTAAATCATCACTGAAATCTGCTACCAATAACAGCCTTATGAGCTGCGATGCATGTCTTTCTCAGTCAACTAGACTCGGCATGTCTGATAGCCACGGAGGGGACGATTTTCGTCTACCCACCCCTCGAAATAGTTGAAATCGTGAAAGGGGGCCACCTCCCATAGCAGGCAACGAGGCGGAGCATGAGATGCCCGCTACCACACGTCCCTCTATACAATATACCCTCGCAACTCGCGCTATGCGTGTTGGAGGTGAAGCATGGTCTCGAGTTCCTTTTCGCGTGTCAAGCGTAAGTCTGAATTCCATCGTTGCTGGTCGCGTTGAAAGTTCAGCTGGTTTCGTGCCGCATGACTGGAAAAGGCCATCGGTCATGGAATTTAATCTGGATGGCCAAAAGAGACACGCATTCCTCGCCGCCGTCAGGCAGGAGGGTAATGGCCTCGGTGTCATCAGGCAGTCACAGCCGGTCGAGTCAGTGAGCATCCTCTGTCATCTTCCAGAGCTGGGTGAGTGGAAAGAATTCCAGCATGACAGCTTCCTTTCCTTCTTCTCCAGAACCAAACAGGAGAGACCCAACTAGATACAACGTCAGAGAGTCATAAAGGCGCCGATGCCGTGCAAAGTATTGGCCATCGTTAAGTCTCCTAGTGACGCCGTTGCGGTAGGAGATAGTATCATTGTCATTAAGAGTATAAAAATGGAGATCAATGTTCGCGCTAAGGTAGCGGGCACATTCAAGACGAGATGGAAGGCGGGAGATGCCGTAGACGAGAGTGCGATCCTATACACGGCCGAATAAGGTTCAAGGCAGTAGCAGCGACCTCAAGGTCTCCGGTTTTAAGCAGGTGTAGTTAGAAGAAAGTATAGAATTATTAGAAGAGGGTTTACTTCGTGCCGCTAATCTCCTAGAAAAGGGCTGGGCTGTCTTCAGTAATATTTCTAGCAAATGAGAGCCTTAGCAAGCCTCACAACTTAACTGTCGTAGTTCGATTACCAGGTTTATAGCTCGGTGGGAGAGTCTGCCCTCGGTAGCATTGGCATACAACCGTATTATAGAAACACATATACTGATTTAGTCGGAAAAAATTAAGATAACTATTGAATGAAGCATGCTGGTTTATGCCAACCCTAGACCTTCCTGAAAACAACACCCACCTCATCAGTCCCAACCCCCACCTCGGCTAGCATCAAACCACCATCGTCGACATTATCGTAGTTAGTGAGCTCCCCATCTACCTATACGGCCTACAATCCCCCATCAAGGTTCTTCGCCATCGGTTGGATTTGTACTGGCTTGTTGTCCCAAGTTCTCACCGTGGGAATCAACGCCACGGCCTCTTTATCCCACATTCCTCACAAGCAATCTATCCGAGAGAGACTTACGTTATCAATCCAAGCGCGAGTTTCTAGATCTCGGCTAGTCCAAGGCTTCTCCCACATGGTTTTCTGGCCATTATAAACATTCGGTCGAGCGTACACCACACACGCATTCCCAGCGAATGCACCCACTTGAGCCCAGCTACCATCCTTGTGAGTCTTTGTGTCATTTCTCGAGTAAAATAGTCCGCCATTCTTGCATGTAGGCTTCTGATGTGTGTCAAAATATCGTAGCAGTTCCTCAACTGCCTCCTTAAGCACTAATCCGTCCTCAGCCCGTCCGTTCGTTCCGCCATTAGTGATTGCAGGTGCGGCTCAATTCTACCGAGATACTTGTTAGACATGGCGAAGTGACCCTGTTAGGTGAGCAGTACGCACCCGGAAGAGACGGTAAGCCCTAAGGCTTACCAAATCGAGGAAAATCAATCATGTGGTGTGGGCCCCGGCCCCTTCAATCACTCACGTCTAGGGGCCCGTAATGTCAGCGTCGTACTGTTGAGTTTTACTAGTATTTGTTGGGAGAATGTATTGATAATTGCAGGATTCTTCAACAGGTGGGTTATCTACCCAAAAATAGGACCACGTCATGGTCACCGCCCTTATATGGTCGTCGATTAATAGCCAAAGAGATACGTTTTATTGGCAATATTACAATAGTAATTCCTATCCTTTCAGATGTATCAACAGTCGTGTAAATATGCAGACTAAATGGGACCCTGGTTCTCTGGGGTTGGCATTAATTGCTTCGGTGCCTAGAAGGATTGGGACATCAGGCGTTGAAACGGACGCGGTCCCGGTCCGAGTTTTGCTTGGGTCGTTCAACTCGGCTAGACTTCGCTACCAGGGTGCGTGGCACGGGTAGTAATTTTTACTCATGGGATAAGTCCAGAAAATTCTTGATCTTGATAAAAGCTGTGCTCAAACAACTACATCCGAGTCAACACTGGACGTCTTGAAAAATAGCAGTGCTTGCCTCGCTGCGTACGCTCAACCACCAACGCTAAAACTTTCATTCTTTTTTTCCCTTTTATTTTTCTTGGACCAAAAAAACCCTCCCTGGATAACCGTCGCACTGGATTTTGACCTGTAAGACCGCCATGGGCTTCAAAACACCTTTCAGGGTTGTCATCGCCGGCGGCGGCATCACCGGCCTCTCATTGGCGATAATGCTGGAGAAGTTTGATATTGACTACGTGCTTCTCGAGTCACACAAGGACATTGCACCTGCTGTGGGCGCCAGCATCGCGCTGATGCCGAATGGCTCGCTCATTTTAGATCAGCTGGGCTGTTACGACGAAATCATAGCCCTTTTGCAAGGCGGTGTCATACAAACCTTTCATACGAGGGATACCGACGGGAAGGCGCTCATCACCACGCCTAATTTCAATGCCCATTTTGAACAGCGGTTAGTGGCTTTAGGCTTCGGCTGCAGTATTTTATACTTAATGCTTCTTGGGCATGTTTGCTGACGGAGTCCTAGCCATGGATATCCAATGCTGTTCTTCGATCGACAATGGCTCTTGCAAATTCTTTACAACAATGTCAAGCACAAGGACCGTATTTTAGTGGGCGAGAGAGTCCAGGAGGTAATTCCTATTGCCGACGGTATCGAGGTTCGGACGGGGCCTGGCAGCCTATACCGCGGCCACATTCTTATCGGGGCCGACGGCATTCACAGCTCAGTGCGACGGGAAATGTTTCGACTCGCACACGAAACGAAGCCTGGACACTTTCCGGTGGGAGAAGAAGACCGAGTGCCGTGCTACTACCAGTGCAGTTTTGGTATCGCCCAAGACGTTGATCATTGGCAAGATGGGGACGAGTGCTTTACCATCGGCGATGGAAAAAATTTCCTTGTCGCTCCTGGCCCGAGAGGGCGCGTGTACTGGTTCCTGTTCCGCAAGTTGCCCGAGGTGAGATACGGCAAGGATATCCCGCGGTATACCAAAGAGGACGAAGCAGCATTTGTGAAGGAGAATTTCCATTTGGCTATCAACGAGAACCTGAGTTTTGGTAAACTGTACGAGAAACGTATATCGTCAAGTCTCACTCCATTACATGAGGTCGTCTTCAAAAAGTGGTACTTTGACCGCATTCTGGTCATAGGCGATGCTGTTCACAAGGCAAGTATTCTCGTCCTTAAAGTTACTTGTTAGATATGGGTCGTCCTAACAAACCGGCAAATGAATAGCCAAACCCTATTGCTGGTATGGGCGGCAACAACGCCATAGAATCTGCCGCGGAATTTGTGAACGCGCTTATCGAACGGATGAAGAAAGGGAGTTTGGAGGATCTCACTACGGCGGACATCCAAAAGCTTGGAAAACAAGTCCAAGCCGTTCGTTATAAACGAACCATGTACATCACCGCGCTCTCTCACAGGATGCAGGCCCAATTTGCACGGGAATACCCCATGGTCTCCGACATTGTATGGCGTGGTGTAGCTCCTATGGCAGGGGAAGAGCTCCCGATCGAACTTACGGTTGATCGCATAATAGGGGGAAGTCGGCTGACGGATTTGCCCGTCCCTCTACGGCCACATTGCATTCCTTACGACCACGAACTTCCGGCAAAACCATTGAAAAGGTTGTGGAAAAGTTTACCACTTGTTCTATTCATCGTTGTAATGGGTTACACCGTCCTGGACCTATCCAAGGCAAGGCCGATCCCGCTGCTCGAGGAGTTTTACAGCTCTACTGCTTCAGTTGATGCTTGGTGCGGGAGCCAGCTCATCCAAGCAGAAAATTTTTCAAGTGTCAAGAACTGTCGCCAAGCTCGCCACCCAAATATCACAGTTCCCGTGGTCTACTTTTTGTCTCAACTCCTCTCACCTATCTTAATTTTTACAATTGAGGGGTATCGAGCTGGAAACAAGATTACTCCCCTCGCTTTGGCTTCTGTTTACTGCGGGGCTTTGCAGGTTTTAGGTTTTGGTCGTACTGCTGCCCTCCACGCTCTTTTCTCTGGCCTCTTCGAGTTTCAGACGCCGGCGGGCCGCCGCGTGCAGCGGGAGATAGCTCAGGCTCTTCTGCCCGCGGTGACCATTGGGTATTTGTTACCAATGTTGGTGATCTTCGCATCTCCGGCCAGTTTTTCTGATTGGAAAATCCTCTTGTGGTATCTATCACCGCTTCTTTTCCCTTCCCTTGTGCGCGCATTGTCCCGTCTTGGAACCTCGCAAAAAGCTAGCAGAGGGGGTTCAACAGCGGTACCAAAAGGCCAGGACGATCTCCTTCGTGGGCGATACAGCATCGATGATGCCTCTCTATTGAATCGTTCGTACGATTTTGTACTTGCATTACAAGCTGCTGTGCACGTGTCAATCCAGATTTATGCAGTTTCTTTCGCGGGGCAGCCCTTTTTGCAGCTATTGAACCTTCCTAGCTTCTCCGCGAGCGGCTTTAGCTACCGAGGTATCTCTTCAGTACTCCTGGAATTATTCCAGCATGACGTGGTTTGGGGAATGGCAGTCGTAGTCGTGTCGAATCTCCACACCGTTTGGGGCTTACGCCGGCGTGGATATATTGCTACCTGTGACGCGACCAAGGCCATCGTTGGCGTCATTCTAGGTCAGCTCCTGATAGGACCGGGTGCAACCTGGAGTTTGCTCTGGCGTTGGCGAGAGAAAAAGATCATAGATATGATAACCACTGGCTAAAACGCAACAGGCAAGGGCTTTGGGCGCAACTTGTTACGATCCCAACACTTATGCTGACACTATATCAGGTGGCTACAGCTGGTGTAAGGGTCGAGGGGGCCTGTTATGAAGTAAGTAGCGCAGTCAAGCAGTATTCACAATAACTATATAAGAAGTGCGTATTCAAGTGTAGGGGTGTAGTATTACTTAAATTAACTACTGGAGAGTCTTGGAAGACAAACTAGATACATAGCAGGATCCGTAGTTTATATAGACGCTTTCCCTTCCAAGCTCTCTCCAGGACCAATCTTCTTCTAGCTTGGTCCTCCATGCAGGACTGTGGTGGACTGCCCCTTAGTCCTGTTAGTCCTTGGTGGGTGGAGCGATGGGACTACCTGTCGGTCCTGTCAGTCCCATTTCTACTGACTCTGTGCTTTATCCGTTTCCGCCGGGTCTCACCGCCCTGGACCTGCATAAAGGTCGGCCCGTGACAGACTAGGACATGATTTTGCGCTCGCCAAAGCACACATTACGTCCCCCGGCTGGAGTTTTTGCCCAGCACAAGTAGTGACTGCATGCCTGGTGGCTCTTTCGTTGCGCCTCGGGCCTCCTGCCTTCCTTCACGAATCCTGTAGTACAGCAAAGACGTGCAAGTTCTTATTTTCGGCCCTCGTGTCCACGACCAGAGTGGTTACCGACTTCTTGAGCCAGCAGTTCCCGCCCCTTTCATTAATCCATTTCAAATCCGAATGGAAGTGCACGGCGCCGCACGTTGTGTTGGGGACGTTCCCTCTCTCGTTAAACGACGCACAAGCCCTGAGACAGTCAGTGAACCGATAGGCCAGAATCGTAACGATGTTTCGATCGCCCTCGCCGGGGGCGGAGTCCGCGCCGCACGTAGCCTCGAAAGTGAACGTCTTGGAAGTAGGCGTTACTTTGTGCGTGGTGGAGTCGAGGTTGGGACAATCGACGGGGACGAGCCCGATGGTTGCTGGAAGCGCGATGTTTCCTCCTGTCGCCGGCGTGGCCCCTGAGCTTGGGTCATCATCGTCGTTGTCGGAATTAGTAGGGGAAGAGTTGTCCGGAGAAGAAGTTGTCCTCTCGGCCGTCACATCAGCGCGACCACGTCTGGCAAGAGCGGAAGAAAAAGTTAGCCCGGCCTTCATTCAAAAACGACGAAGCAAGGTAGCAAAGATCACCACGTACTCGTATGCCTTGTCCACCGCAATCGATCCGCCGACCCCGCCTGCTATTGCGGCAATAACGATAACGAGAGTTAACAATACAAGGAGGATAAAAGTCGACGTCCTCAAGCCGCAAAACTTTCGCTTTTCCACTGGGGCTGCTGCCGCCGCTACTCCCCCTTTCTCACTCGGTGAAGGCTTGCCGTAGTAAGATGTCACTTCGGGCAGGTGAGATGGTTCGGGCACGACCTCGAGGCCGCTCTCTACGGGAGTGGCCGACCGATACTGTGGAGGAAGCCCAGTAGTGGCCATTGTTGTTTTGGCTGTCAAGAAGGATTTGCCTCCCAGCTAGATTACAGGACCTGATACCGGGTGAGAGGAGCAATGCGATTTGAAAGGGGAAACATTGAAAACTGGAAAGACAACAATTCACAACATTTGGGCCAGAGACGGGATTTGCAAGTGGCAGGTGATGGCCAATGAGACACAGGGAAATCTGTTAAGGGATGTGGCAGGGCACAGGATGTTACTAAAACTAGGTCGCCAAGCCGGATTTCTGCGGTAGCCAAGATTGCGACCAGATTACAATATTCACTGATGTGTTTGTAGAGACAGTATTCCAAGCGTCAAGGTCTCTGGGAACAAATTATAACACGACATACCATTGAAGAACACATCATTGGTCCATTAATACACTGTCCTACCATTTTTAAAGCCCAACACGGACTGAACGAACGTGACACATGGATTCGTGGATGCCTCAGGGTGGTAGTATTTACCGAGTTTATTCCCAACGGCAGTGGCCCCGCCTGGCAGGATCATGTTCCCTGCGCGTTAGGAATCGGGCCTCTCGGGATGCGTCAATGCGATTAGGGGTACTTCGTCATTACCCCTGAATAATGTTGGCTATATTATTCCGGCCTCAGATTGAGCTTGCTCACTTACTCAATCCGCATAACACCCAGTGACTCTGTGGCACCAGGGCAGGCCTATGTATTTGACAGTCTCTCTCCGTGTAATGCTAAGGGTAAAAAGCGACATTCTCAACAAAGATTTTTAATAATTGCAGGAGGTTTGGAGGGGAAAACATAAAGATCTATAAAAAGCGCCAGCGACAAAATAAGAGACCCGATTAGGAATGGGCAACTCCCCGCCTGGTATTGAAACGGAGCAGTGCAGCCTGCCCGTACACCACAAGAACGAAACAAAGAAACAGTTGGTTAAATGGGTCTAGAATGGTTCCCGCAAGAAGCTGCTGCAATTCCTCCTGCAGGAATGGTAATGGAACGTCGGAATGGTTGATCAACGGGAATAGAGCCGTATCACAACGAAAGGAGGCTTCCAAATTAGGGGAAGCCAGGAAATTATGTAAGTGTCAAGTACAGGACACTTGGACACACAAAACAATAGAAGAACTGTCCAGAGTCACCATACAAGATGATCCATGAGAATAATAAAAGGAAGTCAATTGAAAGAAAGACTAATGGCTGGAATACTTGAAGAACTTGAAAAAATTGTTGAAGAACTGTTATTCCTCTCTTGAGAGAGGAAGGAAAAGAAAAGAAATAACCATGCCCTCGGCCCATGGTAAGGAACAATATTTCTCCGCCTCCATTATCGCGGTCCCACGAGAGAACGTCACCATTTCCACCGCTGTCACCTTTTCTCCCATCACAGTATTATCCTACACCGCGTTTGTGGTCTTGTGTTCAACTCCTCAGCTCTTCGCGCTCGTGTGACCGTAGTTCTCGTGTATAAGGGTCTATAGAGAAGGCGGATAGCTAGTGTTAGAATAGGATGTAGTCCAACAGCTTGGCCATCCTGTCAATCGGGAAAGCCTTGAGATACCAGTAGCTCGCGGGCACCGCGATTGACAGTGTCTTCCTGTCCAGAAGCGCGCCCTTCGGCATCCGTTCCCTCATGACAGTGAGAAACTTGAGGCAGCTCGCCCCGTCATCTGGCTTTCCCGGAGGAGTACCTGGGATGCCCATGGCACCTGGGTACTCCCAGTGACATTCTCCGACAGGCCATGAAGTCCCAATGGACGTGTGTATAAGGGTCTTCGCCGCCCATGCTCCCCGCGCTCTCGGATTTCATGTGGAGGCACTTGCGCTTCATGTTCCACGATTCGTAATAGCCAACACGCTGGAAAATTGGCGGTCCTTCGCCGTTATTCTTGATCTTGGTGCCACAGCTTGAAACACAGCCCTTTAGCAGCCCAGAAGTTCCAGGGTTACCGAGGTCAGACCGCTTTTCTTCACAGAAGTCGCCGTTAATTCCTCATTGGCCCCAGACATTACAGCATGCGTTAAGTGGGCACCTATTCATATTAGTTAAGTCATCATTATCCTCGACGTGATCCGAGGGGGTGCCCGGCTTGGTAGGCCCGCAAAGGGCGTCTTTATTTGGATACGGCATGGGTCGTCTATCTCGTTTCAAAGGGGGTCAGCACGGAAGGAGGCGAGGCGGATTGTCCAGCTCGTTCTCCACCATGGATAGACGAAGCTTGGGGGGCGGGAATGTGAGGAACTTACTTTCCATCGGATAGGCAATTGTTAGTGTCGATTAGCAGTCTGCCGCACCCATACTAGGCCCATGTCGCGCCCTTATTCCACTTTTCGATGTCCTATGTTTTGATCCCGTGCTTGCCGGCAATTGACTCGTGACACGGTAGGTGGCGCAGATACCATCCGCCCCTAGCTTAGGAATGAGATCGTCCATACCACCCCCAGAGCAACAGACGTATTAGCCTACCATTAAGGTGGAACAAAAGTCATTGCCCGGGTTGAACTTGGTGAAGTCGCTGGGCGATATCCCGCAGCGCTCTCTGGGCCTGGGATGCGCAGCTGTCATTGTCCACCAGCACCTCGAGCCGGCATAGTCCGCGGCGCCGAACGTTCTTCTCGTCATTGTGCGGCTGTAGCGCTTCACGAGCGGTTCCTGGTGGCGAACTGCGACCAACACTGCGCGAAACCGAGACAAAACATCGGCAAATGCTTTATTCTTCTGCCGAGAAGTGAGATTATTTAAATTCTTGGATGATTGCCATATTGTCAAACCGCCAAGCCCGCTTGTCCTCTTGAAACTGGTCACGCACGTTGACCGGTTCCACGACTGTAAGGCGTTCTCCACAGTCGTAATGTTTCCAGTGGCACTCACGGCCACTCCAAATGTGTAATCTGCCGTCCGTCCAGTCCCGCATAGCTGGGAGGCGATCGTTGTCGCCGCTGATCCGCTCTCGGCCCCAACGTGGCTCAAGACAGCTTGGATGACTGACGCCACTGTGCCATGGCACCGAAGCCCGGCCCGTAGAGTCCTGCCACAACCCCGCCGATATAGCTAAGCATCAGCGACGCCGTGCAGTCTAATGAAAAGTGTTGCCCTAGCGCCTCTAGCGCTGTGACGATGCTGTTCTCTTTACTAGTGGCTGGACCTTCCACTGCAAGCTTCAGGGTGGCAGTTGTCTCGACCGCAGATACCACGCATGTGCTGGTCGCCGCAGTGTCCCGTCTAGCTAAGGTAAGAGCTTGATACCTCTTACCGACTAACGGATTGGTGTTTTTGCCGCTATCACTAGCTCCGAGTGAGCACACCCGCATCTTGGTGGGCGTCAAAGGGTCTGCGACAGGGTTGCAGATATTGAAATCAAAGAGCACCCGCTCCTTACAGCTCGTAAGCTGGTCCGTGGATGTGTACGTCGCCCATTTGTAAGGTTCCGTTGGAGCCGTTGTGCAAGCAACCCGGCAGAAGTGGAGCGCTGGGTAGTAGGAACCTGGCTTGTCAGTGCCTCCCAGCAGCTCCTCGTTGGTCATGTCAAGATGGTTATATGACCTCGGCTCCTGATGAAGAGTTGTCGCGTCTCTAGTTGAAATCGAGGATACTCGGCCTATGTTGTTGAAAGAGACGGAAGTGGTTCTGATGCCACCGCGTGCAGCACGAACAGTGCCCCGAGTAATGCCATCGCCATGGCAGCATTGATATGACAGAAGCCTAGGCGAATTTTTGTCCTGAAAGAAAAGGACCTCTTCGCGGGCCTTTGGATCTGGGGGGAAAGAGGATACAATTGCCAGAGGCTACTTGCGCAGCGGTATAGATGAGAAGTTGTGGAGAGAGATAAGAGTGAACAGAATGTCAGACAAGTTGTTAATTTAATGCATTCACCGTGACATGGTCGCACAATACTCAGTCTAACTGGTGCCTGGTTTCCATTGACATCCTCGAAGAACATCTATAAGTTATTGCCTATCTGTTACTATGTTACCTTGTTATGCTTACTGCCTGCAATCTCATTCCTGCGCAAATTGGAGGGCACTTGTCAGTCGCTTGGATCATATGTGAGTAGGTGACCGCTCTGGTTCTGGGAAGGTGGTCAGATATATACTAGGCGAAACATCAAAACACAAGCTCTATTCCCCAACAAGGCTCTAGAGTTCTGTATTTCCCCAATGAAAATGTAGCAATTCGTTTTCCCCTCGATTTTATACTTTCTCGTCAGGTCTTCTAGTTATAGCTTATAAACTAGGTCGGCTGCCCCTACTTTTACTTTGATAGACTGACTCAGTTTATAAATGTTACTGTAGTAGTAGGATTGCTATAAACCTTCCGATAATCCTGGCTCAGACTTGGGATGTAAGGACCTCATTCTAGTGGCCAGTGACGGGAGTTTGCCCTGTTAACTGGATTGCCGATTCTGTCTGGTAGCACAGATACCCTTTTGTTTTTTTTCTTTTTTTCTTCTCTTAACTCCCTAGTTAAGAGGCCATCATGGTGACTGCTCGGCCTTCTTAATTGGCGTGAAATGATGGCGGCCTAGCGTACCAACCTAAGCGTGGCACGCCAGATTCGCTATGTCACCTTCGTGCCAATCGGGCTCATCGGCGGGAGGCATGAGTTGCTACGGAGAAGACACTTATCGCCCCCTCTCCCATTAGGAGGCTGCTGGTCTTTCTCATTTCAGCCGCGCATCCCTCTCGAGTATTCTGCCTTCTCTGCAATCAAATGTTTTCCTTGAAAAGTATGTTATTATTGACCTCTCTTATCCTTGGCGCTAGTGCCACATGGACCCGCTTCTGGCGCTGGGATGGAGGGGCGCTGGGTGGGCAAGTCGACCCAAACACCACCTCTTACTGCTCATGGTGGTATGATAGTGACGGTTCTATAAGGTGCTTAGACATGCCTACCTACTAGGGCATCACTGTGGCCGATTTCCTTTGGTGGGTAAGTAGATATAGATTTAATTGATTTGTATGATTTGAGATGCTACTGTAACTGATACTCAGTCCTGGGCAGGACCCCTCCATCCCTGCGTCGTGGAAACTTCAAGATTGGATGGTCTACTGCGTGGGGGCTTTAAATGAACTACCACCGGTAATCATAACCACGACGGTAAGGACGTCTAGTACCTTGACTATGACCACGACAGCGGCCATGACGACGACCAAGCCAAGCAATGGCATCGCCACCCCAACCCCAATCCTGGATGGGATGGTTGACAACTGTGATTCCTTCTATTTCGTGGTCCAAGGGGATGACTGTGCTGCTATTGCTAGCAAACACGATATCACTCTTCCTCAGTTCCTCTCCTGGAACCCCGCCGCCAAGCCTGATTGCTCTAGTTTGTGGGCTAATACCTATGCCTGCATCTCTATCATTGGCCATGTTCCCCAACCGACAACCACTCAGCCTTCAAACGGCGTCACTACCCCAAGCCCGATTCAAGATGGAATGGTCACTAACTGCAAGACATTCTGCTTCGTGAACCAAGATGAGACCTGCTTGACCGTCGCCTCGAAGAACAGGATCACGGCAGAGCAATTTCTATCCCGGAACCCCGCAGCCAAGTCTGACTGCTCCAGTCTCTGGGCTAATACGTACGCTTGCGTTGCCGTTTTGTAGAGCCGGTAACTGATGGGGAATTATTATACCTTTCCACAAAGGAGAAATATATAAACTATAACTAGCGAGGTAAAACGGCCTCGTTGAATATCACCTCTTCCCAAGTGCTCCGTATAATACAAGATAAAGACCCAGGGTTGGGAATAGTTGTTGCAATAAATACGTAATTTGGGTTCAAAGTTACCAGCCCCTCCTCTAAAGGCGAGGCACAGTCCCGCTATTATACTACGCTCACAGGGTGGTAAGAATCAAAAGGCAGGGCGCGTGTTTCGAGAGAAACGTTGAGGTATTTGAAAATAAACTTCCATTCACTTCCTTAAACTCGGGAATAATGAAGAAGGACCCCCTTTAAGATAACTGGCTTTTTTTCTTTTTGTCTTTTCTCTTCCACTCGAAGAAAATCCAGCCAATGTTATTCCCTTCCTCTGCCTTTTAAACTAAATCAATTTCCCTGTGCATATTACCCAGTGCCTGGTATAATAGTCCAGCAGTGCTCCTCGCCATATCAGACTTCTTACCTAAAAACCAGAGCCCCTTAATACACTCCTTACACCGCCTTAAACTCTCCTCACAAGTTTCACCTTCATGTCCTAGATCTGTCACCTTTGTCTGCCATAAATCTTGTGCCCGTGCGATGTGCAGGGCTCCCGCTTTTGTAAAGGCTCTGATAACAAGCACTGTCCATGGCTCAGTGAGAATTGTACACTTGTTGACGGCGAAATGGAAGTCGGGTGATGGTATGGACTGGGACTGGGAATGAGATTGAGGCGTAGCATCGCCGTACGTTGAGTCTGCTGCCCCGGGGGGCACGGAAATCCTCGCCAGGTCAGATATCTCATTGGCGCTAGCCTTCCGGATTCTCTCAGCAACCTTGTTCTTGATACGAGCTTGGCCAGCTTCTGTATTGCCAAACTGCGTCCTGTCGATAAAGTCAAGTAGGTCGGCAAACAGTAAGGCTGCCAGGTGCCAGTGCGCTGATATGCAAAAGAACCAACTCTGGATTCGGGGAGGTACACCAGGGAAATCTCGGACAAGGTCTTTAAAGAACGCCCCGTACGTCGTGTTCCAGTAGCGATAGAGTGACATGGCGCTCTGGATGATTTCCTCCATGGAGCCAGGGTGCTCTCTCCTTCGAAGCGAATTTTGCAACCATGAAACATGCCGGAAGAGGAGGACCTTGACTGGGCCTGCTCGGGTTACCGCCTCGGCAGCGGCTTCGTAAGAGCATGGCCAACGCGGTATATGTTTTGGCCTCTCTGGGTCATCCTGGATGAAAAGCGGCGTTGACCACCGTCGAATAGACAGTCTGGTCAGGCCGGGTTTTGAAAGAGCATCATTTGTTGATGTCTCAGCAGAAGCAGTTGCATTGCAGTGCTGAGAGTCCTCGTCAGCCACAACAACAGGTCTCTCGTTCATCGACGAGGAGACGGTATCGAACATAACAGCGAGCCAATATACAAGACCCACAGTCTTTTCATGTTGTTGTACTTCGTCGCATGACGAGGAGGTTTCCGGCGTTTGTCTGTCCATTTCTCTGCCTCGGCCGCTAGATATTATGCCTAGCTGTTGAGAATCCCAGCGGAATTTTAATGTGTGAGCCTTGCGTATCGCGCTCTCCAGGTGGGTAGGTGTGCCGTCTTTGGCGATGGCCGCTTCAAGTCTCGCTGCCAGGGGGGTACTACTATCGTGAAGGGTCCCGCGGGGATCTCGTGGCTGGATTTCGAAATGCTCAATATCCTCAAAGTCCCATGGCTTTTGGCAAAGTCCAAAAATAAGCCCAGCACAACTAACCCTGAAGCACTCTATGCCGGACGTTTTTTGAAGCGCTTCCTGAGCCTGTTCCCAGAACGAAATTTGAATATTGCGATCAAACTCCTGTCCCAAGTCGTCCACATTGAACTCCGATGCCGGCCCGTATCGTTCCCGTTCGCGATGGCTGCCCTGTGCCCACTGACTAGTAAAGGCCATAATGGCAAGGTGTAACGCCTTAGTGGCTGCTTGGTTCTCCTTCGCAGTTAGTCGAATCAGACCAGTGGAGCGGGCATATCGGTCTAGCTGAATGACGCGGGAGTATATTCGGTTGGACCAAGTACTGCCTTGCTCCTCCGCAGTCCATCGGGATCGGCCCTGCGTTAATGATCTCATGCTCGGTTTATCCGTGTATGGACAAGTTTCCTCAGTTAGCCAGCAAGAAAGACTGTGCTCTAATACGTCGTGGTAGATACGGAACAGACTCTCTGAAATCATAGTGTTGTTCGATTGCGACATGATTGCCTCGTTAAGTGCGTAAAACGGAAAGGAAGGAGCCTGCGTTTCTTGCCACGCGCTTGATCGTCGACTGAATGGGTTCCGCGAAGATATATACAGAACACCGCGATCTTCCTCGTCATCTCGAGTGTTCTCTGAGCCCCAAGAGGACGCAGGGAAGCCGACACTCTGACGCGGAGTTGGCTCTGTCTCCCATCCGGGGGACACACCAAAACCTATGTCAACCGCTCCGGGCTTTTCAGTCGCTTCAGAGAGGAGAAGTTCCGGCATTCCGAACTGGAGCGCCTGGTGATCCTCTAGGAAAAAGCAAGGGTTCGGTGTGAGGGAGGAGAAGGGGTCGGGCTCGAGCGCAAGTACAGGAAGCTTGTCCAGCCATGCATGCGATGCGGTATCTTCGTGGAAGCCTGGTTGATTCTGTAACACACGAGTGTGGGTCGGGTCGGGCATACTTGTCATCGTCGTCGTCGATGTCGTCGTCGATGTCGTCGTCGATCCAACGGCTATTCGTGTGTCGGGCACAATGTTCTCTACCGGTCGGTCAATTGAGTCTGACCTCCGCTGGCGCTTGGCTAGTCCATGGGTCATATGAGGTCTGCGATCCTCGGCATCGCTTCGGCGTCTCGATCGTCGCGTCGACTGGAGCTGGGCATGCGCCCAGGCGTATGTACATTTCTTTCCTGTCCTGATACAATAGGCGCACGGCTGGGATAGATCCTCGACTTCTAAAGAAAGGGGATTAGACGTTTGTGAGCCGGTTCTCAGATAGGTCCGGAGGAGCCGCGCTTACCACCGACAGGAAAGACATTCGAGCAAGCTCGTTTCGATCGCCGACATTGATCGCAGGACCGATTCTGGCGACGCATCGTCTGCTCACGACACGACATAAGTCGAAAGAAATATAAAATATTCGCCTGAGAATTATTTTAGAATAATAAGACACAATCGGTTGTCCGTAGGAATGCCGCCTGGAATGACGCTGGCGCTGTCCTCACCAGAGCTGATGCAAAATGGGGGTTGGGGTGCTTGGCGAGAGATCGATGTGTGGGGCTTCAAGGATTCCAAGAACGTGAAAAAGCTCTGATCTGTCATCAGAGGCGAGAGACCTATATGTAACCTTGTTCGGTTCTCCATTCGCTACCAGAACATGGTCCGGTCCACCGGAGCCCCTATTTCCCCGCCTTTTGCGGGGGGCGGGAGTAGGTATTTTACTATTGGATGAAGTGGTCGCTGAAGGTGCACGCTAGGCTTCAGTTAGTACACTAGTTCCATGCAGCAGAGTCTTTTCGTATACTGTATAAAGTAAAGGGACTTGATTGGAACCCATTCTTGCTAGTCTATTCGGTTTAACTTCGTACAGGTACCACCGTGGAAATATTTCTCGAGAAACACGCCTCAGATCGACGGAGCACCGATGCTGATGCACAGCTAGTACAAAAGTAACCTGGCGCACCACCGGCATCAACTCGCAGGGCTCAGCTACACTAGACCTGGACGAGCTTGGGATAGTCAGCCCAACATGCAAAGGCGGAATTAAGCTCCAATTTTAGAGTTCCTGCTGCGGTGGGTCAAACAGCCTGGTCAGAGGTCGGGTGGGGTAATACGAAGTAAGACATCAATGAATCAATATATCAATAGATCAATACCTGCAATATTTCAATTCAACTACCTAAGACTACTGGCCTGAAACAATTTCGACACCGATGGCCTGGACTGACGCGGAGGTTATTAAGCCTTCGCAATATCAAACCCAGCCATACTGTCCAAAGCCTGTCGAATCTCCGCCGCGTACGAGGGAATGCCGCCAGCGTAGCAGACAGGTTCAAACACCTTGCCCGGAATGCTGCCGCCCATGTACGTCGACCTGGTGGTGGGGAAGAGAGTGGCGTTGTTGAGGTTAACGAGCTGATCCTTCCACTCCTTACAAGCCTCGGGCTTGGGGTTGATATATTGGATATTATTCATTTCCATCTTGCGGATGCAATCGGCGATCCACCTGCCCTGAACCTCGATCGTCGAGGGCCCGTTGCTGAGAAGCGTCGGGGCATGCGCTCCATAGAGATGGAACATGTTGGGGTAGCCACCGACAGTCAGGCCGAGGAAAGTGGAGGCACCAGGGGCCCATTCGTCTTCGAGTTTGGTCCCATGGATACTTTCAAGCCCCAGTTGGGTCATTACTGTCAAGTCATGTTAGAGTTGAACTCAGAGCAATACAAAGGGGCGTTCATGGGTTGGGAAATTCATCGTGCATACCTCCAGTGACAACATCCTATAATTTTTTCGGTGAAAACAAAAGTCAGTCAACGTTCTTAGCCGCCAGAAAAGACTGGAAAAATAAACTCACGAATCCGGTGGCGACCGCAATCACATCGAACTCATGATGAGATCCGTCTTCGAGGATGATTCCTGACTCGGTAAACTCCTTGATAGCATTATCCTGAATGTCAACGACGTCGACAGACGGCCGGTTAAACTGTTCGTAGTAGGTGGCCTCCAAGCAGGGTCGTTTAATGCCGAAGTAGTGAGGCATCTCTAGTGGTGCGAGAAGGTCCTTCAACCTGGGATCATCGATCCTGGCCCTCGTCTTCTTGGCCCAGAAATTGTAGGATTCCTTGTTCGCTTCTGGGTTAAAGAGGTTGTCTTTGTAGAGACCGACCCAAAATCGAAATCCGCCCTCATCCCAGACCTTCTCGTAAAAGGCCTCACGCTCCTCGGGTGTGTCGTCGAACGTGTTCTTCTCATACCAGCCATAGTGGAACCCGGCAAAGTTCTTCTCACGGAAACGGAAAAGCTCAGGGTATAGAGCCTTCTTATTGTTCTGTTCCTCCTCGGTGTAATAGCGCCTACGCATAGGCACGGCCAAGTTCGGGGTGCGCTGGAACACCTTGAGGGATCCCGCGTTGGGACCCCAGGCCTGCACAATTTGTACACCTGAAGCGCCTGTACCGATAACGGCACAGCGCTTGCCACGGACATCGATTTCGTCGTCGGGCCAGAAGGAGGAGTGGTGCATGATGCCCTTGAACTTGTCCATCCCGGGCCATGGCGGGAAGTATCGCTTCGCGGCCTGCAGACATGTTAATAATAACCGGCTACAACGGGCTACAATTGCAGTTGGGGAAGAAGGCGAGGAATGGAGGCAACCCCCCGCCTTGAATGACCCTTAGAAACGACAACTTACAAATCCAGTACCAAGAATCAAGTACTTGGCCTTGGTCGTTCGACCGTCCGCAGTTTGCACATTCCATCGCCCAGACGAAGTGTCAAACTTCGCACCAGTGACGACGGTGTTAAAGGCACAGTTTTGTTTGATATTCAAAACCTTGTCGACGTGATCAAAGTAGGACCGGAGTTCTTTGTAGTCCGGGTAGTTGGTCGACCAGTTCCACGTCTTCCAGACCTCTGGGAAGGAGAACTCATACTCCGGGATTTCCGAATCAACGGCGGCTCCAGGGTAGCAGTTCCATCGCCAGGTTCCTCCCATATCATTACCAGCTTCGTAGATCACTGCGTTCATGCCACGGTCCCGAAGCGTCTTGAGCATGAAGATACCGGCTATGATGAGGATATTCAGTTGTCAGTTGTCGAATTATCAACTCAGAAAGTTTCGAGTGCTTGCAAGACAACTCGGGGACCGTATTTACCAAAGCCAGCGCCGACGATCAAAGCGTCAACCTCAAGATTGTTGGCATAAGGCCCAGCTGAATTGGTTTGGGGCGTGACGGCATAGTCGGTCAAGTCCGTATTGAACTTCTTAGTCGTGTCAACTGTTTCTTCACGCATGTTGCTGTGTAAATAGACTACCAATTGGCAAAGATGTAAGTGATTTGATGGAATACGGTCGATAGCAGAGAGTTGCTCTGTTTCAGTAGCCCCGAGTGAGAGTGTGAGTGTGGCAGAGGACTGCATTTATCTTCGACTCAAGGATGCGAAGCCATCTTCTTAATTACATCAAATGCCACTATCATGAAGCATTCGCTCGACTGCCAGCACAACCGAATGTAACCGCAAGAGCATAGATTGTGGCGGGACCAACATGACGTCGAGGATCAGAGCACCCGTCGCGATACGCGTCGTCACCATAGGAACCGCAATGCAGACCAGCACCAGCTTGCGCGCAACATGCCTCCATCTCATCACAACGCGGAGGAGTGTAATTGGGGTTGCTGGCGACAGTTGAAGGCGGATCCGCATTAACGATGAAAACCAGGCCTTGGGGAGCCTGGAGAAAAGAAACCAAGATCAAGGACTCGAATTCCGACACCATCAGCTTCACCTGCGGATCCGCAGATGTGCGTGCGATCACTGGAGTCGTAAACTCGGCTCTCAGCTTTGTGCGGGGTAAAAATACCGATTCCAAATCGGGTTCCATACAGCATGGGTGGGCATGCTTCGTTGTCCCTTTTCGGTTAAGTCGATCCCCACGAAACCTTAAACCCGGTCCGAATCTCATGGCAACCCCCGCAAACCGGCCCCTACCTCGTCTCCAATGACTGAAAACTACAGGTCACATCATACCCCGGATCGTGAAGTACTTTGTAGAACTTGGAGACGCGGAGCCGCAAGGATCCCTCGTGATCGGTCCCGGGTCGTGGACTTTGGAATCTCTCGTGGGCTCTCCGAGCCGGCAGAGTTTGTTTTGGCCGAATTTGAACCCCGCTCTGTGCTTGGAGGTCTTCTCATGTCTTAAGAAGCGTGCATCTTCGTGTAACTCGCCTTCATATCTCCTCTTAAAACACGCCACCTACTTGCCAGTAATCAAAACCAACCACAAACCTCCTTTCCAACATCTCGATTCTTTGACGTTATTCCGCCATCGACTTCTTGTCCTTCACCAACTTATTGCAAGATGCCCTTTAACCCGGAAACTGTCGACCGCCTGCGGGCCATCGTGGATGGGGCTTGTGCCGACCCCAGTACTGGGGTCCCTGGAACGACCGTGGTCGTCGTGGGAAAGGATGGCAAGGAGCTCTTCGCCCACTCTGCAGGCAAGCGAGGCGTCTCATCGAATGAACCGATGACTCTCGAAAACATCTTTTGGGTCGCGTCGTGCACTAAGATGTTGACAGGCGTAGCATGTATGCAGTTGGTTGAGCGAGGACTTCTCACACTTGACGATGGAGTGCAGCTTGAAGATATTTGTCCTGAGCTAAAAACCCTTAAGGTTCTTAAACCTGATGGGACGTTTGAGGAAAAGAGAAATCGTATAACCCTGCGCATGTTGCTCACTCACACTGCCGGCTTCGGCTACTCGTTCTTCAATGAACGGCTTCGTGACTGGGGTTTCCCAGCCGGAGTGGATGAATTCTCTGGTCGGGTTGAGGACATGATGACACCGTTGCTATTCCAGCCTGGTGAAGGTTGGGAATATGGTGTAAGTTTAGTTTCATTGATGCGAGGGCTAGGCGCTAATTACCACACATAGGTTAATCTCGATTGGGCCGGCATCGCGTTGGAACGTGTGACCGGTTTGACGCTCAATGATTACCTCCAGAAGAATATCATTCAGCCGCTCGGCCTGAAGGACATGAACATGTTCCCGTCCCCTTCCATGCGGTCTAGGCTGGCATACATGCACTCCAGGGAATCAGACGGTACGCTCCGGCCAAGAGACCACCTCCACCGTGCGCCCTTGGTCGTGGACCTAGACGACAAGGCCGAAGTTGCTCGGATTTTCAATAGCGGCGGGGCTGGCATGTTCGCCAAGCCGCAGGAGTATGTTAGTAAGTTAGATCCATTTTACTTTCCGCCTGCGTCTACCCAAGCATATGCGTTTGGTTGGCCCTGGACAAGATACTTATGACTTTGACGCAGAGGTACTCGCCGTTCTGTTAAATGACGGCACTTGCCCGCGAACCGGGGTCCAGATTCTACAGAAGGAAACGGTCGATGTCATGTTCGCCAACAACATACCCAAATTCCCCGACTTTGGCCGGCAGGGGATTCCGGCAGCGAAGCCGGACCTAACAGGGGCCATTCCCGAAATTTATCCCGTGGAGGGACGGCCGCCCCAGGGATGGGGATTGACGTTTATGCTTACCAATGGTGGACCAACGGGACGCTCTCGGAGTACGGCAATGTGGGCCGGTCTTGCGAATCTTTGGTGGTGGTGCGATCGAGAGAAGGGTGTTGCGGGTATGGTCTGTACTCAGATTCTTCCCTTCGCAGATCTTAAGGTGTTGGGGATGTGGTTTGAGCTCGAGGCGGAGGTGTATAAGGCGCTGTCCTGATGGGATTAGTGACGTTGATGATGCGCTCATAGTAGTCAAGATTACCAGAATTAAGTTGATTTAATGTTTCAACCTTTCAGCTTTTAACTGAGGAAACGTGCCGCGTTTGTCAGGTGCCAAACATCCCAAGAATAATTCCAGCCCTCGCGCAACGACGAGTCTAATTCTCCGAAATCTACCCTTCGTTTTAGGGGAACAATATTAACTGTAGTACCCATTCCTAGTCATGTTCTCCGTAGGTGGGGATTATCTGCCCAAGAACACTGAATCCAAGCTCACGCCATCGAACGTGGGTCTGCGATTGGCAAATCTTCACGGCCGGTTTCACATCGTGCCAGGTAGTCTTCGAACATTCCAAGGTTTCAATTCAATGCAATAAGCTAGGCTCGAAGCCGTCAATGCCCTGCCTTAACGGTGTTAGTATCGAACGAACAGCTTTAATCTTGGCCCCAGACGGCTCATATTGCGCATCTAGGCAGGAAAGGCAGAATAATGCCGTGGACGAGTCCATGCACCTGAAGAGCTGACCGGCGAGTGCATGATACTCGTCACATGTGATATGGCGAAACTAATCCTGGGAGGAGGGATGATATTTCATGCTGTGTGGCGCCGATGTCCCGAGGAATCCGGGCCAACTAGCCAAAACGACGTCCACTAGAGGCCAAGGTCGAGAGCGAATCCGCAATACAGATATCGGTACTTCCGGCTCAGGTATGTAACTTACTGAATCAAGGGAGGAATAGTGGCAACGGCTGAGTCGTTCCCGTCACCCATCCAGGGGTCCTAAGATTGCCAATTTATTGATGAAAGTTACTTAGAAATGCTCAAGAAAGTCAGATATCCGTGCACCGCACGCCTTCCTCCAGGTAATCTTTCTTCCAAGCCGTCATTTACCCCACTTTCAGATTTTCAGCTGATGGTCGCTGGCGTCTGGATTTTGGGGGCGTGATTGTGTCCATTGAACGCCGCGAATCTTGGTTCTCTAAGAGGTCATCAAATTCGGCGCATTCATCGCCACAGCCCCGCCTCTGTTCTGTTTGTGGCGCAGCCAACCGAATTGGGGAGAGAGGGGATGACACTTCAGGCATCAACATGAGCCAGCCGCTTTGATGCTGCCTGGAATACACAACGAAGATTACCGAGGCTTTCAATCCAACGCCATGATAGATAAATAGACAAGTCTGGGCGAGAAATCCGTGTGCTCTCAACCACCAACACCTTTTTTTCCTCCCCAAATCTAGCCGCAGACACTGTTCAACATGCTACAACCCGTCGTTTATACCTTCAATGACATCTCCATTCCGCCCACCTTCCTGGCCGATCCGCCGCTGACGGCGATAACAACCAAACACATTGATTTCGCCTCGTCTCCCTTGCCAAAGAATGCAGGGCGCATTGCTCTCGTCCTCGAAAATGTCCTCTCAAAAGAGGAGTGTCAGGAGCTTCTCCGCCTCGCCGAAGCCTCTGTTCCGGTAGGGAATGGTGAGTCGCCGTGGAGACCTGCACTGGTCAGCGCGGGTCCGGGACTAGAAGGGCCAGCGCCAGGTTATAGAGAGAGTGACAGGATTATTTGGGATCAGCAACAAGTGGTGGATCTTCTCTGGGCACGGTGTTCTCAGGCGGAGGGTCTGAAGGAGCTCCTTGCAACAGTCCCTGGTGGGCCGAGATGTGGAAAGGGGCACTGGCAATTTAGGAGATTCAATAATCGGATGAGATTCCTGAAGTACTCCCCAGGGCAGTTCTTCAAGCGTATGCGCTCTTCCATGAACCACCTTTGACATGGTTTCGGACAATGACTAACAACTTCGTTGGTAGCTCACGTTGATGGGCCCTATTGGTACGAAAACGAGCAGGGTACCTTTGAGACACAATACACAGTGCACCTTTACCTGAACGATTCAGTCGAGGCGGATCCAAACTCTACGCTCGTGGGTGGCGCAACTTCATTTCTATCGTGGGATCGGGAGAAGCGTTTGGATGTGAACCCGAGAGCGGGGAGTGTCTTGATCTTCCAGCATTCGGGTTTGCTTCACGAAGGGGCTATCGTGAAAAGCGGCACGAAATATACGGTCAGGACTGATATTATATATCAGTGGGTTCCGGAGACATAAGGGTTCTAGCCCTCAAGGTTGACCCTTAGAGGTTCTTTCATTTTTTTTTGTATTTTATGACAGCAAGGCTCACATGACATTGCTCACCCTGGCTCAGGCCCTGCTCAGAAAGACTGAGGCTTGCCCACCTCTGCTCACCCTAATTATCATAGGGAAGGCTGCGCCGCATCAGGCAGGAACTGCTTCAACTCTAGCCGAGTGGGCCCAGATTTGGACCTATGTATAAAAATGGCCAAAAATGGTTCCCTCTTCGAAAATAGGCAGTGTTGCCTTGCTTCTTGCATTTCTCATGTTACCATTCCTCCCGACCACTGGAGACTTACGTAGGTCATCCCCTATCCTCAAAATCTCGTGCCCACACCTCCTTTCAGGGTGTGCAGGTTTCGGAAGAGTCGCAGTCGTACGGCCCCTCTGTCGGCCGCCAGCCAATGTGCGCCGGTTCCAATCTCATGCTCTCCCGAGCGGCGCAACTTCGCTGCTGTTGGTAAGCCCAATCTCGCCGGGCAATTCCCGTGTGGTCTCAGCGTGGGGAAGGCTGTACCTGCGGCAGAGTCTTTTTACGTTACGAACCATTACTGCGGTGCACTGGAGTGCAACGGCTGTTGGTTAGCAGGGGGTGTTGGTAATACACTCCCCAACGGGGACAGAGTGGGTTTTCTAGAGCAAAATAGGAAAGCATGAAGACTATCATCGTTTCTGTTCCATGATGATTCGCCGTTGTCTGACATAGGCCTGGTGGGCTATTGGTGCGGTGTTACAGAATCAGTCAGGGGAAGAGCAGGGCAGATTCGATCCGTCCCCTGCGCTGCTGTCAACGCAGAACTTCCAAAACTAGCCTAGTTCAAATTCAAAATTCCTTAATCGACAACTTTACCCAGGTAGCGAAGGAAAGTTGCACGATGGAAATCGGAAACTAGGAAGTGTAGCTTGCGAGGGATGGGGCTCATCATTCCGCATCTTGCCTCTCGAAGAGTAAGGCATTTCTTATGACGTAGACCTATGACCTTCATGCAACCTGTCTTCTCGAGACAGCATCATACCTTCCTCGTTAGTCCGTGATATCATCTTCGCTGGTATTATTTGACTTATCCGTAGGCATTTCCTGCGATAATCCAACTTGGAAAATACCCTGGATCTCCACCTCATTTCGGTCTAGCTTCTCACATGTATCCCAAGCTCTTTTGACCACTGTCTCCAACTGTTCCAGAGAGCTAAACACATCACCTGCGGCGGGCCGTTGAGTCGTATCCTCCGAAAGGCACCCCGGAATTATTGCTAGCAATCCGAGAGGCATCTCCCTTCCAGAGAGGTCTGGGTGATTTTCTTTGACTGTGCTCCAATGCAGCGACACCATCTGGGAGAAGAGAACCCCCAGGGCGTATACATCCGAAGCTTGACAGTAGACGTGTCTTTTCCGGACTTCAGGAGCCCAGAAATCTCGGCTCCCGTAGTAAGTCCGTCTGTGAGGCTGTGAGTCGATAAGTTGGGCTTCGCCCAGGTCTGCGGTCAGGGCTTCTGTGCTGTACACATCGGGACCACTACCTCCTAAATATGGCGCTCGGTGACCAAGACGTTACCCCAATGGATGTCTCTTTGCTTGGATTAGCTCTTGCGTCACAACAAGGTGTCACCGTATTTACTTGCCTGTGCAAAACACCTCGCTCGTGAATCTCGTAAACCCCTATGGCTATATCGTTCATCAAACGAATCAGGAGTGGCCAATCGGACTCGTCGCCCTGAAGTTGTTTTTTGAGATAGCCGTCCAAGGGCCCCAGGAGCGCGAACTCAATGACTTGGAAGAATGTGTCTGGGGGCAAGATGGAGCAAGAGTTATCGCCTGCCGCCTGGGCTGCGGGAGGTGATCTCAGGAGACATAAAGCTCAACCAGGCGGCCTTGCAAGCCTGAAACTGAAGAAAAGGTCCGGTCGAGTTGTGTGTGATATCAGTAAACTCAGAGCCAATGGAAGTTGATTCGGGTAATCAAAACATATCACGGGCTTACCTCGACCAGAAACCTTTGGAAGTTGTGCGTTTCAGAAATCTTGATGGACTTCAACGCGACTTCCAACTTAGCAATTTTGTTCCCCGTTATACCGCTCGGCTGGTTCCAAAAGGCTTTATAAACCCGACCCCGGGAGCCTTCCCCGATAGGCTTGGCTTGGACTTCGGATACTTGGGAAGGAGGGATGAGGGTCAAGAGATGCTGATACTTTGGCTGGAAGTGTATCCCAAGAGCATCTCGAAGCTCCTCGGTTCGTCCCTGAATCGACTAATGCTCGAAAATATGCCCGGCCGCGGAAGCGTCAAATTTGTTGTTCTAACCTCCGATATCTCAAGCCGGGCATCGTCTCCAGTAGCTGCCAAAACTTACTGTCTGGATTTTGGGTAATTGCACAGTCATTCTTTTGACGTATGCTGGTTAGAAGCCGAACATACACCAATGGTTAGCTGGAAGTCTTCTTTAAGTAGCCATAGAAACTTACCCAAAACCTCCAGAAAACCCCTTTGTCCGCCGTCTCAAAGTCAAAATCGGTAATAGGACTCAGAGCAAACAGTACTGAGCCTTTGTGTCGTTCATCAGGAAAGTGGAAACCTCGCAAGACGGTGGCCCGGAGATATGCCGCCTACTACTGGTTTCTCCACGCGGAAAAGGGTGGTATTTTGACTGACGCTTCCTTTGGATCTTGTGAGGAGGAATCTAGACGCAAGGTCCGCGAACTTGCATTATGTGTATGCGACCCATCTCGTGAGTATCTGCAGAGGTGGTGGGAGTACGTCGCTGGACACCACCATGCCGAATTTTCCAGGCGGCGTATCACCTCGGACTCCTCTGACAGGGGCTATTTAAAGTCGGATTTTATTACCCTCGAAACAGTTGCTCGAGGAAATCTTCCGTTGCTGAAGGTGTTGCTAAGGTTTGGGGGATCTTCGGCCACGGAACGAAACTTCCAAGGAGACGAGGTTTTGCTTGTCGCGATGATATATCGACGCATAAAGATATTAAGATGGCTTTCGGAAACTTACGGTAGAAAGTTTCTAGCAAGAGAAGGTGCTCTAGTGCATAGCCAAACGACCGGCGATAGTTTGATCGCACTCTTGCTCCGAGATCCTGACTCCGATCCCGACCTTGGCTGGAACGAGCCGTGTGGACTCAGTCGAAGCTCCAATAAATGGGAAGCCTGTCTCGCTGCCGTTGTAGAGAAGTGCAGCCGGTCGGTTGTACGAAAACGCCTTGTGCACCTGGGAGCAATTGTCAACGAGGAAAGAGCCTTCAGAATCGCAGCCGCTCGTAGAAAGAAAGACATTCTTATTTGGCTATTGGAGCGCGTCCATATTATGCATCCTGAGGTTGCTGCAGAGATAATAAACACTTCTCGGACGGAGGCGATATGTAATGGAGACGTACGTATTCTGGAATCCATATGGAATGTAGGTATGAAAAACCACCAGGACTGGCCTTCAATGGCCGGGTGGTTGGCTCCAGCAGCAGCTCGCGGGGACACGTACTCAGTCAGACGGATCCTGTCAACTGATGGTCTGGGTGATGACGCTGCCGTCAAACGCATGGCAGAAAATTTTGAGCAAGGCCGAATTGCTCCTGAACGACTGTCAGAAAGAAACTTTCTCGCGTTCATCTACTACCGGCTATGCTATTACTGGGACTGCAAAGCATTCCGGTTTCGGCACAAGTTGGAACGGCGCCGGATTGGACCGTGCCCGGAGTTGCAAGAAATCACCCCGTTCGATCTTTCAGCGGAGGTTAGAGAGTGTCTCGCCATGAACCCTCAAGCCTTACGCCTCGCTAAACCCTACGATTCACATTTCAAGGCAGTAAACCTGCTCTGTGAACTAGTAGCAATAGGCGACCAACACTCTGATCGTCATCCTGCGCATTCAAGTCGCCGAAGTTGAAGATCATAGCCGCCCCGACCTTGGACTACTATATCTTTGCGGAAATTTGAATTATATCAAGGAGCTGCAACTCAGCCAGACCGATATCACGACACCAGTCCACGGTGGGATGTCTCCTCTTCTCGCAGCTGTATTCTCGGGGAACAGCGAGCTGCTGCATTATCTATGTGGTGGAGTCAAAGATCCCTATTTGTTGCCCTCTGAATCCTCCCCCGCCCTGGCTCTTCTCCGTGAGGCTAGTAGCCTAGATGGAAAAAAGCAAGAGACTGCAACATCCATGTCCATTGCTTGGGAGTCAATCTGGACAATTCTGGGCGAAAAGTTTCTTCATTCGCCACACAGCTTGGCCCATAGATTTGATCTAAGTTGTTCCGTAGCCGCCGCCTCAAGCGATGAAATCAGGCAGGCAAAACGTGAGGTCATGGAGGACCTTCTGGTCGTGACTCCCGTGGACGTTGTCGTGTTCCTCCCTTTAACACACTGAAAGAGATATTAGATGGACCGGTCAGCGATAACTTAGAGTTCGTGGATGATAGAGGACGAACACCTGCACATCTCTGTGCGGCGAGCACAGACTCGAAACTGATCCGCAAATGGATCTGGGCAAAAGGAGATTCTTTCGAAACGCGACAAGGATGGGAGAACTCCTCTCCGCATTGCCATTCTTGCCAAACAGCGCGAAAACTTCGATGCTCTTCTCACCTATGCGGAGACTAATATTCTCGACTATTCCGATGCTTACGGTAGAACATATTTACGCGAAGCTCTACGAGTGGGTTGGCTGGATGTGGTTAGCGGCCTTATCGTAAGGGGTGCAAAGTTCACTGGCTAGTCACTCTTGCACGAGGCTGTGTATGAACGCATCGACACGGACAAACTGGTCTGCAATCTCCTAGAAAACCACCGGATATCCGATTCCCAAGGTACTTTGGGGCCAACCGCCCTTCACCACATTATACTAGCCATTGCCGACACCAATGTGTTGTGCATGCAAGACTACATTGGACACGAAGTCGTGAAAATCCTTGTACGAGGTCACTCCGACTACAACCTGAAGGACAAGGACGGGCTGACGCCCTTGGCACTCGCGGAGAACTACCTCCGAACGGCTAGGATTTCGGATAGCGCTAGAGGCGCGCTCAATGCCGGCGTTGAGGTCTTGGAAAATGCACATATGTGGACAATGGATCAAGATGAAATCCGGCGCTTTGCCGCCGAAAATGAGGCCAGTATGTCATTGGGGAGGGATCTTATTCCCCCTGATGACTTAGATTACTCAGACTGCTATGAAGATATGGATGAGGATGGAGAAAATGAGCAACAGTCCGATGATGATGATGACGATGAAGAGGAGGAGGAGGATTGGTGAGGAGCCATGAGTTGTGCAATCGGCTACAGATATTATTTGTTTCATATGGTTACTATTTCCTAGGCATAGCGTAAAACGCCACAATTAATTAAAATAATGAAGGGCTCCTATATTTTATACTTAAAGGTATATACCCGGCGATGGCCGTACCAGAGCTATGGCGGCGGTGAGGCTCTCGGTGTTACAGACAAGGGGGCCCGGTCCATCTCGTCCATCAAACGGCGGGAGAGTTTCTCTCGGAACGTGCCGCACGTGGGCTAACGAGGTATGCATCCGAGCTTTTCAAAGAGCATCCGCGTTCCTGCAGAGACGTGTTTGAAGTTTCTCCTCTTGCGCGACTTGGCCTCTTTTACACAGGGGGATCGAAAAAGCACACATCTGGAAATCACAGATGCGCGGAACATAATCGACGAAAAATGATCGCCTCATCGTCCGCCCGAGTACGGGGATCTCTACAGCCATGGCTCCAAGAATGAGGAGTTCCATCACTACGCTGCCAACAACTGGTTTCTCTACGCGCATAATGGGGGTATCTTGACTGATTTCTTCCCCAGCTCTTGCGAGGAGGAACCAAAACGTAGAATTCGAGGACTTAAAGCTAGAGTATGCGACGGATCTCAAGAATATCTAGGGAGGTAGACGGCCACATGACACACGGCGGACACCTGTCACACTGTGCTCCAACGAGCCAGGTCTCACCCATATAGCAGCGGCTGGAGGAAACCCTGCCCTAGTGAAAATTCCCTTGAGATTTGGAACATTTTCGATAACGGACAGAGGCCTCGGTGCTGAGGATGACGTTTCGATTACTCGTTATGGGGAAACTTTTCGAAGGCGGGCAGAAAACACCCAGCAGATATCTTTGACGTGCGACATGATAAGAGGATCGTATATTTCTTCGTCACTGTCTCGAGGAGCAACACTATGGAACATTCTTCTTACATGTACTATATAACGACCGCCGTAAAGCTTCCTCGCTTGAGATTCCAACATTAACTCCGTGTATCAAGATTTTTTTTTTTTTTTTTTTTTTTAATTACTCCACAAAAAAAAAAAAAATGATAAAAGGGAAAGGGGGAAACATAAATGAGGACGAATCACTTTCCATTTGGAGCCCCATTCGCTTTCCGTGCCGCACTAGCCTCCCCCGCAGCGTCAACATCCTTACCATCCACCCAGCTACCATGCAAGCCGTCCATCAGCTTGAACGGCAGCTTGATCTCCGCAAGTGGTCCCTTAGTAATGTCGGACGCCTCGAAAAGCAACAGGACGTTGCGGCCCTCTCGATATCGGTCCGCTACGACCAGGAGATATCCGTCTTCGTAGCCGGCACCCTCGTGTCTTGGTACAAAGACGGGCTCTTGGAACGTGGAGTCATCTCCATGGCGGTAAGACTGGAGTGCTCCCGTCTCAAAGTTGTAACACACCAGAGTATTGAACCCGACATTACCGACGGCCGTTTCGTAGTCATTGATCTTGATCTGGTATGTGGGGTCGACCTTCAAGATCCAGACGCGCGAATACTTCTTGCCAAGAAGGCGGTCGTCGATGCGGCCAAATTCATTGGCGCCGTCAACAAGCACACCCTCGGGGTGGATCATCTTGTCGGTGCTGCTATTCGGGTCGAAGCGGTAACGAACGATGGGTGCCTTGACCTTGGTCGGGTCGGTGAAGAATCTCTCGCCCTTGGTATTAGGGAAAAAAGGGAAGTGCAGGTCGGTCCAGACGTTGGCGTCCAGCACCAGCTTACCGTCCTCCTCGTAGGCATTGATCGTGTGCGAATAGCAGCCCTGGGGTGTCTTGAACCACTTAGCGTGCTCGGGCTTCGCGCCCCGCCGCGGAATGACGCCCAGCAGCTGATGGTCGAGAGTCTCGTCCCAGTAGAAGTGGTCACCAGCGCTCTGCATCTGGTCCAGGCTGGCCTTGAGGCCATTGATGGGGAACACGACCCAGTTGTCCGTGGCCCAGAAGTCGTGGATCATGCACGGCCACGGCGCCTTGAACCAGACCTCGTCCGAGAGCCTGCCGTTTTTGTCGACTGTGAAGGAGCAGATGTCGGGAGATGCATCTCCCGCAGCTTCGTATCCGTATGAAACCAACTCTCCCGTCGCGGAATCCGCTTTGGGGTGGGCGGTATGCGTAGGACAACGGAGGGTGCCGTGATAGTCGATGTAGCCGAGAGTTTCAAGGGTGATGGGGTCTAGCTCCATGGGTCGTGCATCCTCCTTAAGGACCATCAGTTTGTTGTCGTGAAATACGACGTGGGTGTTGGCCGTTGTCCCCTTGAGGACGTTCTGAACGCGCGGGTCATCGGTGTATTTGTTCCGATACCTGCCGAAGAGCGCGCGTCTGGCTTTACGCTCAGCAATCAGCTTAGGCGTCTGCACATAACGCTGCTTGAAGTCGACATGGCCATCCTTGATGTAGAACGAGCTCACGTTGCCGTCGCCGTTCAAGGGGATTTCGGTATCTGCAAAGATGGGTGGAAATGCATGGTCGGGCTGGACACGGTAGAATGCACCATGTATCGTGCTAGGGATCTCGCCGATGACCTCGAGCTCGTAGACCTCTGCTTCGAACCGCAGGTGGTCTTCGTTCCACTTGCTCATGGCATATTGCTTGGGAAAGCGTGTTCCCCCACTGCTTGGAACTCCCGGGACGACGTGGGCCATGGTAGAGAAGGATTTATTTGCGACAAACTGGAAGATGCTTTCGCTTTTTGGGGGGCTCTTAGGAACAAACGATACCCAGAACTGAATCTTGAAAATTCGAAACTTATATCGATAGTATCGTGTCTTGGCCGAGACTCTCAATGTCTAAAAACTTTACCACCGACACTTCCACCTCAAAGCGTCGTCATCCGGAATTCCGAAGTGGGCAGGTCTCCAACCCCACCCCCGCCAGGAGAGTCTCTCTCGGTGGGGAGCAATTAGTTCTCCCCCACCAAACCCACAATGGCCTGATCGATGATATATCGACACACGGGTGCCACCTAGTGTGAATGCTTCAACAGCTATTGACGACTTGGGTAGCGAAACTCGTTGCCGGGGCGGTCGGCGTGGTTTGTCATCAGCTTTTTCATTCTTTAGCAGGCAAAAATCCGCAACGTCTTGACGGGCTGGCGCTTCAGGTGCTCGAGATCATTTCCCCTTACAGACACCAAACTAGACCAGACTAGACCAGAAAATCACAATCGCCGAAATGGTTCAGTGGTATACAGATCCCAAGCTCCAGTCGCATCACGACCATGCGTTCGGGACCAGGAAGCCAGGGACTCGCACCCTTCCCCCCGGCCATGACGAGGCTAGCTTTCAGCGTGCCCTAGGCGAGTTTAGAGCCATTGTTGGTGAGGAGAACGTGGTGGCCGATGAAGGTCTGGTAAATTTCCGGGACCCGTATCCCTTGTTTGAGGAAGGATTCGAAGCATCTGCCGGACTGTGGTGCGTCTCTCCAAATTTGGTTCATTTTTTTGCTGGAATGATAATCCGCTGAAACAATCCCCAGTCCAGAGTCTGTTGAAGAGATCCAGGCGATTCTCAAAGTGGCCAACCAGCACCAAGTTCCGCTTTGGGTCTGTTCGCAGGGAAAGAATTTCGGGTACAATACTCAAGGAAGCCCAATCCACGAATCAATTGTTGACAAATGTCGCAGATACGGTGGTCCCGCGCCTCGAGTTGCTGGCTCGGTGGTACTCTCTCTTCAGCGGATGAAGCACATCCTGGAAGTCAACGAGAAGCTTGCCTACATCGTGGTTGAGCCAGGAGTAACCTTCTTCGATGTTTGCGATCATCTAATTGAGAATAACCTCGATCTCTGGATGTCCGTCCCGGCTCTTGGTTGGGGAAGTGTTCTGGGCAATGTATGGCAACTTTCCTCTCAAGTTGCTCTTTCCTACTAACTCACGCCGCCCCCCTTCTTCAGACTTTGGATCGCGGCCACGGTTACACAATCTCCGGAGATCGCCAGCACTTTATCGGCAGCTTAGAAGTGGTGCTTCCGTCAGGAGACATCCTCCGGACGGGCCAGTGGGCTGTGCCTAATTCTCCCAGCGCCCACGCCTGCTCCAACAGCTTTGGCCCGCAAGTCGATGGCCTCTTCTTGCAGAGCAACTTGGGCATTGTTACAAAGATGGCAGTGGCCCTTGATGCGGCTCCAGCGTCATTTATGGACGTCAAGATCCACTGTCCCGAAATCGACGACCTCGCGCCACTCATCGACATGCTTCAGCAACTAGACCGGGAAGGCATCACGCAGAGCCATGGTATGATTACTAACATCAATCACTTCGCTTCCCATGATGCGCTCAAGCATGAGCAGCAGAGCGTTCCAGGGCCGCTGACTCCCGAGAGTATCGCTGCTTTAAAGCAAAAGTACAACACGGGATATTGGCGTTGCGTGCTGGCCCTATATGGACCAAAACAGCTGGTGCTCGCCCGTTGGGCTAGGATAAAGGAGGTCGTTCGACCGACGCTTCCCAACGCATGGGTGGAGAACACGCTCTACGAAGGGGAAGACGGTAAGCCTGTGGATAACCGCAAGATCGGAACGTTGGCTGCGGGTGTTCCGTCAATGCTCGCCGTCAAGCTGGCAGATTACAATCTCCCCGCCGACGGAAGTGGAGCGGGTGCACACATCGACACAACTCTCATCCTACCGTGTGAGGGACAGACGGTTTTGACCTGGTTCAGGAAGGCGAAGGCCATCATGGAGGAGCAAGAGGTCGATCCGTTCGTTGGCTGTCACGTTTTCTCAAAATATATCCTCTTCGTCCAAGAATATGTCTTTGATAAGACCAACCCCAAGCAGCGCGAAGGTGGTCGCAAGATAGTCAAGGCATTGCTCGCCGAGGCTGAGAAAAATGGCTTTGCCAATTACCGATCTCATGTACAGCACATGGGTAAGTCTCTTCTAGCCGTCCTTGAAAGAAAGGCTTCCTAAGAAACACTGCCAGATGACGTCCAGAACCTGTATGGGTTCAACGGCCATATTTATAGAAGATTCGTCGAGACTCTCAAGGTGGGTCGCGTTCCCCAGCATGGAAAGTCACCCTCTCTGATTCTCCGTTGTTAGGCTGCTTTAGATCCAAATGGTATCATATCCCCCGGAAAGCAGGGCATCTGGCCGCCTAAGACCCTAGTTCAACTTCCTCCGCGTAAGCTCTAGGAGTTCTCTTGAGGACTCTCTGGGAGATATTGCGGTTCGAAGGGTGAGAGCTGCATATCTTGTATGCGGAATGCATTTTATAATTGGTATATATCACAAGTAGCGTTTATAAGAAACAATAATTCTTCCCTCTTTACTTCCATTACACATGTCGATTTGCTGAGGCATCTCGTTCAACTCTTAGGAGTAGGGACGTATGGACATGCTTCAACGATGTCCCTCCACGAGTGCAAATCCGGACCTAGAGTAGCCCTGCTGTCACAACGGCCTCGTCTTCAGTAAATCGGATGCCTACCCTCGCTCAGTCTGATCAATATCGGTAAGGAGTCACCGGGTTGCCGCTTGGAGGCGAGCCGTTCCTTTCGAGAGATCCTCTAGTTTGCCTGCCATGTTCACATTTCCTCTCTTCATTGTCCACGTGGCATTGGGCAAAATTCTTCTATTGTAAATACTATTATGGGCTATCATTTCCCCATAGACCTATCTATGAGGGTTGCGATCTATGAGGGTTGCGAGGAAGAGAAACAAATAGGAACCACCACCCTCTGCATCTAGGCCAAGTATTTAGCAAACCATCTAACCATCTGATCTTCTGCTTGATCAGCCATTTCCTTCTCAACCTTATCATCGGGGTTACCTCGAACAGCGAAACCGTGTTTTGCATTCGGGATAATCACCACCTCGCCGCTTGCTGAACCTTGGGTAGAGGCATAGCAAAGTCGATATCGCCAATGCACATGCTGTAGGGGAGTCTGATTTCTTCGATATCTTGGGGAACTTTTATCTTACTCGGATGGGCAGTGTAAGCCGCATCGATGAGGGTCTTGCCATTGCGCGCCAAGTCACCGTGAGCTAGCCGTGTGGCGCTGTATGCTCCCCAACAGAAGCCCACAACGCCGATTTTGGAATTTGCCCCTTCGTTGCAGCGCAAGTCGTCTAAAAAGTTTCGGATGCCAGGGTAGCGCTTCTCGACGTTGTTCCGAATCGTGCAGGGCAAGAAGACGACTAGGGCTTTCAAAACCAACCACCTGGTCTTCGATGTCAGCGTCATTAGGAACATGCGGTGGTGTAATTAGAACGTACGGTTTTACTAGCCACCCCCATAGACCCCGTTCATTGAGAATCCTGTCAATAACCTTCTTTATCGACGGAGGTGCGGCAGTTCCTGTGACTTTTAGCAACCAGACCCCGCCCAGAAAGAAAACGATGCGCGGGCTCACCATGCATGAAGTCTGGGATGTACACCTTGCAGCCAGTCCGCTCAGCGTATGAATCGGCCAGTCTGCGCAGATTGGTTGTGTTCCATCCAAAGATGTCAGAAAGGACAACGATCAGCTCCTTCGCTGTACGTCCTTCGGCTTGCGGCTCTGTAACGTAGACATCGTAGCCGTGGAGCTTGATCTCTCGCCCACTAGCGGGGCCGGGATGGTCATGCCCCCTGTAGCAGTCGACACACGCCATTTCGATCCTGGAAAATGCCAACTGGAAAAGCTCAAAGGCGAAGCTTGATACACAAGTAAACTCAGCAGACCCAGAACAAACTAAACAAATGAACAAATGTGTCTTTTTTTGAAGGCGTTATTTCGTCAACTCGGTGGCTGGTCGGGCTACCCTGTCAAGCCAGGTACCTTTCTTTGTCGGTGGCGCTCAGCTTAAGGCTTAATGCATCCAAAGTGGGACGCAACACACCAAATTTCGTACCTACAATATGATGAAGTCGGTGATCCAATTGACCAGCTGTGTGTGTATACATTTGGGAAAAAAGAAAATCAAAAATTTTGTCTGGTGCTTGTAGTTGTATAGTTGCATCCATTTCTGGTGGAATGGGACAGCTTTTTTACCATTATTGCACTGTTGCCTGAATTTCAGGGCCTAAATTCTAGTGCTTCGTCGCTGAATGATGGTGATAATTCCCGCCGCATCCAGTGGGCCTTAATATCTCAGGCACATGTTGCCATCCAACACCAATCTCCGTGACACCCTTAGGCCGAGCCGATTAGAAAGCTCCTGTCAGATGCAGCAACCGCATAAATATCACAGATATGCGGCTAAAAACGGTGATTCGATTGAATAGTGGTATATGTGTATCGAGGTATGAGGGAAGGCCAAAATACAGGAACAGGGGTGCCAATAGGGGGTGCCAATAGGGGTAATCTTGGCTGCTGGAATACCAGGCACATATTGCCGTTCAACAGCTCCCCACCTTACCCAGGTGGGGACCCGGCATTCTTGGCGGCTCCCGGTGGCAACTCAACATAACCCAACTCAACGTAGCCGTCAACTGCCCCACCGCGAATGCCGGGTCCCCACCTGGTAAGGTGGGGAGCTGCTGAACCGCTGCCGTTGCAGAGGATCATTCAGTCACCATCTCCCAGAGCTAGGGGGATTCTCTTGAAGTGGACCGGATATGATGGTCGTGGATTACTCGGGTGCGCAGCGGAAACCCTAAGTTATTGTCTCTCTTTTGAAGAAAAGAGCCCCAGAGGCTGTGTCTAGGTAGTTTAGCAGCTTCAACGATGGAGTGGACCAAGAGATGCTATGTAATTGCAAACACGGGACATTCTTGAGACTCGAGATTATTGCAAGCCATCAGAGTTAAATCTCCGTAGACATCTGCCAGCAGCAGAGAACTAGCTAACTGCAATAAGAGCAGTGGAGTTGCAATAGAACAGTTCCAAACATTACCAAGGGTTAGGGGCTATGTTGGTGTAGACCCGGAATCCATTCGTCTTCGCCTGATGGAAGGCCTCGTGATGATCTTCTAAACTATATACCTTGTGTGTCGACCCTCCACGCTTCCCGAGCTTGAGAACCCCCGATTGGACCATCTTGATGGTCAGATCGATCCCAAACCGTGAGACAATCACCTTGCCAATAATTTTGAGGTTCTGGTGCATAACGAGAGTGTAAGGCACCGCAATAGTTCCAGACGGAGCTCCGCTGAGGACGACCCTCCTTCTGGTCGCACGGCGCGTATAGCAGCTGAGAAATACGGTGAGCCCGTCAGAGCGCCCGATGCCCAGTCGTTGTATACCTCGGCACCGCGTCCGTCGGGGCTAGCCTTGCGGATCGCGGCCGCATCGGCTTCATCATCGCCGGTCATGACGACGTAGCTGAAACGTTCGTGGTGTTCCAGCTGTTTCGCTAAACGCTCAAGGCTGTCTTTGTTGCGACCAATTGCAATGACATTGGCTCCCAGGGCGAGGGCCAAGTCGGACGTGATGCCACCGAAGGTACCAGTGGCAGGGCCAACGATAATTGTCTCGCCCGCCCGCAGCTCGGCTGCTTCGCATAATGCACCGGCCGAAATAGTGTAGAACGATATCTCATGAAGGTCCGCGGGGGTGTAGCCAAACTGGTTGCACAGTCGGTCCTCATTCAGGATGAAGACATTCTCAAGCGGGACCTTCTGATACTGCTGAAGTGACCCATCTCGCCATTCGCCCTGCATAAGCTTGATGCCTCTGGACCCCTCTCCGCCATGGTGACCCTGAATGATGCCGACATCTGGGTCGTCTCGCGCAGAAATGGGAGCTGAGAAGAAGACCAGGTCGCCGGGCTTCGTAAGGACAGCGTCTGGCCCAACGGCGTGCACTCGGCCGATATGGCTAGGGTGCGGCACCAATGGGAGGGTGAGGTTGAACACGGGTAGTCTTCCCTGGTGAATGTCTTCGGCGTAGGGGAAGACGACGGTGTTGAGGACCTTGACGACAACTGAGCCTGCCGTTGCCTCAGGGACGGGAAGGTAAACGAGCTCTAGGGGTTTATCGAATGAAGAGAGCCAAAGTGCGCTGTTCCTAATAGGGGCGTGAGAATTCATCTTGAAGTAGGTGAGAGTCGAAAATCGTACAGGGAATAAACTAGAAAAAAAATACAGGGCATGGACGAAGGGCAACGGCGGCCGTGCATATCTATGCCCTGCAGCTACCACTCTACTACCCTTTCCGGACATTCACCATCACGAGGGGTTCTCAGGGCGGCATTGTGGGTAGGGTGGGATCGCGGCTACTCCCCGCACCTGCGCCATTCCTCCCACTTCTGACGGATATGCCACCTAGCCACGTTTACCGAACGCCGCAACGAAAAAAATAGGTGGATATGAATGGCTAGTAACGGGCCTTAAGTGATGGATGGCCGACGGTGGTTTGGGGGAGGTGTGCCTTGCCGCTACTTTTAGATTATTACAATTCAATCCCCGGATAACCTCAACCGTACTCCTAATCTCACTAGGTGTACAACAATCTTTAGAGTAGAGGAAGCCGTTTCCTGGTCATTATACGGCGGATATTCGACTAGAAACGTAACAATTAAGCACCCTGTTCCATTCCATCAAAGTAGTCGAGATTCCCGTGGATGCTAAAACTCGAAGGGCCTACTTCCCCTACATGCACTCTATCGAACAATGCCGTCCAGGCTTCCTTCTCATGGCCACGCATTCCGACGAGGACAAGCCTTGCTTGCTATTAAAGGCGAAGTACATCTCTAGCAAGAGCTCGTTCACGATGCTCACGCTGTTGGGAACGGCGGCGAACACAAGCGCCCACAACATCTCGAGAGATCGTACATGTCTAGTAAGTAGCCCACGCTTCTTGGTGGTAGACTCGTAGCCGCATGGGTGGCTTGGGAATGGGTGGCTTGGGCATGGAGCACGCCGAGCACGTCGGGCTGTGGGCCGTTGTACCTGTGCTATCGAGCATAGCACTAGTTGCATACTCATAAAACCCGCTTTGTATTAGTTTGCTTTGGTTGATTGGCATTTTGATCCATTATTAGTTGTGTTCAGTTCCCAAAAGGCGGAAATACTCGTCCGAATGCAAGTGGGCATGGACGGACTAGGTACATAGACTTTGGCCTTAAAAAGATGTCAACAGGCAGCCCAACCGACGTATTCATCGTTAGAAAAGATCGGAAGAAAATTCACATGTGAAGGACAGCCGGACTACTTCTGCGATTCCTGAGGGACCGGCGCCATCTGTGAAGAAGCCACGGTGGGTACGGAGATATAAGGAATCTACCCGCTCCGTCTGCTGGTAAACCCACGGACGCCACCCCGCCTAGCCACCAAAGTTGCTCAGTACAAAACAACCACAACCTATTGTTACACATTACACATTACACATTCTAGTCCATGGCCTTAAATCTTTTAATCAAAAAAGCCAGTTTTTGAGATACAGAAGAAGGCCCTATTAGAAAAGGCAGGTTAGCAAATACTCAAGTTCACGTCTCGTCAGGTGTGTCGGGGAAAGAATGCAGAGCTCTCACATTTCCATACAGAACTGTCCCCAAGCATCTCGTGGCACACAGAAAGAGGCAAAGCTGCCCGCCGGTCTTGCACATCCATCCGCAGCTCCTCAACTTCCGCACAGCCCTCATCTATCAATTCGCTTAGGATAATCCGCGACTCCACTTGAGGGAGACGCGAATGTGCGAACTGAAGATACCAGCACAACAGCAGACCTTGTCATTCGTTAGTCCAAAGGCCAAGACGCGAAGGCTCAAACTCAAACAAGATACACACCGCCCTCATAAATGCTAATCGCAGATTCGGGGCCGAATTGTGAAGGTCCGACTTTTCGTATGTATTTTAAGCCCAACTGACAGTCAAATCGAAATTGGTCCGCTGCACGAATCAGCGCCTTGTAAAGCTCAGGTGAACTCGCCTCATCTAAAACGGTCGAGATCTCTTCTGGCCTATCCAAGGCAGCCGGAGACGAGAGAAATTTCTTCATAATCGCCAAAGGAATGCTCCCGTATAGATGGTAAAAGACCGAGTTCAATAGAGACTTGGCACATTGCAAGATCGGCTCCGGAGCCAGACCGGAGGCCGCTTCCTTAATGCGGCGGTTCAGCATGTCGTCAAGTATCTGGACTGATCCTGCCATCTCCCGGCCAAGGTTCGCGTACAGCTCCGGGTGGTGCGCACTTGTGAGTATCTCAAACTGACACACGCGGTAGAGTATTGTGGATACAACTGTGACGAGCCCGAATTCGCTGACGGGCAAGTCAAGTGCTCGATTAGCATAAATACTTTCAATGCATCGTTGCTGTAGAGGACCTGCGTAGGGGGTTCCCAGCTAGCCTCGTCCTTGAGCCATTCCGCGGTAGTCGAAGGGAGAGCAAATCTGGCTTCGATGACTGGGGACACCAAAAATAGTTCTCTTTCGTTCGACCCAATATCTGCTCCAAGGAGGATTGTACTGGAGATACATCTTGGATCGTGTTAGCGTGGAATTTGAGGCCTCTAGAGCAAGGTGCAGTATGGGTCATAGGTACCTATTGATACACTCTTGGTGTACCCAGTCTTCATACGTCGTTACCGGGTACGCCTTGAGGTCGCCAAGTGCTTCCTGCGCCCTCTTCAGACACGCGACGTCAATATTCAGTAGCCAGGCAAAGACTAGCACCAGGTGGGGGAACATGCCATTACAGAATGTGGGAATATTTGGGCCACACGCCCCTCTACTCCGCAATGCACCGCAAAATAGCTTAAGAGCAAATACGTCTGGAGCATCCAGGTTTGGGACTCGTTGTCGGTCGCCCAGAGCGCAGTCATTCGTTCATGCTGTGGATTCGTTAACTAAAAGTAAAGCACACTCCTCTGAGGGTCTTGACTTACCTCGAGCATGAGCTGTATAGCGACGGCGTGCACCGAGACAGCAGTGGAATACTCGCTCAGATAAGTTGCGCCGCATGCCATCGTAGCAAGCAGAAGGGGCGCTACACGGGCAAACCGTCAAACCTAGCACGCGCCATCATCATCGGTCATGAGACTTACATGGTACCGTAGCGATATCAAACGTTGGTTCGTGCACAACGGGTATGTGCGGGGATACGTGCTCGAAGAAGGCTTTCACGAACCGTTGCATCGCGTATTTAGACCGGAGCCGAAGAGAAGCGAGTATGTGAGCCGGATACTTGGCAATATTTGCCAATGCGCTTGCAAATTTATCGTCGCCCACAACTAGAGTACACGTACGCCCAACAACCCCTCCGTTGTGGCCGAAATCCGGTAAACTAGGTCTTGGTGGCTCCGGGACCAAAGGTGGAAACTCACCGATGTTATCGTCTTGCATTTCATGCAGGAGATCCTGGGCATTTGGTAGTAACGTGTCTAGGTCGATGATTTCCGAAAGATTTCCGAGGTCCGGTTCGACAAACTGACCAGCGAAGTTCCAAGAATTGTCTTGAAGATAGGAAGGAAATAAGTGTGTGTCCGAGGTGAAGAGGCTATCAAGCGGACCCCCTCGGCTTCTTGGAGATCCCTCTAACTCGTTGTTTGCTGGAGATCCATGGGGCTCCTCGGTCGCATCGTTGCGTTCTTCTGAGTTCTGATCGTCCCCTCGTGTTGCAGCAGTAGATGATGCCCGCACGAAGCTATTTCTCCGTTCGGTTGATGCGGAAACTTCGGAGTGAGAACTCCTCCGGCGCCTGCCTCGGCAGCCAGCCGCGTTTCCGTTAGGGGCTCTTGGATGGAAGTTTCTGGTGTGACGAATGATGACATCCTTACGCGATGACGCTACAGGGCAGTATAGACAGTTATATGGCTTCTCGCTGCTATCTATGTATACAGCAATTAGCCAGGCAGTGGAAAAGGAGATAGAGCAGCAACTTACGGGTCATCTGATGGCGTCGCAGGTGAGCCAAACGATTGAATTTTGCGTTGCACTGCGGACAGGTGAAGTTGTGCTGCAGATCCATGGCGCTCCTTGGTGGCATCGTGACTGAGTGCTAATCGTTTCCTCGTGTTGTAGCAGAGCAGGATCGTCTCCGTGAGGGCGAGAATTGTCTCGCGCCGACATATCGGAGGATCAGTGCGCGGCTCATCAGGATTAATCGGGCCGTCATTGGTTCGGCTTGGTAGAATTGGAAGTAAGGGACAAGAGCAGACACAAAACGCAAATTGCGGGGAAATTGCGGGGGTGGGTCCCGGGTTTTCCGTTTTTGAGACAGCAGCCGACCAGTCATGGGCGCAGGAAGCGTGGGTTCCCCGAATACCTTCTCAATCAGGTCTAGCAGCAATTAGCTGAGCCGTAATTGGCCGATCCTTCCCTCTGTCAGCAGCAGGATCATGAAAACATCATCAGTTGCTTACTACTAGTTCTAGGCCAGGCGAGATGGTCTAGTACTACTGTGATATGTACCTAAGCTACTTTGAGTAGGGTAGGATACTTAGATCCTGCATGTGCCAGAGAGAATACCCGCGGTCAAGACGAAAACCTCGACTCGTTCACTCTTTCCAAGTTATAGTCTTGTACCTCAGAAACTCATCCAACCCTTGTGCAGCATTGAATCTTCCGTATCCGCTCTTCTTTATTCCTCCGTGTACTAGCGAAGCCTCGTCGTGAACTGTCATGGAGTTAATGTGGACAGCACCAGAATCGTACTTCCTCGCCACTCTCATCGCCGCCTTCAGGTCTTCGGAGAATACAGCGCCAGACAGCCCGTAGTCCGTGTCATTCGCAACCGCAAGAGCCTCCTCTTCAGTTTCGAACGTAATAAGTGATACCGTAGGCCCGAACGACTCGGTGTGGTATATATGCATATCTTTCGAGACGTTCGACACGATAACAGGTCTCATCATCGTGGGTTGGTCTTCCGAGGCTGTTAGATCCCCGTAGAGGACCGCCGCGCCCTTGCTGACAGCGTCGTCGAGCAGTTTCTTGCTCTTTGCTACAGCGGCAGAGTTGACGAGTACGAATGGCGGAACCTCGGAGCCGAAGAGCTTCTGCGTGGCTTGCTTAAGGGCGGCGCTGAAGTCATCAGCGATCGATTTGTGGACCAAGATACGCTCTGTGGCCATGCACACTTGACCCCCCTACGGACAATAAGAAAAATAAGCAACAAGCCAAAGAAATGGCGATCCCGGGATGCTTGGGATTGCTCAACATACATGGATAAAGGCACCCACTGCGCAGCTGGTAGCGGCCTTTTGAATGTCTGCGTCTCTGAGAACAATCGCACTGGCCTTCCCACCGAGTTCCAGCAAGAGAGGCTTGACATATCTGCCTGCTAAGCTAGCGACAATGCTTCCGACAAGGGTGCTGCCGGTGAAATTAATCTTCTTGATTGCAGGATGGGCGACCAGGGTCTCTGTAATGTCTGCCGCGTCTGTAGGTCGATGGTAGATGACATTCAAACATCCTTCTGGGAGACCAGCTTGTCGGAAAATATCGCCAATGGCCCAGAATACGCGTGGACTAAGTTCGGAACCTTTGGGGACCGTTGTGTTGCCGGTTGCAAGGGCGAATGCAACTGATCTTGCCCCCAGCACGTAAGGAGCATTCCTACGATCGCATCAATCTCGGCGGGGGGCGAAAGGTGGGGGGAGAGTTTCAGTGGCTAACGTACCATGGTGCAATGGCAAGAACCACGCCATACGGTTCTTTCAGTATCATTGCATGCGAGCCCTCTTCCGCTGTTACGGGGACTAAGCCTTGAACCGCGGCTTCAATCCTACCACCAAGGTCTCTCAGGATCTGCACAGTTGCGTTGATGTTGATCTCCATGAACTGCACTCCTGCACCTGTCTCTCTATTTTGGTAGGACAGAACCTCCTGTTTTCTACTGAGGAAGAGGTCCGCTGCGCGGAACATGATGTCCCTTCTGAAGCTGGGCTTTGTATTAGACCATGAGGGAAAGGCGGCCTCGGCGGCCTTGATGGCATCGAGAGTCTCATCGTTCGAGACAGACGAGCTATCCCAGACCTTCCCACCGGTGGCAGGGTTGATCACTTTGAACGTCGAGGTTGAGGTAACGTCCTTTCCGTTGATGATGAAAGGCACAGTGTCACTCGTGTGCTCTGCGGAGCCGCTTGCTCTATCAGCCATGGTCGTTGCCTTTTTGATGGCTAAAATTACTGGTATTCGATGATGTGGTTTAATTCCGCTACATTCTAGGCCCACGGTTTAATCCGCTCCTTGATATTTATTCCCTGTTCTGCATGGCATTGCGAGCCTGTGATTCACGAGCAGCCGCCCGCTTAGATGCATCGCGATTGTCAAGCATCTAGGTGGATATGAGGGCAGTGGGTGGGAAAGAAAAGAGCGTGAGGTGGGTAATGTCGCTGTTGGGTGGGTGGATAAATCAGATACATCTGATCATAGATATATTGCCACCCTATGAAGCATAGCGCTGGTGGGTTTGACTCGGGGAAAACCGCAAGGGCCCGCCAGCTCCCACTGTCGTTCTACTCCTGACATGCTGAATCACTCGTTAAGTGCCGAACCTCGGATAAGTGCTCAGGTATGCATCAATAACTCTACCCTTTATAAATACTAAATAGTAACACTAAAGAGTAACCCCAGAGGGTGAATCGGTTCTACAGACCGCCGAACAACAGCATAACCTACTCCACTGCCCATCAATCCCTTCTTTCGCTCCCTCTCTCTCGTCCTCCTTGCCTGCGATAACCATGCTAGAGAACTACCCGCTAGCGTTGCCAGTTGCCAGCACACTACTGCTGTTATGGCTTCTCTACCATGTGATCGCCTTCCTCCGATTCAGATCCAAGTACAACTTTCCCAATCTCGTGCCTGGAGTACCTTTGTTTGGGAACATGTTCCAGATACCGACGGACACGGCAGAGCGGCGCCTCTATCTCCACAAACTGGCTAAAAAATACGGTGAAATGTATTTTTTTTTTCCCTTTCCTATTCGCTCATATAGTCAATGAGAGACCCCAGACTCATGGCTCTTTCTCGTCTAGGTTCACGCTCAAGGTTGGCTCCAACTATTGGATCTTCATGAACTCTCAGCGCGTTACAAACGAACTCCTGGACAAGCGCGGGGGGAAGTACATATCACGAGAAAAACTGCCCATGCCGGGCGATATTGCCTCTGGCGGCAAACGGCTCGTTTTCATGCCCTACGGCAAACTCTGGAAGTGGGAGCGAAAAGTCATCCACGAGATCATTGGCCCCGGAAACCGCGACGTGTTTGCCCCTATACAGGATATCGAGTCGAAAGCCCTGCTCTATCAGTACCTCACCGAGCCAGGCCTCTGGAACCAGGCCAACGCCCGATATGCCAACTCCCTTATTATGAGCCTTGTGTACGGCCGAAGGACTAAGCTGGGTGACCCGAGTGTGAACAGGATTATCGACACAAGCAACGAGATCATGAAGATGTTTGAGCCTGGTTCCAACTTGATCGATTCCTTTCCGTTCCTAGCGCGTATCCCTCTCCCACACTCCATTCAGCCGTGGCGGTGGTGGGGAGACAGTGTTTACAAGAATTCTCTGACGTAAGTTACCGCGTTGCACTTCAGCTGATCGCTGATTAACCTTCGAATAGGAACTTCTCCGCTGAATTTGAGGGTCTGGTAGAGCGGCAACGCCAGGGCAAGGATGTGACCTGCTTTATTTCCGAGTTCCGAAGGCTCGGCAGAGACAAATCACTCGACTATGAGTCCATGGTATTCCTCGGGGGAACCCTCATCGAAGCCGGTTCCGACACCACACGTGTGGCTATGAACCAGCTCATGGCAGGCGCCGCATTGTTCCCTGAATCAGTAGCGCGTGCACGTACGGAGCTAGATGCAGTATGCGGTGCCAATGCTGAGAGGCTACCAGATGCGAGCGATATTGCCAATCTGCCGTATATCAAGGCCGTAGCCAAGGAAGTTCTTCGATGGAAGTAAGCGACTCTGCTCCGAACACTACCTGGTTGTTCGATTTAGAGACAAGCTAACTAGATTCTCCAGCATATCCTTTCCTGAAATTGCTCATTCGCTGATCGAGGATGATACCTTCGAAGGGTATCATCTCCCAACCGGAACCAATGTCATCTGGAATAGCTGGGGTGTGCATATGGACGATTCGGAATATGAACAGCCCGATAGGTTCTGGCCCGAGCGGTTCCTGGATGAGAATCTGGATAAGCCGATCAAAGGCCACCTCGCTTTTGGAGCCGGTAAGTCGAGAGGCCCTGGAATCTCTATTGTCGTTTTATTAAGCAATGCTCTTACTACTTAGGCCGCCGCATATGTCCCGGATGGGTCATCGCCAGCAACAGCCTCCACTTGTTGATCTCGCGCGTCATGTATTGTTTTGATTTCCACACAGTCCCTGGGCATCCGATTCCAGTTGGAAAGCCCTTTGATGTTGGAATGGAGAAGGCGTATGAGGTCACGATCACACCTCGAAGTCCAGCTCATGCGGCGCTCGTTGAGAGGGAGTGCGCCTCGGCTGCAAACATTGAGTAGCCGTGGAAAAGATTGGCTGCTCTAGTGTTATTGTCAAATATATCTAGCAAAAACTTGCAAACTTTTGGTCACCGAAGCATGTATTTAAGAGGATAAAGCTGCTCTTCCGTAAAACGAGATGAACTACTCTTCAGTTTACTACTGTTAGCTCCTAAAGATGGAACCACTGAGTAAGCACTCCTGCCTCTACCATCTCCTATGTGACTTCCAGCACATGAAGATGAAGTGTAATACGTTCCTAATACCCTATCTACGAGACTTAGCACCGACTTGTTCCGGCAACCATGGCGCGACTCCTTGGCGGGCTTGAAAATCGGAGGTATCACAAAACGTCGGAACGGAAAACCAGTCTAGGTGGCCTATGTATTCATTTCAATATTGTTTGTTATATTATACAGTTTACTGTATTTTGTCTTATAAAATTATTTGTTTAATCTGCACGATCAGATATTCATTTAATATAGTTTATATAGAATTTTAGGTACGAAAGTGAAGCTACGCGCAGATTGTGCTTCCTTGGTCTCTTTCCCTCTTTAACCTTACCAAGGCTCGAGGGCGAAGGACTAATTCTAGGAAGCACCATCGCTTTCCATGGACTAAATCCTACTATATCATGAGGATCACTTATACGGACCTGGGCGGCATGCGGCGATGAGATGCGGTGGTGAGATGCTGCTAAGGAGCTTCCTCCCTCAACAAGTCGCAAGGCCGATCCGAGTGATTGTCTTCAGCTAGAGCGCCTCGTTGCATTCGATACTGCTGCACCTAACTCGAGAGAGATCTCAAACGCACTTCTGTTGCTATTACACTCGAGACTTGACCGATCTTTGTTTGCCACATTATGGGTAGATTCCATATCAAGCAGGTTATTGTTAACTCAGCTTTGGGTCAGCGTTTTTTTTAAGAACATGGTAGGTTCTCGTAATATAATAGTCGAGTGCATGTATGAGCCGAAATGGCTTAGCACTTCTCCATTTTCTGTGTGGCAAGTCGAAGATCATGGCGCCGAATCAACTACGAGATTGTGCAGGGCAAGTTCGCTACGTTGTTCGCCAGGTGGTTCGCCAGGTGGTTTGCGGATATACCTGGGAAGTAACAAAGGGATCAGAGAGTGTTCCGCCTCAAGGATCTGGTATAGAACTGCCTATTGAAAGATCATCCTAAGGCTTTTAATCCGGCTCCTCGAGATTCCAGAAGAAGAATGATCCGATGGTGAGCTCGGAGGTTCCGGCCCAGGTGTGATAATAGTACCCCCGTGACCGGATGACTGTATAGAAATTTCGTCAAGGTGGGCTTGCCGCTGCCGGCTTTCCCAGACACCCAATATATTCCAGAGTCCGGTCGAAGCCACTCTGCTAGGTCATCCCATCCTGTGTCTTCATTTGGCGGCGCCAGGGCTTGAATGATCCGGGATGCGGATCATTAACCGTGATCCTCCTATCGTCCGTACAACGAAGCCAGAAAACGTCCAAAACGCTCTGCTGGCGAGCTTTCACAAAGCTCTTCAACAGCCTGTTTTACAAGATCTTCGCTGTCAGTTGCGTCACGTATGATGTGCAAGGCCCTGATATCCGTTACTTTAGCCAGGTCATCGCTGGTCATCTGGTCTTGCCCTTGCTCAGTGTCTAGGAAAAGCTGATTCAGCCTCGAGGCAAAATGTGATAGTTCCTGAGTGAGTTTTCTGAATTTTCCCTTATCAGTACTTATCCACCGGAGTTTTCCGGAGACTGCCATGCTAGACTGCTTCTGACTTGTGAGAATATGCATGGTGTCGAATTCCTGAGTAACTTGCCCATTCTTGCCTTGCCATTGCCCGCGACTCGTGTCTCAAAAGTGGTTGAAGACTGATGAGCCTTTACCTGACCATAGCGACCCTGAAGGGTCGAGCTCTCATTCATGAAGCGTCGAATGCTGTCTAGAATGCGAATGGCGCCTGATTCGGTGGAAGGGCATCCAACCTTCGATTGTAATGCATTTCGAGCAACTGTACACGATAGGCCTACGAGGGCCTCGGAGTGAGCATGCTAGCTTGGGGGGAATTCGGCAGCTAATGGACTGACTGTGTAAGGCGTTCTTCCTCTTCGTGACTATCAACATGCTGTGGCTTGCGCTCTTCCCTTCATCCTGCCTGGGGCTAAGAACGTTCTGCTCGGCGAAATAGCTACGCTGTTTGGACGTGTGAGGCACTGTGAAGTAGGCGCTACGATTATCTAAGAGAACGGCGCAGTGGCTACTGTTTGGGATGAGACTTGAGATGAAGGCCATCTCTGCCTAAGAGCAGGTCAAGGTCCGGTTTTTCCGACGGTATGATCTGACATCATGAACTTGCCACGGCAGACCCCGCGTCATGCTTCACGTGGTCGCGTTGCTCGGGACTTTGCTCTGACGGCGTGAGAAGAAAAAGGAGCCCCAATGGTGGAACAACAGAACCAATTGGGTGAGAATACGATCACCGTAAACTTTATTTTAAATCGCTTTAAATTAACAATGACACTTAACCCTTCCCCGGGTCATACAATCTTGGCAGCCAACATCTAAACATAGGGCTGAATCCATTAGGCAGACACATGCTTCGAATCCCGTAGCTTGAACCGAGCCTTGAAGTGAGTATAGACGAACCACGTACACGTAGTCTCCATTGGTTTGTCTGGGTGCTCCAGTGCGAGATCGAATTTACGGACAATCTGAGGCAGAACTTTCGTCATCTCGAGTAGGCTGATGTTTCTGCCGATGCAGGTTCGAGAGCCGGCTCCAAACTTGAGCGAGCCTGTCAGTCCTACGTCTATTTTTCACAGGCACATTGTTAACGTACCGCAAACATCATGGACTCCATGATGCTGGTCTTCTCGTTCCCAATCCAGCGTTCTGGCCTGTACGTTTCCGGGTCTGGGCCATAGATATTCTTGTCATAATGCAAGGCCCATGAGTTCACTCCAACTTCAGTCTGCAAGCCTTTAGTCAGTAGGAAAATCATGATGCGGGGTAGGGTGGTCCATACTCCAGCGGGGAAATAGTAGCCAGACATCTCTACGCCACCTTTGGGCACAACACGAGGCAAGATAGTCCCCACAGCCGGATGAATACGTAGGGTTTCTTTGATGACAGCTTGGAGATAAGTCAGGCCCTGGGCTTCCTGGAAGGTAACTGGATCAGAGATTCGGCCCTCAGCAGCCTGCGAATCGATCTCCTCGCGCACCTTCGCCAGTTTGTCAGGATTAGTGTACAAGTAGTATAGCGCCGAGCTCAATGTGATAGCAGTGGTGTCGGACCCAGCTCCAATGTTGCTGGAACACGCATCCATGATGTTAGGCATCTTGAAGCTTCCTTGGGCTTCCCTATCAAGTACTTTCTTCAAGAATGTGTCGTACTGCTTGGTGTCCTTGACTGTTGAATGCTTGTTCGCCTCACGGCTCTTAGATATCGTATCAACTGTGTAATTGATCAACACCCCGGTATTTGATTTCTTGCCGAGCAGAGAAGTCAATCCAATAATCCACGGGACGAGATCTGGGACGACGCCCATGAAACCCAAGAAGTCGTTCGCCGTACGAATACCTGAGAGCATGCCGATTCTGTCACCTTCGTTCTCCATCATATCAAAACTCTTGTTGAACTGGTAACCTAGTTAGCGATTTGACAAGGTCTAGTAGGACCAACGATGTAGAGGCCTTACAGTTATTTCACCAATAACATCGAAAGCGTATAATTGGATCCACTGAGGAACGTCGATCAGACGCCCTTCTTCGGCAAACTGGCACAATTTTCGGATGCACACATGATTTATCTCGTCGACGGCTTTCTCGTAAGAGACCATGGATGACATGGTGTATAGAGGCGAGACTTTCCTCCGTCTCTCCCTGTGTAGTTCATGGTCCTGTATCGCGAAGATATTTTGGTCGTCACGCTTGGGGCTAAGCAGAGGCTTGTAATAATCGGCCTTGGTAAACTTGCCCCCCAGCTCGTAGATAGTCTTGACGGCCGCTGGCTGACTGAAACTATAGCGGTTGGGTCCGACTCGAACAACGGGGCCTAATCGAGTAATTTTACCGTTAATCTTTGGGTTATTAAGAAGTAGGATAGGAACAACGCGACGGACCATATTTCTTGTGCAGACGGATGTATTCCTGGTTTGAGTCACCTCCCAACACCATGCGGTATTCCCACCAGCGTGTTACCCTGGCGAGAAATGGGCCAGGAACCCTTCGCAAGGGCGAGATGAAACCCGACGAAAGGGCATGCTTCAGGCCTCGTATGAGTGTCATCGTTGGCTAATGGCGGGCCGGCTGCGGGAATGACCGTAGCGACGCACTTGACAATAGCGAGCTCTAGGCCTTGTTTTAGCCTCAATCAAGCAAGTCGGAGGTCTGTCGTGCCCGGAATCTGCAATTACGGATTCCCCACGCCAGTAGTTATCACTTGACCTCTGGCAAGCCACACAGGTGGGGTTGCCCCCTTGGCAAGTACATTCTATTGCTACTTAGCGATTCCCACTTGTCAATTGCTGGTAGGATATCCGATCCAACCACCCCGCCTTGTTACTACCTCGAACGTCGCGGGTTTGAACCTCATGTCTGTTGCCCGAGACCCACTTCCCCACCGGCGCCGGCTGGATATCTCGCGTTAGTCCAGTCATATTTTATCCCCGCACATGTGCTGACGACTCTCCGCTGACCCTAGCCTTCTCCGAACAGGGATATCGGGCAGCCCCCCATCGCTGGTGGTGTGGGCCTGGGCAGGGGATACGGTGCTCTCCCGACATTAGTTTTACCTATATCAGGAACCCTAGGCTTCCATATCTGCATTGCTGTTCTGGATAGTCGACTTAGATAGTTTATAAAGTCCGTAACAAGGGCAAACTCAATTACAAAGACAAGATGGTTGACTACACCGCCGAAGTCGATCAAATCTACGCCGCGCTCCCCGACCAGCCGCAGCAGACCGACGAGCAAATCGACAAGGCGAAGAAGACGATTGAATTATACCTAGCCACCTTCAAATACTACGACTACGAGAGAACCTTCCAGCTCGTAGACGAGAACTACAAACAGCACAGTCAGATGGTCGGGGATGGCCGGGACTCCATCATTGAGGCGTCAAAGATTCTAAAATCAATTGCCGCGAAGAAATGGACAGGACCCGGCGAGCCGCACCTCAAGATGGACTTTAGAAGGATCTTGGTGGATGGGGACTATGTTACTACCCAGATCTTGTCTACGCGCTGGCCTGGGGATGCTGGTGAGCATGTCATCGACCTTTATCGATGGAAGAATGGCAAGGCCGTCGAACATTGGGATGTTATTCAAGCGGTTAAGCCGGAGGATGTCAAGCACGGGAATGGGGTAGCTTGAAGCCTTTCGCAGTGTATATTGGTCTGGTAGTGATATCTTTGCCTCAACACGAATGCTGCAAACACCTTTCTGGCAGGGAACGCTATGCTCTATGGGCGTTCTACCTAGACCCAGTAATTCAGATTGTCTCTCACAGCGCGGGGAAAAAGTCTGGTGGTGCGTTGCTTCTAAGCGATCAACGCAATTCTTCAACTCATTATGCCAGCCGATCTAGGGTGGCAATGCTACCTATCTCTCCAACCCTCCATGGACACTAGTGGGGGGCGGGGGAAGAGCAGAGTGACGAAGAGCGGGGCCGAGTGAACCTGGAGACCCCATGGGGACCCCATGGGGATTCTCTTGCAGGAACGTCCTTTGTGTGCTATGCGAAACAGTTTCGGTGGGTGTGAACGTCCCAGGTGGGGCTTGCCACGAGTCTCCAGTAAGCGATTGGTGGCTTTGTTTAGCGCCAATGGCCACCCAGCTACCCATCCTTAAAAGTGCGCTTTGGTACCAAACTTGTATCTTCCAAGTTCCCACTGCCAGAAGCGTATTCGACACTGCCATGTTGCGGAGGATACATTCCTCCTCAATATTTTAGCTTATGGGGAAGTAATAGCAAGAGTCTCTTGCAATCTATTGATAAACTGCGATCTTCACCCGAATTATCTTGAGGGATCGAGGCCCGTGTAGAGAGAGGGTGCGCGACAGACCCACGGGAACCAGGATGAGGGGTTGGCCCTAAGCCCACTATCAAGTTGAGCTACAAGGACCCGACGTTATCATCTATTCTACTCCAGAAATAATCACACCGCAAAAGAAATGGCAGCATCGGTGAAAAACGTCGTCCTAATCGGTGTAAGTGCTGTTTCCGGGATATATGTACCGTAACCGTGGGTTAATCCAGAGTCAGGCCAGCGGTAATCTGGGGGTTACCGTACAGGACTACCTCCTTGCCCAGCAAAACTCGCCACTTCGCATCTCCATCCTGACGCGGAAGAACTCCGACGCCGAGTTCCCTGCCGCCTTCAATGTGATACGTACAGACTACAGTCCTCCGTCCCTGGAGCAAAGCTTTAAGGGGCAAGATGTGGTCGTCAATTTACTACCCCCCGAATCCACGGTATCCCACGAGAACGTCATCGATGCGGCCGTAAAGGCAGGTGTGAAGCGCTTTTTCCCTTCCGAGTACGGTGTCAGATCATCCCACCCGGCTTTCGCCGAGGGGCCAGTCATCACCAAGAAGAAGCGACTCATCGTTAAACATTTAGAGAAGACACAGGACCGGATGAGCTGGACAGGTCTGCTGTGCAACCCTTGGATCGACTTTGTACGTTTCTCTGTCCCCCCAACTTGCTCTGACATTCATCGAGGGCTTGGTCCGGACAAGGGCAAATCGAACTAATCTTTGCATAGTGTGTTATCGATGGACTTTTGGGCTACGATCTGAAGAACCGGGAAGCGCGCATTTACAACGGTGGTGACGTGCCTTTCTCCACCGGCCCCCGCGAACTAGTAGGACAGGCTCTCTACTCTCTTCTCACCAATCCAGAGCAGTTTGAAGGAGCGAAGAACCGCTACGTACACTTGGCGTCTTACACCGTCACACAGAATCAGGTGCTCGCAGTCGTGGAAAAGTTGACGGGAGAGAAATTCAAGGTCCATCATCTCACATCAGAGGAGGTCCTCCCACAAGCATTAGAGGAGGTGAAGAAGGGTAAGAATTGGGGCCTGGCTTTCCACGTACAGTCAATTCTCTTTGGCCCAGACGCCAACGGCGAGTTCCCTGGCGATTTTCGGCCGTTGGGAATATGGAATGAAAAGCTGAATCTGCCACCACGGGACTTGGAACAAGATCTGAAGGCTCCGCTATCTGGGAACTGGAAAGGTATCATTCACTGGCAGCCAATGGAGATTCCGAACTATAATCTGCCTAGTATTTAACTCCCAATAGGCTCGTACATAGAAGGTTGTCTGATAAGTGGCGCTGACCGAATTTGACTGGTGTCACAAACTCGTCTAACTACGGGATCCGGACAATAGGGGCACTATTCTACATAGCCTAGCTCGAATCTGATGGACGATGTCTTTGTGTGTTCATTTGCTTTCCTAGAGGCTGATGCGCTCTCCTGCTTCAATTCATTCGTGGCAGTCAAATGCCTACATCTCCCATTCAAGCACCACTGAATCCTCGATGGCCGACGAATGTCTCTGATGGGTCCCACTTGTTCCTGATTTGAAGCCATTTACTCAGCGCAGAATCCGACATGACCTGTTATCACCCCCGGTTAGCATGCATCTTCAGACGGCAAAGAGCGACCAATGCCGAACTAGCCTTTGGCTTTCTATGCTTCGCGTTGAAATGGGCCACATAAACACCACAGGAGACTGTATCGGCCTTTGTGTACGCGTCGAGGAGCCATTTATCCACGGCCGAGTCAAACTTTGCATCCTTCCAGCAGCACATAGTCGAGACATAAGTCTTCTGGGGCAAGCTAAGGGCTGTTTCTGCTTCATTGGGGTAGTAATCCATTGGGCAGAATGTACCGGAGGAGAGCCGAGAGGGTAGGTCGTATAGAGCCGGGGTGATGGCCTCGATGAGCTGGTGCATTTTTAGTAGTGGGATTCGGTCAGACGGTGGGCAAGGCGAGAAGGATAACTTACTGCATCGTCGGAAACTGTGGGATCTACCAGAATACTGTCGACATTCCATCTCTCACCATTCCCTTGCGGCTGGAAGCTTTCCTGGATGGCCCAGAGCTCCTCCCAAGTTCTTTCGACTAACGGGATGGTGCCGACGACGTAGCTCTTGAACTCATCCGGAATGACGTCCCAAGGGCTTGCTAGAACCTTTGCCTCGTCGAAGGAATCGGCAAATATGGACTCGTTAATGGAAAAAAGGACTCGCTTGCTGGCGGATTCATGACCGCCGTTCGGATCGTCCTTGTCCGCGTAGAAAGTGCAGTAAAACAGATCCACGCCATATTTAGGCACTTTACTCGAGGTCTCGAGCACCCATCGGAGAAATGGCTTAAATATGTCAGTCGAGTCAACAATGATAGTCATGTCGAAGAGCTTCCGATCAGGAATCGTCCTGACCCAGATCCTGGTTACGACTCCAAAAAACCCCTGCCCACTGCCGGGGGCTGCCCAGAACAGGTCAGCATTCTGTTTCTTGTTTGCAATGACCACTTCTCCCTTAGAGGTGACTATCTCAAGCTGCGTTATCCAGCTGTCAGCAGTATAGCCCCAACCACGCAGGAAGCAGCCCTGCCCGCCGGCAAGTAAGAAACCTCCAACGGCGACGGTTCGGGAATGACCCGCGGAGAAGAACCTGCCAAGAGATCTGAGGTACTTGGTCACAGCCTCGACTTTGTGGCCCGGGCTGACGGTGGCGATCTTGGTTGCAGCGTCGTATTCAATATCCCGATTCAAGTTGCGCGTGTCGATGAGAAGACCGCCTTCAAGAAGCGCACTGCAGAAGAACAAATGCCCGCCAGAGCGGACGCCGACTTTCCAGCCGTGTTCGCGTGCCCTTTTGATTGCAATTACTACCTCAGCAGTAGTCGTCGGGCTAGCTATCTCGGCAGGATGGATGTCGGGAACACGCTCGTTGAAGAACCTGCGGCGAAGCTGATCGTAACCTTCAGATCCTCGGGCGACAGTGTTGAGTCGCGTGGCCATGACGATGATGAAGCTGAGAAGGGATAATGATTCCTTGGATTCTCTATTATTTCTTTTTTTTATCGAAATCTCATCACAAGCCGTTAAGGGAGTGGAAATGCCTTAACACAAACCTCTGCATAGTGAGTGGTGGGGGACTGAGGTCGCAGCGGTACACCTGAGTGGGTATTATAGCCATCAAAGATGCCACCCTGAGAAGTAGGTGGGTTGTAAGACTAATAAACATTAAGGCAACACGTTCTGGTGGCGCACTCAACTCACTGGGCCACTATTCTTTTCCCTGTAATTAGGCCGAAAAATACTTATTAGTTATGGGCAAGTTGCAGTATTATGTGGACAATTTTGAGTATGATAACATGGAAATAAATCTACTTGACGGCAATTCTCTCCATGGCCTGTGAGCTATCTACTTCTACCGGGCAACCCTTTTATTCTTACCCACTGGTACCATAGGTCATTATACCCATTGGATGCCTGCGGCTTTTCCGAGCCCTGGCTGCCGCTTTGTCTTCGCCGTCCCCTTTCCTCGTTATGAACGCATTCGCTCGTGTGCTATGCGCTAGTTTGCATAGCAGGCTCGACGCCGATCTTCCCCAACTGTTTCAATAGCAGAAGTCAGCATATTAAATAGCAGCAGCAAAGGCAGCCTCCTAATGAACGATGAGTTGTAATGCTGACCTCGGCAATAACATCGTATCCATAGACAAGGGCTTGCGCGGCGGGGTCAATCCTGAGGACCAATATCAGAAACGGCAGACTTCCTGGGGAGCCAGTGACACATACCAGTAGAATGGGTATCCGGGCTGCTGATCGTAGAGTTGAGATACCGCAAGCTGGTCTCTTGCCTCTTGCTCTGGGCCATCGGGCAAATGGTTGGTGTGTCTCTAGAATGCGACGTTTCAATCAGCTGGCTCCTTCCTCGCTAAGCCTCGGCCGCGTAAAACCTACCTGCTTCATGCTCCACTTTTGCAACGCGGTGCTGCGGGGCGCTCTCAAGCCTTGGTAGATCTTCAAAGCCTTTGGCAACTCCTCTCGGCTTTGCACCTTGGACAGGAGGATTCCCAATGCGGCACCATCCTCGAGCGCGGAGCCAGCTCCCTGTGCCATGTATGGTAGCATCGGGTGGCAAGCATCGCCCAAGAACACTACGGTGGCCTCTTCGTTATACCATTTCTCCAGCTCGTCAACTACGTATTACGCTAATGTTAGATCGAGCGGTGGAGCGTGCTGTGGGGCGACTCACGGTGCATCAGCTTCCACTTCTCTACTTTATCGACCTGGGACAGGAACTTTTGCAATCTGGGATTGATCAGTTGTCTGTCGCACTGGGGGAAGTTGACGATCTAACTCACAGCGGATCCCACTTCTCAAAAATCACTTTCATTTCGGAAAGATCGGCAGCATCTTGGTTACGTCATCCAGTAAGTCGTCTAGAACTAGAAGGACGATATTGGCCATGGTGTTGTTCCTGAGGGGATAGTAGATGGCATGGCAATCTGGGCCGGCCCATAGGCATACCCTAGGTTTCTTCATGAAATCTAGCAGCTCCCGATCCTTGATATCTTCCGATTTAAGGACAATCCGGTACGCTAGATCGCCCGTGTTGATAGGAGGACTGGGTCTACCAAGAACGGCAGACCTTGCCTTGGACCAAAGTCCTACCATAGTTTAGTTTGGTGACGAGACGCACGACTAATGGGGGACGCATGCTCACCATCTGCGGCTATCACCAGATCTCCGGTGATCCTCTCACCTTTGTCCGTGATTAGTTGCGGGATCGAAGGATCCACATCCGTCACCAGAGTACCGAACTGAAATCGGACACCAAGACTCTCGACCCGATCGAACAATGCAAGCTGCAGATCAGCTCGATGCATGTCCCAGTAGTACGACCCGTACATCGCCAGCATCTCAGCCGCAAAATTCTGGCGTTCGCCCAGAAGCTTGCAGCCGTCATACCGACGGACGAGGAACTCCTGCGGGCTGGTCGCCAACTTCTCGAGGCTAGGCTGCAAGCCCCATCGGACAAGCAGTCAGGTGGCATTGGGCGTGAGTTGAAGGCCGTCGCCGACCTGGTAGAAGCGTCAATACCTGGCGTGTAGCTGACACACTTTCGAGCAACTCAGCTCGGTTAAAACAGGCGCGGATTCAACAACGAGGACATCGTGGTCGGATGACTCTTGTTTTACGGATAGTGCGACAGCGAGTCCACCGAGCCCTGCTCCAAGGACAACGATGGTAAGGAGCATGACGTGAGTGGATAAAACTGAATTGATGTTTATGCAAGGATAGAGTCAGCAGTGCAAATGCGGTGCAGAGCCATTACAAAGGGCCTAACCCTGAAAGCTGGATATATGGGATTGCCGATCGAGAGAATCTTCAATGTGGGCATGGCTTTTACAGCGGAGGTTACCGGTTGATATTCCCCACCCAGCGCTGTGACAAACCCCACTCCACCCGGACTCGGGGCGCTCATAGGGGTGGTGCCATGGTGGGGAGTTACCCACGCTGGTGGATGTCCGACAGAGCAACTCGGCAATAAATACGCAGTTTGTACCAGCTGCTCAAAACCCGATTCATCTACGCTTGGTTCCCCTTTCTGGTGTGTATTTCCTTGTAGAATTCGAGCCGATTTCCATCAAGTTACGTCCCAACAGGAGCTTCCTTCCATTTCAAATACGGTTTTGTCAGTATCGTCCGGTCCAAAATCGACTAAGCTTTCGAGAATATGTCAACGCTTGCTGGAAAAGTTGCCTTGGTCAGTGGCTCCTCCGTAGGGCTAGGAGCTGCCATCTCCCGGGAGTTATTCAACCGCGGAGCCTCCGTCGTTATCAACTACCCTCATCCCGGCGAGAAAGCCAACGCGGACAAGGTCCTGCAGAGTCTCGGTGTACCCAGCAGAGCGATCGCCGTCGAAGCAGATATGTCAACGCTAGAAGGACCGCGGGTACTGGCTGATACCGCCGCAAAAGCCTTTGGCAAGATCGACATCTTGGTCAACTGCGCTGGGATCACCCGACCGGTGTTTTTGGACGATCCCGACGACGCAAAGGTTGAAAACGCATGGCATGACATCATCCATGTGAACGGGAGAGGCGTTTTCTTCCTCACCAGGGCTGTCTTGAAATACCTCTCACGCGAGAACTCGCGAATCATCAACATTGGCAGTTCGATATCTCATAGCCCCGGGCCGGACACGAGTATTTACGCAGGCACCAAGGGGCTGATTGAGGTGTATACGAAGTGCTGGGCGATAGAACTGCCTCGCAAGTACGGATGCACCGTGAATGCGGTGGCTCCTGGCCCTGTTGGCACCGATGGATTTTACACCGCCCCGAGTGCCGTGAGAGAGGCTTTGCAGCCCATGGTTGACGCTACGCCTGTCGCTGCACGGGTGGGTACGCCAGAGGAAATAGCTTGGCTGGTAGCAAGCTTGTCTGAGGAGGGGGCAGGTTGGGTTAATGGCGCTTACATACCTATCAATGGCGGATCTAGCTTATTCTAGCCGTAATTAGATTGGGGGAGTACATGACATAAAATTGAACGGTTAGCTGGCTGCAAGTTGGCTGGGAATATGCTATCGGACAATTATAAATATTATATATAAATATTATATACATTTTACTACAAAATGTTACAAGCGACTAAGGGGTCTCCACGTTCCGTTCCGCTTTAACAAGAGGTTTGCATCACAAACTGTCCCTTCTACTCACCATGATCACAAGGGCGTTCTTATAATAGCTCTAAATCATCCTCACGATCACACTATTTCAGGTAAATGGTCACTGTTTCGGCAATAATAGCACTTGTGGCAACAATCTTGAGCCACCTAAATAAAACATTTTTAATTCTCAGTCTCGTACGGATTGTATTTTCGTGCCTTACATGGTAGCATAGCCACACAGTATCGACAACTTCTGGACATAGAGAAATAGCGTCACTAAGAGATTTCAAAGAATGTATTGGCCCTTAACTCCCTGTCCCTTTGCAGTCCCTGTGACTAAGTTAAATATCCCTCTCAGTGTCAGTATCCTCTTGCCCCGCCGGAAGTGTCGATGGTGTCATTTGTTGTATCAGTTGTCTTGTTGATCGTGCGTATTGGCTCCAGGTTCATGTGTAACTTGGGGGGGAGTTCGTATTCCACCGGGGCATCCACGTGCATATTGAAGCTATTGCGGGGATCAATAACAAAGAAGGAGAGGATGAAACCGACAGCTGAGACTGCTGCTGCCGCACTCCAGATGCCACGGAAGGCAATACGATAGGCCGTTTTCAATCCAAGAAGCCCGGCAGCAATGATCTCATCACTAAGGCCTGGAATACTTGCTAGGGCTTGTTGATTGCTATTAGCTAAAGCATCGATAAAAGCCGGTAAATTGTCGACGGAGAGCCCAAGGGGAAGAACTCTGTCAGCTATTTCTGGGCCGAGATTTTTCGACAATAGGGAGTTGAGGATAGCAGTGTAGACAGGAAGAGCTACGGAGCCTCCTAGAGATCTCGCAGTCAGGATCAGGCCACTGGTGACGGCAATAAGACCTTGTGGTGTGCTAATCTGGCCGGTCGTAACGGCAATGACAAGGCCGAACCCAAGACCGAAGCCCGCCAAAACCGTAAAGCCCCAGATCGCCGCTGATTGATCGAGCTTCATCGTAGCCATACATGCTTGTAGAGAATTGTAGTCAGTGATAAGCGAATAGGCTAAGGAGCAAACACTCTTACCGAAATAGATGATAAAGAGTCCCATTCCAGCCAACAAAGGCGGCCGAACCCTCTTCGTCTTTGCAGAGTAAGCGCCACCAACCACGGATGCAGCCATTCCTCCAATGAAGATGATCGAGACTAAAACCCCAACTTTGAATTGGTCGCTCTCAAAAATGAGCGAAAATTCTAAAGGAAGAAAATTATTGATGGCAAAGAATGTGAATCCTTCGACAAAAATAAAGACGAGCGCAAGGGCAAAGTTGCGGCTGGTTTCAAAAAGACCATGGTGACAGAATCCTTGTCGCTTTTTCACCTCCCAAACGACGGTGACGGCGATAAAACAAACGCCGACAACAAACGTACTAAGCACATGAGCGTCTTTCCAAGAATAGGGATTATTTGCCCATGTTAAGCCCACACTGAACAGAATAATTCCGATAGAGAATAGGATGTATCCTACCCAGTCCAGAACCTTAAGCTTCTGTTGTAAGCTCAGAGATACTTCCAGCGGCCGTTTGGGTGGTTTGAAGAGGAAGAAGATAGCAATAAAGTTGATCGCGAAAAGTCCAGCGCCAATGTACCAGACAACTCGAAAGCCTTCGGCACTTTTCTTCACAAGAGTGAAGCCGACAAGCAGTGTAAATATTCCTCCAAGAGAATTGAAAATATTGACTCCGGCTTGGGCGAGTGGTCGATACCGTCTCGGTAGGATCTCTGACGCAAAAGTATACAGCAACGAGGACGATCCTGATCCTACGCCGACGAGCAGGGCTCCAGCGATGGCTATGGTCATCGAAGTCGCCCTACTTATTAGAATTGACCCAACGAAGCAGAGGGCTGTGCAAATGAGGATAGGCAGTCTTCGACCCCAAAAATCCGACGCCTGCGCAATTGGGGCTGCCGTGAACGTGATGCAGATGATCAGGCCTTGGGGAATCCAAATGTACTTGTCGTGCCCACCAACGACGGCGGCCATGTTTCTCGGAAACTGATCTCGATATAAGGAAACTCTGCCAGTGCACCGAGAGGAGGGGGGATGCTTACCGCGCCAGTGGCCACGATGGCAAGGACCTGTGCAAAGCAACCACACACAATAGACTGGATTGGAGTTGATTAGCCCTGTGCGGCAGTCGCTCGCCAAAGTCTTACCAGATATACTAGAACACATTTCAAAGTCAGGCCGTGGTAGTTTTCATCCTCATCTGCAGTGAGGAGTTCAACCTCAACTGCGTTGAGCTCGCAGGAGTCATTCTCACGCTCCTTTGACATTGCTTGAATATCGATGGCTAATAGTCTTGGGAGGTTAAACACACAAAAGTTGCAATGTTAGGTAGGCGATGGAGATGCGAGAAGTTAGGTGCCCCCGACTCTTTACATAGTTTGAAACCCGCACCGAGGCAATGGAGACGGTCTCATTAGTGCATAGTTGAGGCCGGGATCTGGGATGTACGAGTACTGAACCGGGGATCTAATCCTAAGCTCTGGGGTGGCGCTAAGAGTGGCTCAAGCTGTCCCCACCCTACATACTCGGCCATCATTGGCTGCGAAGAAACCGCAAAGCTGCTGTCCTTCTAGACGCGAACAAATGGGTGACCGTTTGTCTCGACAAGTTGCAAGCTCTGTGGGGTCCGGGAGCTGCCATCGCATGCGATGAATTGTGGTGGAAAACTTGATCTGAGGCCAATACCCTCCTCTTTCGTTGTTGGAGCTAAGCGTGCAGTGCCCACCAATGTGGGTCAATGTTTAACTACGCGAATGCGGGGTGCAGAGGTAATGTGGCCCCAGGCAAGGTATTAGGGCTATTCTATCGTGCATGGGTGTTGTCACATCCGTGTGTAGACGGCAGCCCGAGATAGGCCATTACTCGTTTAGTCTCAAGAATAGTTTGTGTGCGGAGATGACTACTTGGTCCCTCCCCTGAAGTAAACTTTAATAGCCCCCAGTCGTGTACCACCCACATACCGACCCCTGTAGTCCACAAAGTGATCCCAAGAATGACATTCGTGGTTGAAGAAGGCTACATTCACTGACTGCTTGGAGCGCGTCGACAAGTATTGCCTTCTACAAGATACCGACCAGGGCGTTATTCAGTGGCGACTTCAACCCGACAGGGGGCTAATACTTACCCCAGCGACCTCCATAGTGTGGCATCGTTCGTTAGCACTGGCGGGGAAGTGAACTGGTCAGGAATTAAATAACAAAACATTACCGTCTCGCCTGGAAAGGCACCGCCTGCGGTGGCACGTGCAGTAAATGGCTATTTACTAGATAACCCAGACGAAATTTGGCATTACTGGATCAACCCCCGTAGGAAAACCCTTTACAAGTATTGCAGACGTGAATTATCGTGGTGCACGCTTCGACTCATTGAGTGGATTGCCGGTATAGCCCTTGAATATAACCATCGGAACTAGTAGCCTTTTGAGCTTCATACGTGATAAGTATACCTGTTCTAATCTCCTTATATTGTAATGCAGAGCTCCTAGCCTTAGGCTTTATGGCCATCACGGAGGATTAGAAGATCTTTGCTCAACCTTGGTTCAATGAGTAAGATCATCGTCCTCTGTGGACAAACATTCCCGTGGTGGCATACCGCAAAAGTCGATCCAATATGAGCCCCACCTTAAGAAGCTTTGCTGGCGGGTGCCACACGTACCCACCCGCGCCGCAACCTGAACCTACAGGGGTTGCTGCGCTTGGCCAGGCCCTTCCCAGATTCATGGCAGTCATTTGACCTGCAGCGTCGTGCCCACAATATTTTTTCCTTGGGAACAAGTCCATGGGGCCCAGTGCTAGCGATTCGCAATGTTCAGAATAGCGTAATTAATTTCTTCGACTGGGACCGGACTGTAATTCGGTCAACTTTGTGATCTGCACTTGTGAGGCTCGAGACCTCTCACCATACTGCGCCCGCAGCTTGAAGTGCGCTATTCTCCAGAAGATAAGATCGTTAAAATTGATCATTCCTTGCCAAGAATGCCATAGAACTCGGCCAATATGAATGCAAATGTTTACTAATCAACGACTTGTGTCGGAACACGCTTGGGAGGAGGAAGGCAGAGAGTCTGGTAAGATATAGACTTGGTGATATTATAAAATCTATTAATCATCTTGAAATACTCACCCCAGCTTGAGGGTATTCATGATTGGGAGAAGTGAGAGACAAGTGCGAGTTTTCGGAGCCACCGGGAGCCAGATCTACTAATAGCCCTCGGTTTGATAGGACCATCACAGAGAGTGTCGATCACACTATAGAATTAACACCCTGTTCTAGAAGAGGTCTCTTACTTTTGCCTCGGCCTATGCTTCCCCTTCGTATAGTACGGTACAGCCGCCGGATACTCATTTATCGGTGAAGGGCGCACCCAATCACACGAGATCGTCCGCTTCGTAGGCTCCCACACATCAGCAGCGCGAATGGGATTCACCTCTGAAGGTGTAGATCCGTCCAGCAAGGACATGGCAAGCACAGAGATAACAGTATCAACTTCATTCTCTTCGGGCACCTGAATCAGGGCATCTATACGATCGTAGTCTGCGGGGATAATTCATCCCCCAAGGTCAGCCTCTGACGAAGGACTCACCTGGTGATCAAACTATCGATGTATGGGCACGGAATAAACGCGATGGTTATAGTTTCTATCAAGGACCTGCCAAGCTCACCTTCCTACTGAGGATGATGGGCCCGTGTCTTCTGGCACAAACGATGATCTCCCTCCGCAGTAGTGCGGTCAATATTACCCGGCCGGCCTGCGATAGCTACGACAACTATATTTTCGTTATGTTGCGAAGTTCATTCTAGTTGATCAATCTACTAACCGCCCAACGGATAGTCCTCAGAGTCTTTTAGATTGGTTCAGTAAGTAAAGGCGAGATCATTATTAAAGAGAATAAAGGTCACCTTAATCTCGTGGCCTAAGAATAGATTCGGAGCAGGTGCACCTCTGGCCGACAGGCTGTTAGGACAAACTAAAGGCGCAGCCGTTTGAGCAAACCCGTCCCACCGGGAGTTTCGAGCCCCAAGTATCCCGCATCCTACATCCTAGGCAAAGACAGAGACTATTAGTCTTCCTCTTCCCCCTCCTCTTCATCATCGAAGGTCTTGCCATAGATGTTAAAATATAGCCCCGATTGATTCCCAAGCCCTCGAATGAAAGCAAGGTCGTCGGGAAAGAAAATTTTCACATAGAAGCGCTATATTTGCCATGACATTGGATCTTATTAGACAGGACATATAACCTTTATCAAGGTTTAGGGGGAAGAGGGGGTGCTTATACTTATCGCCTGATTACATCTAGGAATCGGGATTACTATTCTAAGGAGACGTCTATGTCTCTACGTAGTCGCCAGCTGAGATGCGTATGAAAGCTGTTAGATGAGAGGAAGGTGGAGAGTATTCCGCTTCCTCGTATCCCATTGTAGACCTAGACGTACTCTGAATTTTTTAAGCTATCTTTGCTGATTCTATTCCCCCCCTTTCCCCAAATGTACTTTTCCTAGTTTCCCAATAGCTCTTCAGTACCGCACGAAAATGAACGTCTAGTCTTGAGGTCTCCGACATCGGTTGCCCGGCGCCCAGTGAATCGGCCCATTCCCCAGTCAAGACTCTTAGGCCATGCACAGGAACCCTGAGAGTATTTTCTTGGAATATATCTATCGATGTAGGAACCTGGTCGCTCATGCCTCGATCAGCAGTTCCAATCGTACACCAGAAACCCCGTAAAAATGCCTCTCGTTGTTGCTGCCTACATAGCGGCCACCGAGCCATTAACTCTGATTGAGCAAAGCAAAGCAAGATCGTCTTTTGGGCACAAAACTGTTCGAATTATACCGAAATGAAGTGTGGTGTATATGGCCCTCTTGAAAGGATCCAGATGTTCCGATGGTAGACCAGACCATACTGGTCCTTTCAAAATAGCTTCCTCCGAGTGGAGAGCTATACCTGAGATACGTAATATACGGAGGATTATTTCCGCGGTACGGGTACGCTCGGCGAGCACTGGAAAGCGTGTCGACACTCCCTGGCGGGGTTGATGAACGCGTCAGACTGCGACTTCTTCGTTGTGCTCGAGGAACAAACGTCAGTCGGGTGGCATCTAGCCCGTGGTGGGGCTGCCGTGGAAGTATCAAGCTAAGAGAATGGCGGCGGCATCATGAATTTTCCTCGTAGTCAACTTCAACATCGTTGTTTAGAATAAGTCGACCTGACTTGGTTCCGTCTCATATTCCATGGTTGAGTGGATACCGGTTCGTACTAGATTGACCGGCGCCGTCCCTGAGTGTAAGACCATGAGGGGGGTTGAGGGCTCTGGTTCTTAGCAGCATGGCTTATGCTCCAACCCCGTCCGGTCACACTTCCGATTGTGGGCAATTTGACGGAATAGATGTCTGGAGTTGAGTTCCCACTAGCCGTGCGAATGAGGACTCGGAGGGTCGGTATACACGCGGCGACGATAGTAATGGATCCCTCGGCGGCGTCCCAAATGATGGGGTCGACAGTGCCATCTGTGTTAGGCAGGTAGAGTGCGGTTAGAAACGCGAACTTGGTCAACGGGGTCAAGAGTCGAGTTGTTGGGAAGGAAATACATAGATCATCGGTAAGCATCCGGGGAAGCTTGGCTGTTTTGATTATTGTCGTGATTCCGGCACTATTCAGGGCTCGCGTTAGTCCTGTTTCCTCGACTTCCTCTAGTATGGTGGCGTGACACACAATATACCCATGCTCATAGCAATAGCAATACCAAATTTTTCCCGTCGCCTCATACGGAGACCAATGAGGATCTTCCAGGGAAGTGTAGCGAGAACGAAGTCCATAGTTCCGGAGTAGGCTAGGACACATGTCTTTTAGTATGGTCGCCGCTTCTACGGCGGATGCCCTTTGCGGCGGAGAAAGCACATCAATTGATGTGAAGAGCAGACTTACCACCGGCGAACATGCTGTAGTACACCACTGTTTTATGGTCCCAGCACTTACCCGGCACATCGAGGTCCCACTGCTTGGAGAGGGGCCGGCATTGAGTCCACCCAAAGAGGGCACTGAGGCCCAATGCAATATTCACGGTGGCAATGATGATCCACAAGAGCTTTTTGATATAGCCTTCGGTGACACGGAGAAGGGTGATGGCAAACGCGGTTTTGGTCCAGGCAATCGTGATTATACTAAACGTAAATCGGACCAGGGTTTGGATGACAAAATCGCGAAGATTTGAGGGCGGCAGATCCCAGGTGTGCTTCCCATAGCCAAATGCAAAGACCAGATTCGTCGTGACGCCTGATTGTACAAGTAGAAAGGCCTTAAAACGGGTTAGCACCGATGGCAGGGTTTACCGTCAATGGAGGAAGCGGTCGAAGAGGACCGTACCCAAGAAGCGATCAAGATATAATCGTCCCACAAGAGACCGCGATTGCTGTAGAACTTGCAAAATACCCGTAAGCTAAGGAAGAGAGAGGCAAACCCCATTAGAGCCCAGGTTGCTGCAATGAGGCTGGGCCCTTTATCATCGTGAAGAAGCCGATCTAGTCCCTCAGGGGTCCACGCCGCTTCCATGCTCAATTCGTAATTTAACAATTCGGGGCGAAGACAGGCCGATGGTCGCCGCTCTGTTGAAGAGGCCAGAACAGATTGACAGTCATGCTTGGTATCGCGATGCGGTTGAGCTTTCTGGGTTCCGGACTGTACTCCTCACGTCGCCGAATCTGAGGGGTTGGTTGGGCAAGAGTTTCAACTTCGTGAATTTACCAGGAGAGGAAGAAGGGAGGGTTCAAATGGGAAGCTCCTTCGATCTGATGATCACCAGGGAGATCTGCATTGGTTCATGTGTGGTGTCAATGCGTTTTGTCCTGGTCAGTGTCAGACGACCCACCCAGGAGGAACAAGCCCTTGCCAGTGCCCCGGACCGTTCATGCAACGGGACGGGCCCCCGGAAGTAAGATTAATTAGCGTCCCAGATTTGTCTTCCCCGAGGCACAAAGCGCCAGACTAGTGCATGTTAGCAACGCACCATTGAAGCCTCAACTTCGTAGACTTCGTACGATCAGTTGCAGTGCCTCCGAAAGGAGTAAACTAATCGCTCACTGCCATCAAGGACTGGGAAATTAAAATTGACGGGGACAACAAGTGCTCGAGAAGTCGGCTCCTCCGCTAATAAATATGAAGCCATTGGGATATTGAGCCCGTGGTTGGGTTACTAAATCAGGACGCCTTACCAAGTAGTCCCAAAAAACCAGGGTCAGAGAGGAATTTGGTGGAAATGGGCGCTAAACCGCATCTGGATGTATTGCCAGAATGGTTCGAAGTAACGCTTGGACTGCCCGAACTCGAACGCCTGGAGGTGATATCGACCATTACCAAGATCTTCTTACCTGTCGAAGACGTATTCAGGCCCATGAGACCTCAGATTGAACCCCCAGCGAGCGATTGATGGGGTTGCTGATGGACGAGACACACCAGGTACATTACTGATAGACATTATTGCCTCCGTCAAGGACGTTGACGGGATCGGTCTGGCAACTAAAATTGTGACGATAGCTGGACCATGCCTGCTTCTTTCAGGTAGTCAACATCAGCAATGTCGGAATTGGTGACGTTATTTAGTCAGAGTCACTTTCCCTTTTTGGGGATCCCGTATTAAGAGACACCTGCCCCACCGCCCATCTTCCCACTTGATAATTGCCAAGCGTTGATCTTGGCCCTCGTCCTCCATCTCGATAACTGGCTTTCCGCTTCATCGAAGTTTTGTCGTTACCATCCATCTCTGCAGCCGAAGCGAAATATCTCTGCAAATTTCCCCGTATTCCGGACGCCAGGCTCTTACCGGAGTCCGGAGTTAGATCTTACATTATCACGTTTGTTTCGCTGCACTCTGATACCTCTTGATGGAGGATTTGCAAATTACCTCCCAAACTCGCCTAAATTATTAGGTTAAAGTTTATAATCGAGAAACCTCAACGAACACACCACGACCCCTGCTTTATACTACTGAAAGTCTGTGGCCTACAGGACATCCCGATTCAAGAGACACCGCATGGGTGACATGATGACTGTGCCATCCATATCGAGAAGCCTCTCTGTGACGACGGTAGCCACCATCAATGAGAACCTCATATCCCAGAAATATGTGAACGCGAATCCCATGCCGCGAATTTCCTTCAGGGGAATAACAAACACTTGAGAGGTAGGAGATAGCAAGCATCGGATTTGCACTCACAAAGATAGCCTAGGCCTTGACTCAGATCCAAAGCCAAGGCTAGTTCGCAGCACTAGAATCGGTAGCAACATTGTCAATTGCTCGACAAGGGCGATAGGAGGAGAGGACTCCCTACCTACGAAGTAAGAAATAACGCTAGTGTAGAGGGGGCAGATAACTCGTTTTAATGGCGAGTTGAAGACAACTCGCTATTTTGAAGAGGGGATCGCGGTAGTGGTCCACATTTGCCCGAACTCGTGTATACTGCGTACTTTATATATCTTCTGGGTGGAATTCCGGCACGTCTCCAAGTTACTACTGGGAAGTTATGAGCGATTAAGGAAGGGTTCTTATGTAGCTTTTCTGCATGCCAACCCCGGTCACTCCGTAGCACACCGGTTGCCGCTCGAGAGAAGTACTCCTCCAGGCATTAGAAAAACCGAACAGAATAGCTGTCGAAATTCAACGATGCATATTTCCAGGAACATATGTGCTTAGCTTTCTTGAAGACGACAAAATCGACCAAGATGGCGACTAAATCATCAATGAGTGGATAGTACACGTGGACGCTGAAAAAAAAAGGGGGGATAAACGAGAATAATGTAAGGTCATGTTACCATTCAATCTCCTGCATACAGAGCACTGTGGAGAAAGATATCACGGGCGAGAGGATGCCGTGTGGATAGCTTATCACCTTCGTCACAAAGACTCCACTCCAACCTTTGTTTTCCTCCGGGAATGTGGGGAATGGATTCCAATCTGTCCGTCCCCTCCCATCCAACTGCCGTTTCCGCGCTCACATCCACCGCGGCCGCCCTTTGCCGGGCCCACTGAAGTCCCGCGTGCTGTCTAGTAGCCACGACCTACTGCTATGGTTGCCAGGATCCACCTTAAAATACAATTTCAAGTTCTGGATGAAAGACGACGGAAGCCATCTACTGTGGAAGCACGACACTAATATATAGAAAAGGGAATGGTGGAGGCGATTGGGAGCTATTAGATCACGGAAAGCTTGTTTACATCAAAAGTAGGCTCGGCGGGAGAGCGGGAAGTAATTCCGGGCTGAAGGAGGTCAGGTTATTAAAGATGGGGGAAAAAGTGGTGCGGGGGGATAAACTCCATCGGGATCCAAAGGAGGATCTAAATTTCTCTGCACTGTATAATTGGGTTGGTGACGAAACTCGCCACAGGACGGATTCTATGCGCTATGTAGGTGCTCCGGGGTGGTCAAGTACAAAGGTTAAACTTCCACTCTTGCGAGCTTCAGCCCCTGGTCTTCTCTCCACAGATAATGCTGAGCCGTAAAGCGATCTAAAAAGAAGCCCGATCTCTATCAATGTGACAAATGTCCTAAACAGTGCTAGTGATGACCACTTCACATTGCTCCACGTAAGTATTACATTAGACGGCTCACTCTATAAATATAAAACCAGGGGAAGCCTGAGCCATGACGATGATGGCATGGCCGAGTGGTTGCGGCTATTCTATTGCATCGCTATTCTTGATATGATGTACATACATATTAAGAAGGAACCCGCGTGTTCTGCGATCGACCAAATTGTGCCCAACATGGAGAATGTACGAAGTTCTAGCCAAATGAATGAGGGAAGGGAAGAAATTGAGGCTCAGAGAACCGGCCCAGCCGCAAATCATTCTCATCTGCGCTGCGATGGTAGTGTCTCCAGCCGAATGGGACCGGAGAAACACGCGGAGAATATATTGATTGATAATAAAGAAGGTCACGAATTTCGCGCAGCCTCTTGCGATGCCTGCCTTGCAAGCGTTGTATACAAGGTCAGAAGGCCCGGGTAAAGAGTCGCTCAGCCAATAGACGATCTGCGATCCCCGTTCAGGATTTACTGGACTGAATAGGCTCTGGGGCAATATCTATAATTGCCGGTGATATATTACATTCTTTTCCCTGTACTATTCCCCGGATGTACCAGAGTACATCCAACACCACAACATCCACAATTTAACCCCGTCCAATCCCGTGAAGTCAATACCATTAAGGCACTTTGTCAGTCTCGTGAGATTGGTCATGGAATATATCTCGATATTCACTCGGCGTTTCGGCTTATTACCAACAGCGGCAGTTCACACGTAAATGGCCACCAGATATCCCTCCTTAGGCTAAGCAGTCTTGCTTGCTGGCCATTCTTTCTTAAAGGCCAAGGGAAGGCATCGAACTCGGTCCCAACACCATTTCCCTTTCCCTTCGTTCCTCCAAGTTGCCATCGGCCTATTACTGTGCGACATTCAAGTTCAGTTCACCTACTTCAAAATGCATTGGACTTCTCTTCTCGCCTTGACGGCGCTTGCCGAGGCCGCGCCTCAGTTCGGTGGTGGCGGTGGTCTTACCATGTTGCGATTCGGATGCACCCAGGTCGTCATTGACCGCCTTGACCCCCTCGTCAATCCAGGCCAACTCCCCTCTACCCACGTCCACCAGATCGTTGGAGGAAACGGCTTCAACGCCTCCATGACCACTGGTGATGTGTCGGAGACCGCGACGTGCACCACCTGCCAGTTCGCCGACGACTTCTCCAACTACTGGACCGCGAACTTGTACTTCAAGGCTAGGAACGGCACCTTCAAGCGTGTGCCTCAGTTCGGCAGCCCGTATGTAATTTCTTTTGTTTCTGTTATTTGAGGGGCAACGGCACCGGTTCGGCTGGGAAATACAGTACTAACTAAGCCTATACTCCAGACTTCAATTTGGTGACCAATTCAGTACCCAGACCAACGGTGGTATCCTGGTATACTACGTCTCTGCTCAGCCTGGCAAGATTACTGCCTTTGCTCCTGTAAGTTCTATTGCCATGTGGGCGAAAAACCGTACTGTAATCAAGGGCTGTGTTGCTGATTTCCCGTTAGGGTTTCCGTATGCTCGTCGGCGACCCGGCCGACCGTGAGAGGCCCGCTAGCCTGAAGAGGCAAAACTGTTTCCGATGCTACACCGGTCCCAACCACGGTGGTGATGTCGGCGCTCCTTGCCAGGATGCCGCGTAAGTTTGCGCCTTCTACGGCCCTTAGTTATTTTATCTCTCTTACTTATTGGTTGCCTAGCCACGACCACGATGCCTTGCCCAACAAGGTCTGCCCCGGTGGCATCCGATCCAACGTTCTCTTCCCTACGTAAGTCATTCACCTTCCCTGTGATTCTCTAGTAGCGCGAAATATTGACAATTACAAGCTGCTGGGACGGCAAGAACCTCGACACCCCCAACCACAAGGACCACGTTGCGTACCCCGTTAACGGTCCCGCCACTTTCCTCAGCCTTGGCGGTAACTGCCCTGATACTCACCCCGTTCGCATCCCTCAACTCATGTACGAAGTCAACTGGGACACTTCCGGCTTCAACGACCAGTCTCAGTGGCCCGAGGATGGCTCCCAGCCCTTCGTGCTCTCTATGGGTGACCCAACGGGCTTCGGCCAGCACGCCGATTACGTTTTCGGCTGGAAGGACAAGTCGCTCCAGTCGGCCATGGACACTTCCGGCTGCTTCGGCGCCCAGTGCGCTAACCTCAGGAGGCAGAGCATCGACCAAGCCAGGTCTTGCACTGTTCCCACTCTTGTCAACGAGGATGTTGACGGCTGTAAGTCTACCCCCTAATCAATTTACCGCTCGGCAAGTCATCAGGTAACTAACGAGACAAAACCTAGGGCTCACCACTCTCCCTGGCGTTGACGTCGTCGCTTAAGTCTATATATAGAAGATAATGTCTCGGGGGTGCGGATCCTGAATCTAGCAGCAACATACATGTACTAAGTAGGGTGTCGGAACAAGGAAGCATTTCACTCCCAAGCCTATTGGCCGGATCTGTTGGACCTCGAATCACAGTTGAAGACGCGACTTAGTTACACCCTTCCGTAGGGCGAGCTAGGTAGCAATTTCGTTTCTCGTACCACCAATTTAACCCATTTCTTAACTTCACTTAATACAAGCTATATCTATGATAGAAAGATGAGACTCGCGTTGTGTTGTACTCGATGTGAGAGATTAAGTGACAGTTGTTTTGTGTTTTTTTCAGCTTCTTTAGACATGTGTAGGACAAAAATCAGGCCGCATAGATTGCGAGGGAAAAGTAAGGCGATTCACATCGCGGCGATCTAAAAAGGACCGATACCGACTGCGAGGTCAATCGGTTGAAGTGTCCAGTCCAGTGAAAGAGGCCTGGCGAAGTCAAGTGACTCGACCAACTTGATCAAAGCTCGGGCCCGCCCCACGGATCCCTTCACCCGCAGCTGTTCATTATTACTCTTTAAGTGTACCCCGACTACCCTCTCGTCGTTCTGATTACTTCTCCCGGATTCCACGCGTGTTGGGCATAGCAAGTTCCCCTCTCGCCGATATGATTTGCCTATAAGGCGATCATTCGGAATGACAAACATCCGGGTCTCCCATTCGTTCGTGGAAAAGCGCGTAAGTAGGCAAAGAGGCTCATCACATCACTTTTTGGAATAAAATATGTTAACATCACAGTGGGGCATGGGGCACATATACATGTGCACAGCACGGCTGTAAATTTTCCGATGCGTAGTCTACGTTCATTGATAACCTCCGATTCAAAGACCTTCACTGTGGACGAGTGTCGTGTCCAGCACATCAAATATGAAGGGAAGAGAAAATCTCAGAGTAGGACCAGTTAGCTCAACTTTCATGAATGTAAGGGTTAAATGTAAGGCCATATGTAACTTATGTCGTCCTCGGTCGAGGTGTAAATCCACCGCATGCCGTAACCACGATCTGGAAATCTTCGAATTGCGCTTCGTTCTCACTACCGTCACGCGTAATATTCACGTGCTCCAAGAAAAATTGTAGGTAGTCATCAACACGTGACTATAATTTCGCCTCTGCGCCAAGGTTTACGACCTTCGGCATGAGGCTCAAAAATAGTGACCGCAAGCCACACAAATTGGCAGCGTCTTTCAGGGATTTCCCCCCTCCTGGAAGAGAGGAAGAATCCATCGTTACGAAGGTCTAAATGTTGTATTAAGTACCTTTAGGTCGTGTAGATTTCATGAAAGCTATCCCTTGACATTCACTCCCTGTCTTGTATGAGCTCGCTGTTCCAGATCTTGAGGTTGTTTGAAGACCGACTATCGCGAGACGGGAATCATTTCATTCCTTACTTTCACAAAGTCCTTCTTTTTCTTGGCAACATCCCAACTTCCGAGTCTCCCTCGACTGTAGACCGCCTTGGAGCCTAGCTGCACATGTGATTGGAGATTGAAGTTAGTGCTGTGAGAAACACAGCAACCAAACCTGGCTTCTGATGCCGTCCCAGACATCTCTATGAACAAGCAAAGCCACAAGATGTGAAGTTTAGGAGACCAACGATAAGTGCCCGATTACTACTACACACTTCGAACTTGGCGAGTGCTTGGCGGACTATTCATCAGGCGATGGCAAGCTCCGAAATATCCAGTCCCCGATTCGATATTGCAAGGGGTGATACGTCTAGGCTATGGGCATTTATCTTCCCCCATTCTTAGTATCCTAGGCTTCGAACTTCAAATCTGTATAATTGGGGTTCCGTGATTTTGAGTTGCATGTCCTAATTTCGTTTGGCCCCGGGCGTACGATGAGGTGCTGCCAAACGTAACGTCTTACTGTCTTAGTCTGGATAGCCCGGATGGCCTCAGCCTCAATTGAGTATTGTCGTGGTGCTATTAACGCTTCGGGATATAATTCAACCGCATTTCAAAACTGAATTCCAACAAAGCTCGGGAAATTTCTTCTAAAATCCAGTTACGGCTCTTCTCAAGCTCTTCCAGGGCAGACATTAATAATGCCCCTCCGAGGTTCCCCGTTAACCGTTATGTTTGTTACAAATCGATTAACGCGTAGCAGAATGTGAGGAGGAAGAGCGATGGAGGGTAAGCGAGCTTGAAATTAACACTTTGATATGTCGTCCCGAAACTTTGATGTGTCCATGGCCGACATGATAGAGTCGAACAACTCGATATAAACCTACGAACCCTATTCCATTCCGTGAGAAACCAATCTCTTATCATACTCAATTTAGCCAAGCCTAACCCGCACAACCTCTTAAATCCCATAACAGGATGGCGCCTACAAACTCTGTGGAGTTGATCTTTGGAACCGCATGGATCTCGAACCCTCCCGATCCATATTGGGCACAGTCGGATGCTCATATCCTTGAAGCTTACGCCGCACTGAAGAAACATGGCATCACGAAACTCGACACTTCTGTCATATATCAAGATTCGGAAGCAAAGCTCGGTGAGACTGAGGCCGCGAAATCTCACAGCTTCCGAATTGGCACGAAATGGCCGGGAGGATTCGCGATGGACCGTCTACAGCCCACCCAGAAGGAAGTCCTCCATGAGATCAACGCCAGTCTCGAGCGATTAGGTGTTGAGCAAGTGGACGTTTATTATTTTCACGCCCCCTTTGCTGGCTGGGATTTACGGCCTATTCTGGCTGCTGTCAACGACGCTTTCAAAGCAGGCGCTTTTCGAGACTTGGGCTCTCCAGCTTCACCCCGCAGAAAGTCCAGGAGGTTTACAATTTGGCCAAGGAGAATGGCTTCGTTCTCCCTTCTGTCTATCAAGGTAACTACTCTGCTGTTGCCAGGAAGGTTGAGGATGACTTATTCCCTCTGTTCCGCGAGCTAGGAGTTGCCTTTTACGCGTACTCCCCGACTGTCGGTGGGTTTCTGGCAAAGGCGAGACAAGATGTGGAGTCAGGCCAGGGGAGATTTGGGGCGGAATTTCTAGGTGGGATTTACCACAAATTGCATGTCAAGAAATCCTATCTTGATGCGCTTGACTGCTAGGCAGAAATTGCGGAGGACGAAGGCGTGTCGAGGATCGAGCTCGCGTATCGATGGATCCGCTTTCACAGCGCCTTAAGATTCGAACATGGGGATGCTATTGTCTCCGGTACGAGCAATATCTATCAGTTGGAGAAGACTCTTAACTTATTCAACAAAGGGCCTCTGAGTTCATGGGCTTCTCAACTTATTGAAGAGACGTGGGAAAGTATCAAGGATGATGCTGGGGCGGACAATTTCGCGGCGTTGTCGGGGAATTTAAAGGTCTTGGGTCAACATATTACCCTTATTCTCCCTGCGAAGCTGTATCGAGGCCTAGAATCCCGTGGAGAGCCCTAAATATCATATGTCGTTAGTTTTTACGTTCGAGTCTCTACTACAATATCGGAACACATTGAGGCGTAACCGAAATACGGCAATATTTAATATGCCGTCTTACGCGTATGAGTTCTAATATAACCTCTCCCTCCCTCCTTTACAGTGAATATTGCTATTAAGGTTCCTCGTTTGAAACGAAATAAATACGGCGGATGAGGTGTTGAATCTCATGAGCTGCAGCTCGTAAGCATCCAAATTAGGTGAGAGGTTTAGAATACTAAGCTGGTAACTTCGAAGTTGGCAGAACTTTTGCAGACAACGAAGACACAAGAGGTTTCTCTCTTATTCTATTCCATGACCTCTCAGACTGGCTACCTCTCACAGCTGAACCACCTGGTTTTAGGAAGAGTAGTAGAAACAACAATGGGGAAAACAAGGGAGCCCCCCACCCGTAGTACGGTATAGATAATCCACAGTTCTGGTCGAGTCACACATCACCCCGTTAATTGAGGAGTTGTTGTTTCATCAATGGCCATAGGAAATCAGATCATTAACAGCTGGACACCTTCGTGCGATGAATGAAGACCAATGTCCCGAGCTGAACGCATACAGAGGACTAAGTTGGGGCATAATGCCAGAGATCAATAATACAGATGAACTCTAGGGATAGTTCTGGAGATATAATGATGGTTTTCCAATTTTCCTTGGAACCCATGTTTTACCAGACAGGAGAATAATGAAACTACGCTCTTGTAGAAACCATATCAAGAATATAAAAAAGCGTTGGAATAAAGGCTTTGACCCCTCCACAGTGGAATATGTTAATAAGCATGTGAAACGCACGAAGAACCCAAGATTGAGCATTTGCACTCTAAGCCTCATCCACTTTCGGCACGGGGCTCGACGACAATAAAGTTGTGCACAACAGCAGAGCCATCAGCCAATGCCTGGATCTGGTTGGGTGTGCAGGTTAGCTGGATGTCAAAGACGTAGCAGACTGGGGCGAGGGATTCTGGAGCCTTGGCAGTGACGTGACGCACAGAAGGAGGTCCTTCTGACTTGTAACTTTCTAAGGCATTAAGCTGACCGGTGGCTACGTCCTTTCCTCCCATCGCTAGGTCGAAGATGTGGAAAGCTGTTTCCGGTTGGTAGTATGCAGCTGAGTGTCCGGCTCCGAACACCCTAGAAAAAGAAACGTTTCCATGCTGCCGAACGAATCCTCCGCTGTAGGTACTGTTTGTCTGAAGTTTCGCGTACCCGGCGGACCGGAACGAAGAAGATCCGGGGTATTCCATCCCGAGCGAAACTTCTTCGACACCAAACCCTACAAAGTCGGACAACATGTTAGACACCTCGGCTTTCTCCATCCATCATCTGCGATGAACGGCTTACAGTTACACCTGTAATCCAGATCACATAGTACATGGCGACAATCAATCCACTGTTTAAGACGTGTTCTAGGGAGCTGATATCCCGACGCATCGGGTCGTCAGTGGTACCGAAAAAGGTTTGAACCACATTTGGATCGCTGATTGAGAAATTGACAGGGGCTCCAAGATCCTCCTTGACCCGTCGTTGGTTGAAGAAGGCAAATGAGTACTCGGGAGGATAGACGCTGGGTTTGATCAGAGATATATCGAATGCGTTTCGCTAGAGGATTTGTGTCAGGCCCCACGTTAACGTACGTTTTCCTCTACCAAGAAAAAATAAATATTACGAAGGTGAGCAGATGTCTTCGAGCCTGAATTAAACTTACATTGGAAACTTCGGTGTAAGCCCCCTGGACTATCCCGAAGCACACCGTACTAGCAGCGACACAGGGTTCGTTGACAGATCCGTTGTCTCCGACGCTCTCTGGATCTCCTACGGCGGCAGCCTCGCGGCAGGCTTTGATAAGATCGGTACACCCGATTTCAGGTGCGGTGAGATTCCCCACGGCCATCTTATATACTTCGGGAGAGTAGGCTTGAATCCCGAATGTGTTGTTTATAGCAATGTTTGGGAAGCTAGGTCCTTGGATGAGAGAGTCAATACAAGCATTTCCAAGGCCCAGAGCCGATAGGTCAAGAGTCGTCGCATTCTTATCGGAATGAGAACCGCCAAGTATATCATCATTCTGTTTCAGGAAATATGACAGGAAGCCTGGACCCCAAAATCCGCCATACTACAGATTAGATCATATTAGTTGGCGTTTATGTCTGGCCTATTGAGTAATGTGAACGTACCGAAGTGGTCCACAGGCTGATTTCATCATTGGTGGTCACATATTCAGGAAACCTAGATGTACATAGCAGAAATAAGTCATAGATCTTGCCTATTGTTCGGTAAGTAGAGCCGTCCAACTTGCTCTTGGAACCACACCTGGGAAAATTTCCACATCACCTTTGCGGCGGTTTCTGTAGCGTTGACATTCGGAGAAAACTCTGGAGAGCTAACAGTCGCACGACCAGTTGTCACATTGGTCTCGGGCTCGGCGCCGCTTCCATCCAGGGGAGAGAAAGCTAACGTCATCAAATCGACAAGACCTTCAACGAGGGTACTGTACGAGAATCCAACGCCAACAGGTTGGTCAACGTAGACCATTTGACATTCTTGTTCCAGGAAAATGGGTTTGGGGTGGTGCTATTAGAATCCTCGTTTATATAACAGGGAAAGTTGCTGGAGGAGTCGAAGGAGGATGTCCCAGGCCCACCACCAAGGTAAATTGATGTGGGCGCATTTCCGGGATCATTTCTTGCCTCTACACCTAGTTAGTTCGGGAGTCATCCATTCCATTTAGTTCGGGATGGAATGGATGACTCCCGAGATAGAAGACACTTTACCGAAGTACCAAAAGAAAATGCTGGCATCGAACCTCTTCTGCGGGTCTTGAAGTTCTGATAATAATTGACTGGGCAAGGCGACGTAACCGCTGTAGGCGTTTACGCCTGGAGCAGTCTCACAAATGCTTGTCTAGATCGTAAGGCTGAGTTCGTTAATTTTCCGATTATTATGAGACAAGCAAGCCAGAGGACTTTTCAAGTCAGTATATATAATTATATTTACCTTCTTGTAAGATACTGAAGCACCAGGATAGCGTTCTGACAAGATTCCTGCGGTATCATGGTGTTTTGGAATGAAGCTCTTCGCCCCAGCGGCAGTCAAGAGGGCCAGAATCAGGAGAGATGGAGCCATGGTTAATCGAAGTAAACATTCAAGATGCTTGGAAGGTATCGGGTTTGGAAATCCATGATCCACTTCGCGTGTCGCGCCTGTATTATTTATGGTAAGAACATAATCGTCGCTGATGGGCCGTTACACAATACGATTGAAATACGATTTCTACGAGATCTGACGTGAGACACTCCCAGATGCCACGAGGCAAAGGCGAGGTTTAAAGCATGACGATGCATCATTCTCCACCTCTGTATAGTAAGTAAGCTGTAACCATGATGCTACGATCTATCTCGGTGTACGAGAATATGGGGAAGGCCGTGCTCGTAGAGCTGAGGGCTGCCTTTACCAGACTTGGAAAATCGAAAATGTCAAAGGATTTTCGACAGGATTGCGTGGCAGAATATGGCTGTGTTGGGACTAGTGAGACTCACTGGTCCATCCCAAGAAACCCAGAACCAGACAAAACGAACCAATAACCAACCCCTAACACTCCCTTCTGGGTTACGTTTTCGGGGAAAACGTGCCGATCTGGCTCCAGATGGGATCCAGGGCGTGAGTACAGAGATCAAAGGTGTCTGACCTTTTGTTAAATAAACGGCGGCTTCTCGGTTTCTACGATTCCCATAACAGTGGTTCTACTATCATGTAGGATCAATATCAATGTACCTCAGATCCTTCAATTTAATCGTAGCCCGAGCGGGATTCGATCTTAGATTCCCCCAATCTGGTCGGGGGGCTATGACGGAGATCATACGACAGGCCGTAGCAACGATATTAGTACGACGTGGCGGTCAACAGCCATTTTAGGACACACTGAGTGAGGGATTAAGAAGACCGAGCTATATCCATCGGAGGCTCCTTTTGGTGGGGGGATTTTAGCCTTATCAAAGTCATCAAATTTAACAAAGGGGGTACTGGACTTCTAGAATGCAAAACGAAAAGCAATGGAGCACCCAAGAGCTAAAATTCCATATGAAAACTCTCTCCTTAATAATCCGAAAATGTCCCATGAATAACAAGATGGAGGATCTTTCCCCTCCGCATTTGCCAAGATTAGTCGACTGTACCAGTCATCAAAGAGAATCTCTTCGACAAATGACTGATATGGTATTACATATAATACCAATATATCCGGCCCCCGAGACACATTTGAATAGGCCAGTCCTAGTCCCCACATTTTCATGGCGTCCACCCCAGACAGTTGGACTCCATGAGCCGGAATCGCGAAGCCGGGATGGAAATGGCGGAGATATCCGTGATAGGATTTCCTACGCTACTCATTTAAATATACATTACCTTGCTTCTTCTCTCCTTTTTTACCTTCTTGGCCGAGTCTTGCTGACTTTCCTATTTGAGAAATTGGTGGGGGATGTCGGGTATTTCGGAAGAGAATCTGGCTAAAGGACGTAGAGTATCCGCGTCAGTATGGTCAGGCGGGGGAAGAAGAAAACATACCAGCCCGCAAGCGAAGAGACATGTAGAATAGATAGATTCATTAATTTTGGGAAATTCCGGGTGCAGAATGTAGTTCTTTGCCCCTTTTCCGGCCGTGAGTCCCATCATTAGAATATTCTTGCTCCGTATATAAGCATATAACTTTTTAGCCACCGGGACAAATGTCTACTATTATGTGTTATGTGGATGTAAAGCGAAACTTCTCCGCCTTTCCTCACCCGGCGCCTCCTCTATTGTTGTCGACACGTTCTGCGATTGAATCATGAAGGTGACACTCGTGTTACAGGGACTTCTCGGGCTTGTGGTGGGACTTCCGACGACGGACGTGAACCCGATCGAACGACGCCAAAAGATTGCGGTTGGAAGATATTGTAGCCCACAGACGAGCCTCTGTTACGTGGATTACACGACGGACGTCAGATCATCCTTCCGCATAGCCATTCCCGATACCGCAACTACGGCGGGGGCTTTCGATGTTGCAATCCAAATCGTGGGCCCAGCAAACCAGGGCTGGGTGGGGCTTTCGTGGGGAGGGAGCATGACAGACGCTCCTCTTACTGTTGCATGGCAAAACGGACAGACTGCTGTGCTGTCGTCCAGATGGGCCACGTAAGTTGACATTGATCTTGAAGGAAAAGGCTACAAAAAAAAAAAAGAAAAGACAAAGCAATGAAAAGCAAAAGAAAAGAAAAACCTCTTCAGGCAGCCAGGCGAGGTTAGACCGAGCAGGGCGTGCTGTTTTGTTGTTCTGCTACCAACTACTAACGTATATTTGTCCAATGGACCTAGTGGAAGACAAACACCGACAGTGTACACGACGGCGACTTATACGATCCTAGCAGACACCGGATCCAACGGGACGCATTTCACTCTAAGCGCCATCTGTAAAGGATGTAGCTCTTGGACGCGAGCTAGCGGGAGCGTCAAGTCCCTGTCGCCAACCTCCGGCGTGAGATTTGCTTGGGCGTCGAACCCCCAGATTAATTCGGTATCACAGCGGGCCAATCCTGCTTCTGGGTTCAGCTATCACGACTATCACGGATACATCGATGCTAGTTTTGCTGATGCAAGGGTCCCAGCTGCTCAATTCCAGGCTGCTGCTGCCAAGGTGAAACCTTGAAGCCGTGGCTGGACGAGCCCTCGTGTCATGGATTCCTTTTTGTCGTTCCTCAATTCGCACCGTCCGAACCGTTTCGGAAATAGAATGATGGTGGTACACATCGAGGTATATAATGCGGTGAGGTTGAGAAGATGATGGCATTTTCTTTCTTGATGGGAGGATCTGAGACTCATGCATGTGGAAGGCCCCATTCACTTATTAGTCGTGTATATGGCATCTTAAGACAACGGACTGCAAAATTTTTTGTATATATCGAAAATCCAAGAGTATATATATATCTCGCATTATATGCAGCCTCAAACATATACCGTCAGGCGGCATTCCGGACCGGGATATATTCCTTGTAAGTCGCCTTGCGTTGAGAAAGATGGCTTTGGGGGTGGTTTGAGCATAATTGCCCTGTTGCTTTTCTGCCCCTCCCAAAGGATCAAAGATGTACAAGATCTTCTCAAGACTACAGCGTCATGGGCGGGGTATATAATATGGAATGCAGTTAAAAACTTAGCTTGGCTAGGCAAAGTACGATCACAGGTGTCTATCAGGGTGAACACTTCTAGAATCTCTTTTGCTATCAACACCACAAAAGTCGTGGAGGCAAGGCACAGTTGAAGTCTTAACGAAGATGACAGCGACGTGAGTTCAAGTTGCTCACTATTAGTAGCGACAAAATTCCATCCACAACCCTACTTGTCATCTTGTTTCCTAGGTCGGAAAAGTGACGGAAAGAGGGGCTAATTTCAAGGTGATGTCGCGACAAGACAGCACTTCGAATTGTGGTAGTCTCATATTTCAATGACCGATACACCATCTATCCCACGGGCTTAGCTGACCACTTGACAGCGTTTCACTGTCGGGCTCCCTTTCAATTTTTTTCATCCTTTTTATTTACTTATTTTCTATTTATTTTTTTCCCCCTTCTTTCTTCATCTCAATTTATCCATCTCCTTCAAAGATGTGCATTGCTCGGCATCTGCGGAATTTGTTGATACACTCGCCAATGATATCCCACCATTTACTAAAAAGAAACAGACTCCTCACCAGGGCGTGGGGTAGCACGATCTGCAGTGCAAATACTGCGATAGGGCAGTAGATCGCACATCATGGAAGTAACCTTCTCGTATGGCCAATAACAGAACGCTAGATGTGCACGTTGATTCAGATGTCGAGAAAACATTGGACATTGGGCCTTTGGTTCCAAAACTGGACACCGAAATAGGGACTGGAAGTTGCAATGAGATATGGAAACTGGGTTCTGTTATTGCTTAGACGGAGAGACCGGGGTTGTGGAGATGCTCACATCCAGCATAGAGAGTAAGACGGGCACATTCAGTACCCTTGAGTTGTACGTTGGATTTGAGAGAGCATTAGAAGATACCACTATATAAGGAGGGGGCTCTTCACGAGTTGTCAAATGTAAATTGACGTAGATGTAAGAACTATGCACCAATCTTACTCTGAATCATAATGCCATCTCTTGTATCCCTTGTGGGAGCGGCGATCTGTGCCGCAGTAGCCACTGCCTCCTTCAACAGCAATCTCAATTACAATAGCCCTTCCCCCAGGCACGTTCGCCTAGGCATTGATATTCCCCTCGTCTACCGCCGGGCTTGGAAGCGCGCGAACAATGCCTATGACCCTTCTGAATTGAGTTTCACCCATGGTGTATCGTCTGGAGACCCTTGGGATAATAGCGTTATCTTGTGGACGCGTATTGCGCCAACAAACGAGTCCGATCAAAGCAACGCTGCGGTCGAGGGTACTGTGCCTCTATACAGCCATGAAACTGAAACCTACATCCAGGCCGACGCCAATCCAATCTGCGTCGAGTGGAAGGTTTTCGAAGAAAGGAAGGGTCGTCCATCTGACCGGGTGGTATCAAGAGGAAAAGCATATACCACATCCGATATTGATTTCACGGTCAAGGTCTGATTCAAAAGTCAAAACCTATGTACATAGCTCGCCAAGAGTGACTCTAACACCGTCCATGTAGGTCGAGGCCAATGGCTTGAGGGCCTTCACAACATACTTCTATCAGTTCTCTGTCTGCGGCTCGGAGAACAAGAGTCCCGTTGGAAGGACGAAAACAGCTCCAGGTCGCAACGACCGTGTTGATGAGATTACCTTTGCCGTATTTTCTTGCGGTAACTATCGTAAGTCGAAAAGAACTGATAGCAGTTAATGCGCCCATGAACGCACAATTTGACAAAATGGCAAAGCTTCTGGGTACTTTAATGTTTACGGTAATGCTGCGCGGAAAGACAACCACGACTATGTTGTCCACTTGGGAGACTACATTTATGAGAACAAGGCCGGAGGGGAGCGTGCTCATCGGCCGGCTTCTCTCCTCTTCACTCTTCACGACTACCGAACAAGACATGGACAAGTAAGTGATTGTCTCGCTACCTCAAAACTTTACTCAAAATTTCTAACTGATGGGGTACATAGTATCGCACGGACCCTGATCTGCAACTTTTGGCGCAAAGATTTGCCTGGATCTCAACATGGGACGATCACGGTATGCACGAAGTAAACGTTTGTCAACGAGTGTCTCGCAGAAAAGGTTGCTTACGAATCTTCTACTTAGAAATTGCAAATAACGGCTATAGGGATGGGTTCAGCGCCTTGAACAACACGGAAGAGTCCTTCCTGAACGATGGGCCACAGATTAGCGTCGATTCGCGCAAAGTTAATGCTGTGAGAGCTTACTTCGAGTGGATGCCCATCCGGTAGGTGCTTCCTATTCTTTCATGCGGACACTATAAACCTGACACAGACCTGCGGAAAATTACAGCCAGGTCGATCTAGACGATAACCTGAGGATCTGGCGCTCCTTCAAGATGGGAAAGCTTCTCGACCTTGTCATACTCGATACTAGGAACTATGATCGAAGCATTACCTCACTTGGTAGGGTCATATATGGTTGAATATGATTGAATATGGATTCAGATACAATACTAAACTAAAGTCACAGGCTGGAATGATCATTATATTGATCTCATCCGCGACGATCCTAGCCGTACTCTGATGGGTGGACGCCAGGAGAGCTGGTTCTACAACACCCTTAGCGAATCAAAGGAAAGAGGGGCTACTTGGAGAATTATTGGAAATCAGATTATCTTTTCTCGTATTTTTCAAAACGATAAAGGTGGCATGAGCGGCGATAACTGGAACGTATGTACTTTGGCCCTCTCCTAGAGTAAATGCGGATGCTAACAGTACCAGGGCTACATCTCGAACCGAAATCGAACACTGAAGCATCTCTACGATCATAACATCGGAAATAACATCTTCCTCGCCGGAGATAGTCACCAGAACTGGGTATGGATGTAGGAAAGTCGTTGGGTGTTCGGCAAACGGAGCTAATCTTAAAATCTCTAGGTCTCTGACTTGGCGTGGCTTGGCACCAAGGACTATAATATGAAAACTGGCGAGGGAGCCGTCGGCGTCGAGTTTGCGGGTACCGCTGTTAGTTCTACTGGCCAATCTGGTCCCATTGAACCAAAGGCTGGAGATTACTCTAGAGGCATGATTGCGCGTAACGAGGAGATGATGTGGCAAGAGGGTTACTATCGGGGTTACTTTCAGCTGGGTGTCACAGCAAAGAAGATCGAGGCACAGTTTTACGGTACGTCCTTGCCCCAGCGCTCCTGAGTCTATGCTAAGGATGGATGACAAATAGGATCTCCGTCGGTTGCTACACGGAATGCCTGGGAAATTCCTCTCGCTAACTTTACGGTTGTCTCTGGGGAGAATCACCTTGCAAGACCTGTTGCCGGTGGGAAGGCCGAATCGGGCGCCTTGAAATTTGGTGAAGTGTCTCATTCGAACTTCACATTGAACACGGAGACAGGGCAGTGGCAGGTAATTGGCTTTGAAAAGATGTATCTTTGATACTTTGTCCTGATACTTTCGGAATGAGCCTCGACACATTAAGGTCGTGGAGGCTGAATGCCGTTGATCCAATGACTTAAATCTTCCGACCTCTCCGATGTTATAGGTTATACTAGGACCTAGCCTTTATTTTATTTATTATCATCTTTTTTTTCTTTTTTTTAAATAGGAATTCCATTGGAAAAAAGTAGGAAGAGTAGCTCCGTTCGCAGAGAATATGAACTAGTCGAAGGCTCTCTTTATCTTCCGCCGTCTACAATACCACTTCCATCCGTTCCATGGAACGGAGGCCTCTTGCTGTTTCATGTTATTCTTCACCCCGGTCTGCAATAATGTGACATCCTAGGCCGCCCACATGATTCATGGCATCTTCAGCCGACCGAAGGATGAGAGGCTTCTCATTTGTAGTCATCTCACTAATGTCCAAGACCCCTATCGGATCAACAACAAGGATCCGTTTCCCGTCAGCCCGCAGACGACGAATATTCTCGCGGACGATGCGTTGGGCGACGGAACTCATAGAGACTGCACCGCGCAAGGAGAATACAACAACCGGGCATATCGCGTTGGAACCAGAGGCCGGGTCTTTGGCATCCGGTTGGTTAAGGTCCCGGGTAACAGTCCGCGTCAGAAGCTCAGCGCCAGAAAAGCGCACGGCTCCACGCAAAGCGAAAACGGGGACCTCAATTCGCCCCTTGATCTCGTTTCCTGGGGCGCTTTCAATGGTTATCACTGATTTCCGTACCGTGGACCGCCCGATCTGGCTGATATCCATCATATGGAGGCCCATGTCACTCGAGAGGTGCTGGCAAATGGCTACTCCACGGACACTGTTTCCGTGGCCATCAAGCTTCGGGGAAAACGCTGCGAGGCCTAACTGTCCTGGCAAAGCTCCAATGATCCCACCGGCGACGCCACTCTTTGCCGGGATTCCAATATTCGACACCCAGTCCCCTGCAGCATCATACATGCCGCAAGTCGTCATGACCGAGAGGACTTGGCGAACACTAGCCTGGGAAATCACCTTTTCACCCGTGACGGGATGGACTCCGGCATTTCCTAGGGTGGCGGCCATCATGGCAAGATCTCGTACGTTGACGTTGATGGAACATTGACGAATATATCCACGCACAGCGTCTTCCGGGCTGCCCTCGAGGATTCCAGCAGCCCTAAGCATGTAAGCTAGGCCGATGTTGCGGAAGGCGTCCTTGAACTCCGCCTCATAGACTGCTTCATCCACGTGTAGCTGACGGCCGGCTAGCTTCGACAAAACAGTCAAAATACGCGACACGCGCTGCTCTGGGGTAGCGTTCGGCCCCACAATCAATGAGTGGGCTGTGATGGCACCTGCATTGATCATTGGATTCATAGGTCGGTTGGTATCCCGCTCCAGAGAGAGCTCATTGAATCGATCTCCAGAGGGTTCCACCCCAATCTTTGCTAGGACGCCGTCGAGACCAGCGTCGGAGATTGCGATAGCATAGACGAAGGCTTTTGAGATGGACTGGATAGAGAATTCGACTTCATCGTCCCCAGCTGAGTAAATTGTACCGTCGACAGTGGCCAATGCCACGGCCAATTTGGAGGTGTCTGCTTTGGCGAGCACATCGATGTAGCCAGCGGGCTCTCCATCGTTAATTGGGCGGACTCTCTCAAGCACCTGGCGCAGGTAATCAGGAATAGGCGACTTCATCGTCCTAACGGGAAGGATTTTGATATTAATATAAGTTCTCACGCAAACGAATTCTAAAGAATGCTTTGACGTCTTAATGATAGCATTGATAGCGGGGACTGCGGCGAGAAGGGATTGACTGTAATCATGGACAAAACTGATTTTCAGCTCGATTCTACCATGCGTTAGCGCATCCATTAGATATCAATTAGAGAGCATTAGATAATCTCAACACCATCAACATGACTGACTCGGGCGGTTTTGACGGGGATTTTTTTTTTATTTGCTATTTTCCTCCTTGTGCCGTCTTTTTTGTCTTTTCTGGTATACCTTGAATAGAGATTGTGTCATGCCTGTCTCCTAGAACCTAGCAGGCAAGAAAAGGGACCCGGAGTATTTACTGTATCCTTTACTTTCCCGAGTGCAGAGTAGGTTCATGTTAAGTCATTCTGTCTACATAGACTTAATGGGAACGTGAAACAGGTGGTCCGTTTACCCCTCTTTAGTGGTTTGTCTCTGAGGAGATATTGGAGAACTCATTTGTGATGAAGGGAGACGCTCAATTCTAACCTACTATATCTTTCTACCTGCCGGCCAGTATTCTGTTCCCCCCCCCCCCCCCAAAAAAAAAAAAAAAACCCAACCGAAAAAAAAAAACAAGAAAAAAAACAAGAAAAAAAAACAAGAAAAAAAAACAAGAAAAAAAAAAGAAATGGAAACGCATGAGATGTATCTAGCAATGTAGGACTTATCTGTCATTAAACCCCCATAGCATAACCCCAGTGTCGTTCTGGGGCCAAGAGAAAACGGCCACACGACATCAACACCTTTTAAACGTTATTGATGAATATCCATGGCTCTGCAGGTGTTAGTCCGTCCTGTTCCTGGTTGTTCTCGTCCAGATTTCGCCCAGACCAGTTGCAGTCCCAGAACGTGAGCAATGCCCAGAGCTTGAAAAAGCTGTGGATGTACGCAAATGCCACTTGGCAAATCATTAACGGAAAGTCCTCGGGATGGCGGAAGAAATGGGGAAGCAGCTTTACCGTCTTGGTCCAAGCAATCCAAATTAAAAAGTAAATGACGTCAATGACCCGGCTCATCTTAGACAAGGAGAGGAGGACGATCATGGCCGTATCCCAAAGCAGCGCAAAGTTGACCATTTGAGCCCAGTACACCATAAAAAAGCTCCAGGTGTACCGGTGGAGAAATTTGTAGTCGCGCAACATGACTGGGTCGCTTCGGAAAGTGGTTCGTGCCCACCGCAGCAGCTGAGAGCGGAACTTGGGCCACTCTCCGAGGGTCGTTTCGACTGTGGCATCATCGGTGTCCTGGAATCGAATGAGCCAGCCCTCCTTGAGTGCCTCGCGGGTCAGGAAATTGTCATCATTAGGGCCAAGTCCGTCGCCGCCGAATTGACCGAAGAAGAATTTTTCGGTGCAGAAGTGGGTGAGGAGATTTGTATGCTTCAGGAAGCAAGTTCTGTAAATGGCCGTTCGACCGGACACGACAAAGACGCCACCGTCGATCGCGTTGGAAGCCCGGAGTTGCCAATTGTGACGCTGGAGATAACTACAGGCGATGAAATTGACAATGGAGAGCCAGTCCCAATTACCTGGAGTTGTTCGTAGAACCCGTTTTCTGGTGGTCACGACACCCACGCGGGAGTCCTCAAAGGGAGCCAGGACGGAAGGAATGAAATTGACACTCCGCCAGAAAACGTGATCATCGGCGAGGATTGTGATGGCAGTGTCAACGACATCTAGGGCGTGTTTTACCTGACGACGCTTGCTGGCCTTGTGTATGGCTGAAACACCGATCCGTGTACTCCGAGATAGCGGGAGCATATCTTGAAGGATGGCCTTGCATTCTTTAAGGAGTCGAGGACCGACAGTCACGACAAGGAGAACTGCAGGGCGATTTGACAAAATCGAGTGAATACAGGGTCTGAAGTCCGGGCCGTTGGGGTCTATAGTGGGCAAGATAACAGTAACGTCCCTCCGCTCAAAGGCAGGGTCAACCTGCATGCGAGAAGGGCGGTAGAGCCAGGAGCCGGCAATGTGTCCCAGGAAGCGCGCGTACCGAAGTACGAATAAAGTCCAAAATATCTGTGCAAATTTGTCTTCCCCGAGGAGCCATATAAGTGTTAGGGGAATAGCCAAGATGAGGAATGTGAGAGGGCGGACGAGCCACATGTGATTACACATGCCGCGAGTGAGGTTTCGGATAGGATCCAACCTACTTGGTTTCGGGGTCGAGACTGAAGGAGCCATGATTAGCAAGGAAATTGATTATGGATGCGAAATGCTAGGAATGATGTTGGTATGGTGAGAGAGTAGGGTGAGTAGAAGGTCCTCAAGCAAGTTCGAGGTCACTGTAATATAGTTCCACCAGATAAGGAACCTCATAGAGTCGATGGCTTATTGCAATGGCATTGAAGTCAGAAATAAAGATCTGCTATTGTTTAGTCTTTGAGATATGCCTGCAGTCAACAATAGTTCATTGGGCCGTGCCTTCGCCAGGTATGCATGTCAACGTTGGTAGTTTGCTGGAATGCAAGATCAAACAATGCCCTTTTTGTACTAAGAGAGAAATATTATGTAGTCGAATAGTGATAGCAATGAATTAAAAGACAAAAAAAGTTTAGTACCTATGTTTCTTTTCATTCTTGTCGCCCAAATATTAAAGAACATTATATTCTAGTATTTTTAGTTCTTACCTTTTCTCTTATTGCCACTGGTAGAAATGGGGTTATAAGTGTTGTTGTTCTGTCCAGTGCAATTAATTGTTTACCTCCTCTCGAAACCCCATGCACAACAACTGCCCTTGCAAGGAAGAAATGTGGCTCCTAAGGTTGAAACTCGAAAGCTAGAGAAAAGCGAATTAGGAATTGGTCTGTTCTGGAGTTCAAGCCCATAAAATGATCATCTAATGACATCACCTCTCATTGCTCCTGCATGAAATTGGACTCTAGCCTCAACCCGTATCGACCCGCCCATAAAGAGGGGCTTGACCGCAAAACTATTTCTCCAGCATCGGGTAATCCCATAAGTTTCAAGGCAATAAAAATGAAGGTGACGAATCCTCGCCAACCGCCCAAGACTGTGGGCACGCCCATCCATGAATTGCGCAGTGACGATTTTCGGGTGGTCATCGATGGCACTACCGGCTACGTGCGGGGAATCTACGATTGGAAGGACTCTGCGGGTATGAACTGGGTGAGCGACCTATCTAACGCTCCGTGGCAACCTCCAGGAAGCCGCTGGGGTGCGGGTTTCTTTGACGGAGGGAGAGGGTTGCTTCACCGATATTATTGGACCAACGCAGAGCT